GGCAGCAAACTCGGGGTCCCTCCCACATACCTATTGCTGAGAGAAGCCTCCTCCTGAGGTGCTTCTGGGAAGTTGGCATACGTCTTGAGCCTAAGCCAGGGAATCAGCTCGCATCTCGAGACGATTTGGGGTACACGGAGCATTCCTCGAGTTGCTGTGCTGAAGTTGGTGTTCCTCTAGACTTGGGACAGTGTTCTCGGGGCATCTCTGGAGTTGCATGAAGGAAGTCGAGCCACCGGTCGTGTTGAATGGGGAATGGGGAATGGCTCTGGAGTCAATGCAGGGGAATCGGGCCTCATCTCGAGTTGATTTGGGGCACATGGAGCTGCTTTGCGTTGCTGGGGTGACCTCAGGGTCCGTCTAGACTGGTGACAGTGTTCTTGGGGACTGTCTCGAGATCCATTAAGCAAGTCGAAGCTCCTGACTTTTTTGAATGGGATCACAGAATAGCTCTGCATGCACTGCAGGGGAATGGGGCCTCATCTCGCCTCTAGGGGGAAGTCTCATGGTTTTTCTCGAGTTGCGGCGGGGACCTGGGGTATGTTCTCGACTTACGGCGGGGATGGCCCTTCAAAACACGAGTTTCTTCAGTGACGTCAGGACTCCTGTCTAGTAACGAGCGACACCTCAGGAATCTCTTCGAGGCTTGGCAGGGCCAAAGGGACGCTTCTCGAGGTGAGGCAGGGCACCCAAGGACCCTTTCCAGTAGCCACAGGGATTTTGGGATTCCTATCAGTGTTCAAGAGGAGTCAGGCATCGTCACCTTTTGAAGCAATGAACTCCGCGTGCCTCTCGAGGTGTCAGCGGGATGTGAGGCATTCCGTCAAAATGAGGCAGGGACCTAGGGCTTTCTCTAAGGTCTCCACAGGGGATTCAGACATCCCTTCATGTTGTGAGATGAAAGACGAGCCTGTATTCAAGCCACTGCAAGGAAATCCGGCCTCCTTTCAAGTGAGGGCTTCTCGCTGTATATTCCCCTTGAGGCAGCAAACTCGGGGTCCCTCCCACATACCTATTGCTGAGAGAAGCCTCCTCCTGAGGTGCTTCTGGGAAGTTGGCATACGTCTTGAGCCTAAGCCAGGGAATCAGCTCGCATCTCGAGACGATTTGGGGTACACGGACCATTCCTCGAGTTGCTGTGCTGAAGCTGGTGTTCCTCTAGACTTGGGACAGTGTTCTCGGGGCATCTCTGGAGTTGCCTGAAGGAAGTCGAGCCACCGGTCGTGTTGAATGGGGAACGGGGAATGGCTCTGGAGTCAATGCAGGGGAATCGGGCCTCATCTCGAGTTGATTTGGGGCACATGGAGCTGCTTTGCGTTGCTGGGGTGACCTCAGGGTCCGTCTAGACTGGTGACAGTGTTCTTGGGGACTGTCTCGAGATCCATTAAGCAAGTCGAAGCTCCTGACTTGTTTGAATGGGATCACGGAATAGCTCTGCATGCACTGCAGGGGAATGGGGCCTCATCTCGCCTCTAGGGGGAAGTCTCATGGTTTTTCTCGAGTTGCGGCGGGGACCTGGGGTATGTTCTCGACTTACTGCGGGGATGGCCCTTCAAAACACGAGTTTCTTCAGTGACGTCAGGACTCCTGTCTAGTAACGAGGGACACCTCAGGAATCTCTTCGAGGCTTGGCAGGGCCAAAGGGACGCTTCTCGAGGTGAGGCAGGGCACCCAAGGACCCTTTCCAGTAGCCACAGGGATTTGGGGATTCCTATCAGTATTCAAGAGGAGTCAGGCATCGTCACCTTTTGAAGCAATGAACTCCGCGTGCCTCTCGAGGTGTCAGCGGGATGTGAGGCATTCCGTCAAAATGAGGCAGGGACCTAGGGCTTTCTCTAAGGTCTCCACAGGGGATTCAGACATCCCTTCATGTTGTGAGATGAAAGACGAGCCTGTATTCAAGCCACTGCAAGGAAATCCGGCCTCCTTTCAAGTTAGGGCTTCTCGCTGTATATTCCCCTTGAGGCAGCAAACTCGGGGTCCCTCCCACATACCTATTGCTGAGAGAAGCCTCCTCCTGAGGTGCTTCTGGGAAGTTGGCATACGTCTTGAGCCTAAGCCAGGGAATCAGCTCGCATCTCGAGACGATTTGGGGTACACGAAGCATTCCTCGAGTTGCTGTTCTGAAGCTGGTGTTCCTCTAGACTTGGGACAGTGTTCTCGGGGCATCTCTGGAGTTGCCTGAAGGAAGTCGAGCCACCGGTCGTGTTGAATGGGGAACGGGGAATGGCTCTGGAGTCAATGCAGGGGAATCGGGCCTCATCTCGAGTTGATTTGGGGCACATGGAGCTGCTTTGCGTTGCTGGGGTGACCTCAGGGTCCGTCTAGACTGGTGACAGTGTTCTTGGGGACTCTCTCGAGATCCATTAAGCAAGTCGAAGCTCCTGACTTGTTTGAATGGGATCACGGAATAGCTCTGCATGCACTGCAGGGGAATGGGGCCTCATCTCGCCTCTAGGGGGAAGTCTCATGGTTTTTCTCGAGTTGCGGCGGGGACCTGGGGTATGTTCTCGACTTACGGCGGGGATGGCCCTTCAAAACACGAGTTTCTTCAGTAACGTCAGGACTCCTGTCTAGTAACGAGGGACACCTCAGGAATCTCTTCGAGGCTTGGCAGGGCCAAAGGGACGCTTCTCGAGGTGAGGCAGGGCACCCAAGGACCCTTTCCAGTAGCCACAGGGATTTTGGGATTCCTATCAGTATTCAAGAGGAGTCAGGCATCCTCACCTTTTGAAGCAATGAACTCCGCGTGCCTCTCGAGGTGTCAGCGGGATGTGAGGCATTCCGTCAAAATGAGGCAGGGACCTAGGGCTTTCTCTAAGGTCTCCACAGGGGATTCAGACATCCCTTCATGTTGTGAGATGAAAGACGAGCCTGTATTCAAGCCACTGCAAGGAAATCCGGCCTCCTTTCAAGTTAGGGCTTCTCGCTGTATATTCCCCTTGAGGCAGCAAACTCGGGGTCCCTCCCACATACCTATTGCTGAGAGAAGCCTCCTCCTGAGGTGCTTCTGGGAAGTTGGCATACGTCTTGAGCCTAAGCCAGGGAATCAGCTCGCATCTCGAGACGATTTGGGGTACACGGAGCATTCCTCGAGTTGCTGTGCTGAAGTTGGTGTTCCTCTAGACTTGGGACAGTGTTCTCGGGGCATCTCTGGAGTTGCATGAAGGAAGTCGAGCCACCGGTCGTGTTGAATGGGGAATGGGGAATGGCTCTGGAGTCAATGCAGGGGAATCGGGCCTCATCTCGAGTTGATTTGGGGCACATGGAGCTGCTTTGCGTTGCTGGGGTGACCTCAGGGTCCGTCTAGACTGGTGACAGTGTTCTTGGGGACTGTCTCGAGATCCATTAAGCAAGTCGAAGCTCCTGACTTTTTTGAATGGGATCACAGAATAGCTCTGCATGCACTGCAGGGGAATGGGGCCTCATCTCGCCTCTAGGGGGAAGTCTCATGGTTTTTCTCGAGTTGCGGCGGGGACCTGGGGTATGTTCTCGACTTACGGCGGGGATGGCCCTTCAAAACACGAGTTTCTTCAGTGACGTCAGGACTCCTGTCTAGTAACGAGCGACACCTCAGGAATCTCTTCGAGGCTTGGCAGGGCCAAAGGGACGCTTCTCGAGGTGAGGCAGGGCACCCAAGGACCCTTTCCAGTAGCCACAGGGATTTTGGGATTCCTATCAGTGTTCAAGAGGAGTCAGGCATCGTCACCTTTTGAAGCAATGAACTCCGCGTGCCTCTCGAGGTTTCAGCGGGATGTGAGGCATTCCGTCAAAATGAGGCAGGGACCTAGGGCTTTCTCTAAGGTCTCCACAGGGGATTCAGACATCCCTTCATGTTGTGAGATGAAAGACGAGCCTGTATTCAAGCCACTGCAAGGAAATCCGGCCTCCTTTCAAGTGAGGGCTTCTCGCTGTATATTCCCCTTGAGGCAGCAAACTCGGGGTCCCTCCCACATACCTATTGCTGAGAGAAGCCTCCTCCTGAGGTGCTTCTGGGAAGTTGGCATACGTCTTGAGCCTAAGCCAGGGAATCAGCTCGCATCTCGAGACGATTTGGGGTACACGGAGCATTCCTCGAGTTGCTGTGCTGAAGTTGGTGTTCCTCTAGACTAGGGACAGTGTTCTCGGGGCATCTCTGGAGTTGCCTGAAGGAAGTCGAGCCACCGGTCGTGTTGAATGGGGAACGGGGAATGGCTCTGGAGTCAATGCAGGGGAATCGGGCCTCATCTCGAGTTGATTTGGGGCACATGGAGCTGCTTTGCGTTGCTGGGGTGACCTCAGGGTCCGTCTAGACTGGTGACAGTGTTCTTGGGGACTCTCTCGAGATCCATTAAGCAAGTCGAAGCTCCTGACTTGTTTGAATGGGATCACGGAATAGCTCTGCATGCACTGCAGGGGAATGGGGCCTCATCTCGCCTCTAGGGGGAACTCTCATGGTTTTTCTCGAGTTGCGGCGGGGACCTGGGGTATGTTCTCGACTTACGGCGGGGATGGCCCTTCAAAACACGAGTTTCTTCAGTAACGTCAGGACTCCTGTCTAGTAACGAGGGACACCTCAGGAATCTCTTCGAGGCTTGGCAGGGCCAAAGGGACGCTTCTCGAGGTGAGGCAGGGCACCCAAGGACCCTTTCCAGTAGCCACAGGGATTTTGGGATTCCTATCAGTATTCAAGAGGAGTCAGGCATCGTCACCTTTTGAAGCAATGAACTCCGCGTGCCTCTCGAGGTGTCAGCGGGATGTGAGGCATTCCGTCAAAATGAGGCAGGGACCTAGGGCTTTCTCTAAGGTCTCCACAGGGGATTCAGACATCCCTTCATGTTGTGAGATGAAAGACGAGCCTGTATTCAAGCCACTGCAAGGAAATCCGGCCTCCTTTCAAGTTAGGGCTTCTCGCTCTATATTCCCCTTGAGGCAGCAAACTCGGGGTCCCTCCCACATACCTATTGCTGAGAGAAGCCTCCTAATGAGGTGCTTCTGGGAAGTTGGCATACGTCTTGAGCCTAAGCCAGGGAATCAGCTCGCATCTCGAGACGATTTGGGGTACACGGAGCATTCCTCGAGTTGCTGTGCTGAAGTTGGTGTTCCTCTAGACTTGGGACAGTGTTCTCGGGGCATTTCTGGAGTTGCCTGAAGGAAGTCGAGCCACCGGTCGTGTTGAATGGGGAACGGGGAATGGCTCTGGAGTCAATGCAGGGGAATCGGGCCTCATCTCGAGTTGATTTGGGGCACATGGAGCTGCTTTGCGTTGCTGGGGTGACCTCAGGGTCCGTCTAGACTGGTGACAGTGTTCTTGGGGACTGTCTCGAGATCCATTACGCAAGTCGAAGCTCCTGACTTGTTTGAATGGGATCACGGAATAGCTCTGCATGCACTGCAGGGGAATGGGGCCTCATCTCGCCTCTAGGGGGAAGTCTCATGGTTTTTCTTGAGTTGCGGCGGGGACCTGGGGTATGTTCTCGACTTACGGCGGGGATGGCCCTTCAAAACACGAGTTTCTTCAGTGACGTCAGGACTCCTGTCTAGTAACGAGGGACACCTCAGGAATCTCTTCGAGGCTTGGCAGGGCCAAAGGGACGCTTTTCGAGGTGAGGCAGGGCACCCAAGGACCCTTTCCAGTAGCCACAGGGATTTTGGGATTCCTATCAGTATTCAAGAGGAGTCAGGCATCGTCACCTTTTGAAGCAATGAACTCCGCGTGCCTCTCGAGGTGTCAGCGGGATGTGAGGCATTCCGTCAAAATGAGGCAGGGACCTAGGGCTTTCTCTAAGGTCTCCACAGGGGATTCAGACATCCCTTCATGTTGTGAGATGAAAGACGAGCCTGTATTCAAGCCACTGCAAGGAAATCCGGCCTCCTTTCAAGTTAGGGCTTCTCGCTGTATATTCCCCTTGAGGCAGCAAACTCGGGGTCCCTCCCACATACCTATTGCTGAGAGAAGCCTCCTCCTGAGGTGCTTCTGGGAAGTTGGCATACGTCTTGAGCCTAAGCCAGGGAATCAGCTCGCATCTCGAGACGATTTGGGGTACACGGAGCATTCCTCGAGTTGCTGTGCTGAAGTTGGTGTTCCTCTAGACTTGGGACAGTGTTCTCGGGGCATCTCTGGAGTTGCCTGAAGGAAGTCGAGCCACCGGTCGTGTTGAATGGGGAATGGGGAATGGCTCTGGAGTCAATGCAGGGGAATCGGGCCTCATCTCGAGTTGATTTGGGGCACATGGAGCTGCTTTGCGTTGCTGGGGTGACCTCAGGGTCCGTCTAGACTGGTGACAGTGTTCTTGGGGACTGTCTCGAGATCCATTAAGCAAGTCGAAGCTCCTGACTTTTTTGAATGGGATCACAGAATAGCTCTGCATGCACTGCAGGGGAATGGGGCCTCATCTCGCCTCTAGGGGGAAGTCTCATGGTTTTTCTCGAGTTGCGGCGGGGACCTGGGGTATGTTCTCGACTTACGGCGGGGATGGCCCTTCAAAACACGAGTTTCTTCAGTGACGTCAGGACTCCTGTCTAGTAACGAGCGACACCTCAGGAATCTCTTCGAGGCTTGGCAGGGCCAAAGGGACGCTTCTCGAAGTGAGGCAGGGCACCCAAGGACCCTTTCCAGTAGCCACAGGGATTTTGGGATTCCTATCAGTGTTCAAGAGGAGTCAGGCATCGTCACCTTTTGAAGCAATGAACTCCGCGTGCCTCTCGAGGTGTCAGCGGGATGTGAGGCATTCCGTCAAAATGAGGCAGGGACCTAGGGCTTTCTCTAAGGTCTCCACAGGGGATTCAGACATCCCTTCATGTTGTGAGATGAAAGACGAGCCTGTATTCAAGCCACTGCAAGGAAATCCGGCCTCCTTTCAAGTGAGGGCTTCTCGCTGTATATTCCCCTTGAGGCAGCAAACTCGGGGTCCCTCCCACATACCTATTGCTGAGAGAAGCCTCCTCCTGAGGTGCTTCTGGGAAGTTGGCATACGTCTTGAGCCTAAGCCAGGGAATCAGCTCGCATCTCGAGACGATTTGGGGTACACGGAGCATTCCTCGAGTTGCTGTGCTGAAGTTGGTGTTCCTCTAGACTTGGGACAGTGTTCTCGGGGCATCTCTGGAGTTGCCTGAAGGAAGTCGAGCCACCGGTCGTGTTGAATGGGGAACGGGGAATGGCTCTGGAGTCAATGCAGGGGAATCGGGCCTCATCTCGAGTTGATTTGGGGCACATGGAGCTGCTTTGCGTTGCTGGGGTGACCTCAGGGTCCGTCTAGACTGGTGACAGTGTTCTTGGGGACTGTCTCGAGATCCATTAAGCAAGTCGAAGCTCCTGACTTGTTTGAATGGGATCACGGAATAGCTCTGCATGCACTGCAGGGGAATGGGGCCTCATCTCGCCTCTAGGGGGAAGTCTCATGGTTTTTCTCGAGTTGCGGCGAGGACCTGGGGTATGTTCTCGACTTACGGCGGGGATGGCCCTTCAAAACACGAGTTTCTTCAGTGACGTCAGGACTCCTGTCTAGTAACGAGGGACACCTCAGGAATCTCTTCGAGGCTTGGCAGGGGCAAAGGGACGCTTCTCGAGCTGAGGCAGGGCACCCAAGGACCCTTTCCAGTAGCCACAGGGATTTTGGGATTCCTATCAGTATTCAAGAGGAGTCAGGCATCGTCACCTTTTGAAGCAATGAACTCCGCGTGCCTCTCGAGGTGTCAGCGGGATGTGAGGCATTCCGTCAAAATGAGGCAGGGACCTAGGGCTTTCTCTAAGGTCTCCACAGGGGATTCAGACATCCCTTCATGTTGTGAGATGAAAGACGAGCCTGTATTCAAGCCACTGCAAGGAAATCCGGCCTCCTTTCAAGTTAGGGCTTCTCGCTGTATATTCCCCTTGAGGCAGCAAACTCGGGGTCCCTCCCACATACCTATTGCTGAGAGAAGCCTCCTCCTGAGCTGCTTCTGGGAAGTTGGCATACGTCTTGAGCCTAAGCCAGGGAATCAGCTCGCATCTCGAGACGATTTGGGGTACACGGAGCATTCCTCGAGTTGCTGTGCTGAAGCTGGTGTTCCTCTAGACTTGGGACAGTGTTCTCGGGGCATCTCTGGAGTTGCCTGAAGGAAGTCGAGCCACCGGTCGTGTTGAATGGGGAACGGGGAATGGCTCTGGAGTCAATGCAGGGGAATCGGGCCTCATCTCGAGTTGATTTGGGGCACATGGAGCTGCTTTGCGTTGCTGGGGTGACCTCAGGGTCCGTCTAGACTGGTGACAGTGTTCTTGGGGACTGTCTCGAGATCCATTAAGCAAGTCGAAGCTCCTGACTTGTTTGAATTGGGTCACGGAATAGCTCTGCATGCACTGCAGGGGAATGGGGCCTCATCTCGCCTCTAGGGGGAAGTCTCATGGTTTTTCTCGAGTTGCGGCGGGGACCTGGGGTATGTTCTCGACTTACGGCGGGGATGGCCCTTCAAAACACGAGTTTCTTCAGTGACGTCAGGACTCCTGTCTAGTAACGAGGGACACCTCAGGAATCTCTTCGAGGCTTGGCAGGGCCAAAGGGACGCTTCTCGAGCTGAGGCAGGGCACCCAAGGACCCTTTCCAGTAGCCACAGGGATTTTGGGATTCCTATCAGTATTCAAGAGGAGTCAGGCATCGTCACCTTTTGAAGCAATGAACTCCGCGTGCCTCTCGAGGTGTCAGCGGGATGTGAGGCATTCCGTCAAAATGAGGCAGGGACCTAGGGCTTTCTCTAAGGTCTCCACAGGGGATTCAGACATCCCTTCATGTTGTGAGATGAAAGACGAGCCTGTATTCAAGCCACTGCAAGGAAATCCGGCCTCCTTTCAAGTTAGGGCTTCTCGCTGTATATTCCCCTTGAGGCAGCAAACTCGGGGTCCCTCCCACATACCTATTGCTGAGAGAAGCCTCCTCCTGAGGTGCTTCTGGGAAGTTGGCATACGTCTTGAGACTAAGCCAGGGAATCAGCTCGCATCTCGAGACGATTTGGGGTACACGGAGCATTCCTCGAGTTGCTGTGCTGAAGCTGGTGTTCCTCTAGACTTGGGACAGTGTTCTCGGGGCATCTCTGGAGTTGCCTGAAGGAAGTCGAGCCACCGGTCGTGTTGGATGGGGAACGGGGAATGGCTCTGGAGTCAATGCAGGGGAATCGGGCCTCATCTCGAGTTGATTTGGGGCACATGGAGCTGCTTTGCGTTGCTGGGGTGACCTCAGGGTCCGTCTAGACTGGTGACAGTGTTCTTGGGGACTGTCTCGAGATCCATTAAGCAAGTCGAAGCTCCTGACTTGTTTGAATGGGATCACGGAATAGCTCTGCATGCACTGCAGGGGAATGGGGCCTCATCTCGCCTCTAGGGGGAAGTCTCATGGTTTTTCTCGAGTTGCGGCGGGGACCTGGGGTATGTTCTCGACTTACGGCGGGGATGGCCCTTCAAAACACGAGTTTCTTCAGTGACGTCAGGACTCCTGTCTAGTAACGAGGGACACCTCAGGAATCTCTTCGAGGCATGGCAGGGCCAAAGGGACGCTTCTCGAGGTGAGGCAGGGCACCCAAGGACCCTTTCCAGTAGCCACAGGGATTTGGGGATTCCTATCAGTATTCAAGAGGAGTCAGGCATCGTCACCTTTTGAAGCAATGAACTCCGCGTGCCTCTCGAGGTGTCAGCGGGATGTGAGGCATTCCGTCAAAATGAGGCAGGGACCTAGGGCTTTCTCTAAGGTCTCCACAGGGGATTCAGACATCCCTTCATGTTGTGAGATGAAAGACGAGCCTGTATTCAAGCCACTGCAAGGAAATCCGGCCTCCTTTCAAGTTAGGGCTTCTCGCTGTATATTCCCCTTGAGGCAGCAAACTCGGGGTCCCTCCCACATACCTATTGCTGAGAGAAGCCTCCTCCTGAGGTGCTTCTGGGAAGTTGGCATACGTCTTGAGCCTAAGCCAGGGAATCAGCTCGCATCTCGAGACGATTTGGGGTACACGGAGCATTCCTCGAGTTGCTGTGCTGAAGCTGGTGTTCCTCTAGACTTGGGACAGTGTTCTCGGGGCATCTCTGGAGTTGCCTGAAGGAAGTCGAGCCACCGGTCGTGTTGAATGGGGAACGGGGAATGGCTCTGGAGTCAATGCAGGGGAATCGGGCCTCATCTCGAGTTGATTTGGGGCACATGGAGCTGCTTTGCGTTGCTGGGGTGACCTCAGGGTCCGTCTAGACTGGTGACAGTGTTCTTGGGGACTGTCTCGAGATCCATTAAGCAAGTCGAAGCTCCTGACTTGTTTGAATGGGATCACGGAATAGCTCTGCATGCACTGCAGGGGAATGGGGCCTCATCTCGCCTCTAGGGGGAAGTCTCATGGTTTTTCTCGAGTTGCGGCGGGGACCTGGGGTATGTTCTCGACTTACTGCGGGGATGGCCCTTCAAAACACGAGTTTCTTCAGTGACGTCAGGACTCTTGTCTAGTAACGAGGGACACCTCAGGAATCTCTTCGAGGCTTGGCAGGGCCAAAGGGACGCTTCTCGAGGTGAGGCAGGGCACCCAAGGACCCTTTCCAGTAGCCACAGGGATTTGGGGATTCCTATCAGTATTCAAGAGGAGTCAGGCATCGTCACCTTTTGAAGCAATGAACTCCGCGTGCCTCTCGAGGTGTCAGCGGGATGTGAGGCATTCCGTCAAAATGAGGCAGGGACCTAGGGCTTTCTATAAGGTCTCCACAGGGGATTCAGACAGCCCTTCATGTTGTGAGATGAAAGACGAGCCTGTATTCAAGCCACTGCAAGGAAATCCGGCCTCCTTTCAAGTTAGGGCTTCTCGCTGTATATTCCCCTTGAGGCAGCAAACTCGGGGTCCCTCCCACATACCTATTGCTGAGAGAAGCCTCCTCCTGAGGTGCTTCTGGGAAGTTGGCATACGTCTTGAGCCTAAGCCAGGGAATCAGCTCTCATCTCGAGACGATTTGGGGTACACGGAGCATTCCTCGAGTTGCTGTGCTGAAGCTGGTGTTCCTCTAGACTTGGGACAGTGTTCTCGGGGCATCTCTGGAGTTGCCTGAAGGAAGTCGAGCCACCGGTCGTGTTGAATGGGGAACGGGGAATGGCTCTGGAGTCAATGCAGGGGAATCGGGCCTCATCTCGAGTTGATTTGGGGCACATGGAGCTGCTTTGCGTTGCTGGGGTGACCTCAGGGTCCGTCTAGACTGGTGACAGTGTTCTTGGGGACTGTCTCGAGATCCATTAAGCAAGTCGAAGCTCCTGACTTGTTTGAATGGGATCACGGAATAGCTCTGCATGCACTGCAGGGGAATGGGGCCTCATCTCGCCTCTAGGGGGAAGTCTCATGGTTTTTCTCGAGTTGCGGCGGGGACCTGGGGTATGTTCTCGACTTACGGCGGGGATGGCCCTTCAAAACACGAGTTTCTTCAGTGACGTCAGGACTCCTGTCTATTAACGAGGGACACCTCAGGAATCTCTTCGAGGCTTGGCAGGGCCAAAGGGACGCTTCTCGAGGTTAGGCAGGGCACCCAAGGACCCTTTCCAGTAGCCACAGGGTTTTGGGATTCCTATCAGTATTCAAGAGGAGTCAGGCATCGTCACCTTTTGAAGCAATGAACTCCGCGTGCCTCTCGAGGTGTCAGCGGGATGTGAGGCATTCCGTCAAAATGAGGCAGGGACCTAGGGCTTTCTCTAAGGTCTCCACAGGGGATTCAGACATCCCTTCATGTTGTGAGATGAAAGACGAGCCTGTATTCAAGCCACTGCAAGGAAATCCGGCCTCCTTTCAAGTTAGGGCTTCTCGCTGTATATTCCCCTTGAGGCAGCAAACTCGGGGTCCCTCCCACATACCTATTGCTGAGAGAAGCCTCCTCCTGAGGTGCTTCTGGGAAGTTGGCATACGTCTTGAGCCTAAGCCAGGGAATCAGCTCGCATCTCGAGACGATTTGGGGTACACGAAGCATTCCTCGAGTTGCTGTTCTGAAGCTGGTGTTCCTCTAGACTTGGGACAGTGTTCTCGGGGCATCTCTGGAGTTGCCTGAAGGAAGTCGAGCCACCGGTCGTGTTGAATGGGGAACGGGGAATGGCTCTGGAGTCAATGCAGGGGAATCGGGCCTCATCTCGAGTTGATTTGGGGCACATGGAGCTGCTTTGCGTTGCTGGGGTGACCTCAGGGTCCGTCTAGACTGGTGACAGTGTTCTTGGGGACTCTCTCGAGATCCATTAAGCAAGTCGAAGCTCCTGACTTGTTTGAATGGGATCACGGAATAGCTCTGCATGCACTGCAGGGGAATGGGGCCTCATCTCGCCTCTAGGGGGAAGTCTCATGGTTTTTCTAGAGTTGCGGCGGGGACCTGGGGTATGTTCTCGACTTACGGCGGGGATGGCCCTTCAAAACACGAGTTTCTTCAGTAACGTCAGGACTCCTGTCTAGTAACGAGGGACACCTCAGGAATCTCTTCGAGGCTTGGCAGGGCCAAAGGGACGCTTCTCGAGGTGAGGCAGGGCACCCAAGGACCCTTTCCAGTAGCCACAGGGATTTTGGGATTCCTATCAGTATTCAAGAGGAGTCAGGCATCGTCACCTTTTGAAGCAATGAACTCCGCGTGCCTCTCGAGGTGTCAGCGGGATGTGAGGCATTCCGTCAAAATGAGGCAGGGACCTAGGGCTTTCTCTAAGGTCTCCACAGGGGATTCAGACATCCCTTCATGTTGTGAGATGAAAGACGAGCCTGTATTCAAGCCACTGCAAGGAAATCCGGCCTCCTTTCAAGTTAGGGCTTCTCGCTGTATATTCCCCTTGAGGCAGCAAACTCGGGGTCCCTCCCACATACCTATTGCTGAGAGAAGCCTCCTAATGAGGTGCTTCTGGGAAGTTGGCATACGTCTTGAGCCTAAGCCAGGGAATCAGCTCGCATCTCGAGACGATTTGGGGTACACGGAGCATTCCTCGAGTTGCTGTGCTGAAGTTGGTGTTCCTCTAGACTTGGGACAGTGTTCTCGGGGCATTTCTGGAGTTGCCTGAAGGAAGTCGAGCCACCGGTCGTGTTGAATGGGGAACGGGGAATGGCTCTGGAGTCAATGCAGGGGAATCGGGCCTCATCTCGAGTTGATTTGGGGCACATGGAGCTGCTTTGCGTTGCTGGGGTGACCTCAGGGTCCGTCTAGACTGGTGACAGTGTTCTTGGGGACTCTCTCGAGATCCATTAAGCAAGTCGAAGCTCCTGACTTGTTTGAATGGGATCACGGAATAGCTCTGCATGCACTGCAGGGGAATGGGGCCTCATCTCGCCTCTAGGGGGAAGTCTCATGGTTTTTCTCGAGTTGCGGCGGGGACCTGGGGTATGTTCTCGACTTACGGCGGGGATGGCCCTTCAAAACACGAGTTTCTTCACTAACGTCAGGACTCCTGTCTAGTAACGAGGGACACCTCAGGAATCTCTTCGAGGCATGGCAGGGCCAAAGGGACGCTTCTCGAGGTGAGGCAGGGCACCCAAGGACCCTTTCCAGTAGCCACAGGGATTTTGGGATTCCTATCAGTATTCAAGAGGAGTCAGGCATCGTCACCTTTTGAAGCAATGAACTCCGCGTGCCTCTCGAGGTGTCAGCGGGATGTGAGGCATTCCGTCAAAATGAGGCAGGGACCTAGGGCTTTCTCTAAGGTCTCCACAGGGGATTCAGACATCCCTTCATGTTGTGAGATGAAAGACGAGCCTGTATTCAAGCCACTGCAAGGAAATCCGGCCTCCTTTCAAGTTAGGGCTTCTCGCTGTATATTCCCCTTGAGGCAGCAAACTCGGGGTCCCTCCCACATACCTATTGCTGAGAGAAGCCTCCTCCTGAGGTGCTTCTGGGAAGTTGGCATACGTCTTGAGCCTAAGCCAGGGAATCAGCTCGCATCTCGAGACGATTTGGGGTACACGGAGCATTCCTCGAGTTGCTGTGCTGAAGTTGGTGTTCCTCTAGACTTGGGACAGTGTTCTCGGGGCATCTCTGGAGTTGCCTGAAGGAAGTCGAGCCACCGGTCGTGTTGAATGGGGAACGGGGAATGGCTCTGGAGTCAATGCAGGGGAATCGGGCCTCATCTCGAGTTGATTTGGGGCACATGGAGCTGCTTTGCGTTGCTGGGGTGACCTCAGGGTCCGTCTAGACTGGTGACAGTGTTCTTGGGGACTGTCTCGAGATCCATTAAGCAAGTCGAAGCTCCTGACTTTTTTGAATGGGATCACAGAATAGCTCTGCATGCACTGCAGGGGAATGGGGCCTCATCTCGCCTCTAGGGGGAAGTCTCATGGTTTTTCTCGAGTTGCGGCGGGGACCTGGGGTATGTTCTCGACTTACGGCGGGGATGGCCCTTCAAAACACGAGTTTCTTCAGTGACGTCAGGACTCCTGTCTAGTAACGAGCGACACCTCAGGAATCTCTTCGAGGCTTGGCAGGGCCAAAGGGACGCTTCTCTAGGTGAGGCAGGGCACCCAAGGACCCTTTCCAGTAGCCACAGGGATTTTGGGATTCCTATCAGTGTTCAAGAGGAGTCAGGCATCGTCACCTTTTGAAGCAATGAACTCCGCGTGCCTCTCGAGGTGTCAGCGGGATGTGAGGCATTCCGTCAAAATGAGGCAGGGACCTAGGGCTTTCTCTAAGGTCTCCACAGGGGATTCAGACATCCCTTCATGTTGTGAGATGAAAGACGAGCCTGTATTCAAGCCACTGCAAGGAAATCCGGCATCCTTTCAAGTTAGGGCTTCTCGCTGTATATTCCCCTTGAGGCAGCAAACTCGGGGTCCCTCCCACATACCTATTTCTGAGAGAAGCCTCCTCCTGAGGTGCTTCTGGGAAGTTGGCATACGTCTTGAGCCTAAGCCAGGGAATCAGCTCGCATCTCGAGACGATTTGGGGTACACGGAGCATTCCTCGAGTTGCTGTGCTGAAGTTGGTGTTCCTCTAGACTTGGGACAGTGTTCTCGGGGCATCTCTGGAGTTGCCTGAAGGAAGTCGAGCCACCGGTCGTGTTGAATGGGGAACGGGGAATGGCTCTGGAGTCAATGCAGGGGAATCGGGCCTCATCTCGAGTTGATTTGGGGCACATGGAGCTGCTTTGCGTTGCTGGGGTGACCTCAGGGTCCGTCTAGACTGGTGACAGTGTTCTTGGGGACTGTCTCGAGATCCATTAAGCAAGTCGAAGCTCCTGACTTGTTTGAATGGGGTCACGGAATAGCTCTGCATGCACTGCAGGGGAATGGGGCCTCATCTCGCCTCTAGGGGGAAGTCTCATGGTTTTTCTCGAGTTGCGGCGGGGACCTGGGGTATGTTCTCGACTTACGGCGGGGATGGCCCTTCAAAACACGAGTTTCTTCAGTGACGTCAGGACTCCTGTCTAGTAACGAGGGACACCTCAGGAATCTCTTCGAGGCTTGGCAGGGCCAAAGGGACGCTTCTCGAGCTGAGGCAGGGCACCCAAGGACCCTTTCCAGTAGCCACAGGGATTTTGGGATTCCTATCAGTATTCAAGAGGAGTCAGGCATCGTCACCTTTTGAAGCAATGAACTCCGCGTGCCTCTCGAGGTGTCAGCGGGATGTGAGGCATTCCGTCAAAATGAGGCAGGGACCTAGGGCTTTCTCTAAGGTCTCCACAGGGGATTCAGACATCCCTTCATGTTGTGAGATGAAAGACGAGCCTGTATTCAAGCCACTGCAAGGAAATCCGGCCTCCTTTCAAGTTAGGGCTTCTCGCTGTATATTCCCCTTGAGGCAGCAAACTCGGGGTCCCTCCCACATACCTATTGCTGAGAGAAGCCTCCTCCTGAGGTGCTTCTGGGAAGTTGGCATACGTCTTGAGCCTAAGCCAGGGAATCAGCTCGCATCTCGAGACGATTTGGGGTACACGGAGCATTCCTCGAGTTGCTGTGCTGAAGCTGGTGTTCCTCTAGACTTGGGACAGTGTTCTCGGGGCATCTCTGGAGTTGCCTGAAGGAAGTCGAGCCACCGGTCGTGTTGGATGGGGAACGGGGAATGGCTCTGGAGTCAATGCAGGGGAATCGGGCCTCATCTCGAGTTGATTTGGGGCACATGGAGCTGCTTTGCGTTGCTGGGGTGACCTCAGGGTCCGTCTAGACTGGTGACAGTGTTCTTGGGGACTGTCTCGAGATCCATTAAGCAAGTCGAAGCTCCTGACTTGTTTGAATGGGATCACGGAATAGCTCTGCATGCACTGCAGGGGAATGGGGCCTCATCTCGCCTCTAGGGGGAAGTCTCATGGTTTTTCTCGAGTTGCGGCGGGGACCTGGGGTATGTTCTCGACTTACGGCGGGGATGGCCCTTCAAAACACGAGTTTCTTCAGTGACGTCAGGACTCCTGTCTAGTAACGAGGGACACCTCAGGAATCTCTTCGAGGCATGGCAGGGCCAAAGGGACGCTTCTCGAGGTGAGGCAGGGCACCCAAGGACCCTTTCCAGTAGCCACAGGGATTTGGGGATTCCTATCAGTATTCAAGAGGAGTCAGGCATCGTCACCTTTTGAAGCAATGAACTCCGCGTGCCTCTCGAGGTGTCAGCGGGATGTGAGGCATTCCGTCAAAATGAGGCAGGGACCTAGGGCTTTCTCTAAGGTCTCCACAGGGGATTCAGACATCCCTTCATGTTGTGAGATGAAAGACGAGCCTGTATTCAAGCCACTGCAAGGAAATCCGGCCTCCTTTCAAGTTAGGGCTTCTCGCTGTATATTCCCCTTGAGGCAGCAAACTCGGGGTCCCTCCCACATACCTATTGCTGAGAGAAGCCTCCTCCTGAGGTGCTTCTGGGAAGTTGGCATACGTCTTGAGCCTAAGCCAGGGAATCAGCTCGCATCTCGAGACGATTTGGGGTACACGGAGCATTCCTCGAGTTGCTGTGCTGAAGCTGGTGTTCCTCTAGACTTGGGACAGTGTTCTCGGGGCATCTCTGGAGTTGCCTGAAGGAAGTCGAGCCACCGGTCGTGTTGAATGGGGAACGGGGAATGGCTCTGGAGTCAATGCAGGGGAATCGGGCCTCATCTCGAGTTGATTTGGGGCACATGGAGCTGCTTTGCGTTGCTGGGGTGACCTCAGGGTCCGTCTAGACTGGTGACAGTGTTCTTGGGGACTGTCTCGAGATCCATTAAGCAAGTCGAAGCTCCTGACTTGTTTGAATGGGATCACGGAATAGCTCTGCATGCACTGCAGGGGAATGGGGCCTCATCTCGCCTCTAGGGGGAAGTCTCATGGTTTTTCTCGAGTTGCGGCGGGGACCTGGGGTATGTTCTCGACTTACTGCGGGGATGGCCCTTCAAAACACGAGTTTCTTCAGTGACGTCAGGACTCTTGTCTAGTAACGAGGGACACCTCAGGAATCTCTTCGAGGCTTGGCAGGGCCAAAGGGACGCTTCTCGAGGTGAGGCAGGGCACCCAAGGACCCTTTCCAGTAGCCACAGGGATTTGGGGATTCCTATCAGTATTCAAGAGGAGTCAGGCATCGTCACCTTTTGAAGCAATGAACTCCGCGTGCCTCTCAAGGTGTCAGCGGGATGTGAGGCATTCCGTCAAAATGAGGCAGGGACCTAGGGCTTTCTCTAAGGTCTCCACAGGGGATTCAGACATCCCTTCATGTTGTGAGATGAAAGACGAGCCTGTATTCAAGCCACTGCAAGGAAATCCGGCCTCCTTTCAAGTTAGGGCTTCTCGCTGTATATTCCCCTTGAGGCAGCAAACTCGGGGTCCCTCCCACATACCTATTGCTGAGAGAAGCCTCCTCCTGAGGTGCTTCTGGGAAGTTGGCATACGTCTTGAGCCTAAGCCAGGGAATCAGCTCGCATCTCGAGACGATTTGGGGTACACGGAGCATTCCTCGAGTTGCTGTGCTGAAGCTGGTGTTCCTCTAGACTTGGGACAGTGTTCTCGGGGCATCTCTGGAGTTGCCTGAAGGAAGTCGAGCCACCGGTCGTGTTGAATGGGGAACGGGGAATGGCTCTGGAGTCAATGCAGGGGAATCGGGCCTCATCTCGAGTTGATTTGGGGCACATGGAGCTGCTTTGCGTTGCTGGGGTGACCTCAGGGTCCGTCTAGACTGGTGACAGTGTTCTTGGGGACTGTCTCGAGATCCATTAAGCAAGTCGAAGCTCCTGACTTGTTTGAATGGGATCACGGAATAGCTCTGCATGCACTGCAGGGGAATGGGGCCTCATCTCGCCTCTAGGGGGAAGTCTCATGGTTTTTCTCGAGTTGCGGCGGGGACCTGGGGTATGTTCTCGACTTACTGCGGGGATGGCCCTTCAAAACACGAGTTTCTTCAGTGACGTCAGGACTCTTGTCTAGTAACGAGGGACACCTCAGGAATCTCTTCGAGGCTTGGCAGGGCCAAAGGGACGCTTCTCGAGGTGAGGCAGGGCACCCAAGGACCCTTTCCAGTAGCCACAGGGATTTTGGGATTCCTATCAGTATTCAAGAGGAGTCAGGCATCGTCACCTTTTGAAGCAATGAACTCCGCGTGCCTCTCGAGGTGTCAGCGGGATGTGAGGCATTCCGTCAAAATGAGGCAGGGACCTAGGGCTTTCTCTAAGGTCTCCACAGGGGATTCAGACATCCCTTCATGTTGTGAGATGAAAGACGAGCCTGTATTCAAGCCACTGCAAGGAAATCCGGCCTCCTTTCAAGTTAGGGCTTCTCGCTGTATATTCCCCTTGAGGCAGCAAACTCGGGGTCCCTCCCACATACCTATTGCTGAGAGAAGCCTCCTCCTGAGGTGCTTCTGGGAAGTTGGCATACGTCTTGAGCCTAAGCCAGGGAATCAGCTCGCATCTCGAGACGATTTGGGGTACACGGAGCATTCCTCGAGTTGCTGTGCTGAAGTTGGTGTTCCTCTAGACTTGGGACAGTGTTCTCGGGGCATCTCTGGAGTTGCCTGAAGGAAGTCGAGCCACCGGTCGTGTTGAATGGGGAATGGGGAATGGCTCTGGAGTCAATGCAGGGGAATCGGGCCTCATCTCGAGTTGATTTGGGGCACATGGAGCTGCTTTGCGTTGCTGGGGTGACCTCAGGGTCCGTCTAGACTGGTGACAGTGTTCTTGGGGACTGTCTCGAGATCCATTAAGCAAGTCGAAGCTCCTGACTTTTTTGAATGGGATCACAGAATAGCTCTGCATGCACTGCAGGGGAATGGGGCCTCATCTCGCCTCTAGGGGGAAGTCTCATGGTTTTTCTCGAGTTGCGGCGGGGACCTGGGGTATGTTCTCGACTTACGGCGGGGATGGCCCTTCAAAACACGAGTTTCTTCAGTGACGTCAGGACTCCTGTCTAGTAACGAGCGACACCTCAGGAATCTCTTCGAGGCTTGGCAGGGCCAAAGGGACGCTTCTCGAGGTGAGGCAGGGCACCCAAGGACCCTTTCCAGTAGCCACAGGGATTTTGGGATTCCTATCAGTGTTCAAGAGGAGTCAGGCATCGTCACCTTTTGAAGCAATGAACTCCGTGTGCCTCTCGAGGTGTCAGCGGGATGTGAGGCATTCCGTCAAAATGAGGCAGGGACCTAGGGCTTTCTCTAAGGTCTCCACAGGGGATTCAGACATCCCTTCATGTTGTGAGATGAAAGACGAGCCTGTATTCAAGCCACTGCAAGGAAATCCGGCATCCTTTCAAGTTAGGGCTTCTCGCTGTATATTCCCCTTGAGGCAGCAAACTCGGGGTCCCTCCCACATACCTATTTCTGAGAGAAGCCTCCTCCTGAGGTGCTTCTGGGAAGTTGGCATACGTCTTGAGCCTAAGCCAGGGAATCAGCTCGCATCTCGAGACGATTTGGGGTACACGGAGCATTCCTCGAGTTGCTGTGCTGAAGTTGGTGTTCCTCTAGACTTGGGACAGTGTTCTCGGGGCATCTCTGGAGTTGCCTGAAGGAAGTCGAGCCACCGGTCGTGTTGAATGGGGAACGGGGAATGGCTCTGGAGTCAATGCAGGGGAATCGGGCCTCATCTCGAGTTGATTTGGGGCACATGGAGCTGCTTTGCGTTGCTGGGGTGACCTCAGGGTCCGTCTAGACTGGTGACAGTGTTCTTGGGGACTGTCTCGAGATCCATTAAGCAAGTCGAAGCTCCTGACTTGTTTGAATGGGGTCACGGAATAGCTCTGCATGCACTGCAGGGGAATGGGGCCTCATCTCGCCTCTAGGGGGAAGTCTCATGGTTTTTCTCGAGTTGCGGCGGGGACCTGGGGTATGTTCTCGACTTACGGCGGGGATGGCCCTTCAAAACACGAGTTTCTTCAGTGACGTCAGGACTCCTGTCTAGTAACGAGGGACACCTCAGGAATCTCTTCGAGGCTTGGCAGGGCCAAAGGGACGCTTCTCGAGCTGAGGCAGGGCACCCAAGGACCCTTTCCAGTAGCCACAGGGATTTTGGGATTCCTATCAGTATTCAAGAGGAGTCAGGCATCGTCACCTTTTGAAGCAATGAACTCCGCGTGCCTCTCGAGGTGTCAGCGGGATGTGAGGCATTCCGTCAAAATGAGGCAGGGACCTAGGGCTTTCTCTAAGGTCTCCACAGGGGATTCAGACATTCCTTCATGTTGTGAGATGAAAGACGAGCCTGTATTCAAGCCACTGCAAGGAAATCCGGCCTCCTTTCAAGTTAGGGCTTCTCGCTGTATATTCCCCTTGAGGCAGCAAACTCGGGGTCCCTCCCACATACCTATTGCTGTGAGAAGCCTCCTCCTGAGGTGCTTCTGGGAAGTAGGCATACGTCTTGAGCCTAAGCCAGGGAATCAGCTCGCATCTCGAGACGATTTGGGGTACACGGAGCATTCCTCGAGTTGCTGTGCTGAAGCTGGTGTTCCTCTAGACTTGGGACAGTGTTCTCGGGGCATCTCTGGAGTTGCCTGAAGGAAGTCGAGCCACCGGTCGTGTTGGATGGGGAACGGGGAATGGCTCTGGAGTCAATGCAGGGGAATCGGGCCTCATCTCGAGTTGATTTGGGGCACATGGAGCTGCTTTGCGTTGCTGGGGTGACCTCAGGGTCCGTCTAGACTGGTGACAGTGTTCTTGGGGACTGTCTCGAGATCCATTAAGCAAGTCGAAGCTCCTGACTTGTTTGAATGGGATCACGGAATAGCTCTGCATGCACTGCAGGGGAATGGGGCCTCATCTCGCCTCTAGGGGGAAGTCTCATGGTTTTTCTCGAGTTGCGGCGGGGACCTGGGGTATGTTCTCGACTTACGGCGGGGATGGCCCTTCAAAACACGAGTTTCTTCAGTGAAGTCAGGACTCCTGTCTAGTAACGAGGGACACCTCAGGAATCTCTTCGAGGCATGGCAGGGCCAAAGGGACGCTTCTCGAGGTGAGGCAGGGCACCCAAGGACCCTTTCCAGTAGCCACAGGGATTTGGGGATTCCTATCAGTATTCAAGAGGAGTCAGGCATCGTCACCTTTTGAAGCAATGAACTCCGCGTGCCTCTCGAGTTGTCAGCGGGATGTGAGGCATTCCGTCAAAATGAGGCAGGGACCTAGGGCTTTCTCTAAGGACTCCACAGGGGATTCAGACATCCCTTCATGTTGTGAGATGAAAGACGAGCCTGTATTCAAGCCACTGCAAGGAAATCCGGCCTCCTTTCAAGTTAGGGCTTCTCGCTGTATATTCCCCTTGAGGCAGCAAACTCGGGGTCCCTCCCACATACCTATTGCTGAGAGAAGCCTCCTCCTGAGGTGCTTCTGGGAAGTTGGCATACGTCTTGAGCCTAAGCCAGGGAATCAGCTCGCATCTCGAGACGATTTGGGGTACACGGAGCATTCCTCGAGTTGCTGTGCTGAAGCTGGTGTTCCTCTAGACTTGGGACAGTGTTCTCGGGGCATCTCTGGAGTTGCTTGAAGGAAGTCGAGCCACCGGTCGTGTTGAATGGGGAACGGGGAATGGCTCTGGAGTCAATGCAGGGGAATCGGGCCTCATCTCGAGTTGATTTGGGGCACATGGAGCTGCTTTGCGTTGCTGGGGTGACCTCAGGGTCCGTCTAGACTGGTGACAGTGTTCTTGGGGACTGTCTCGAGATCCATTAAGCAAGTCGAAGCTCCTGACTTGTTTGAATGGGATCACGGAATAGCTCTGCATGCACTGCAGGGGAATGGGGCCTCATCTCGCCTCTAGGGGGAAGTCTCATGGTTTTTCTCGAGTTGCGGCGGGGACCTGGGGTATGTTCTCGACTTACTGCGGGGATGGCCCTTCAAAACACGAGTTTCTTCAGTGACGTCAGGACTCTTGTCTAGTAACGAGGGACACCTCAGGAATCTCTTCGAGGCTTGGCAGGGCCAAAGGGACGCTTCTCGAGGTGAGGCAGGGCACCCAAGGACCCTTTCCAGTAGCCACAGGGATTTGGGGATTCCTATCAGTATTCAAGAGGAGTCAGGCATCGTCACCTTTTGAAGCAATGAACTCCGCGTGCCTCTCGAGGTGTCAGCGGGATGTGAGGCATTCCGTCAAAATGAGGCAGGGACCTAGGGCTTTCTATAAGGTCTCCACAGGGGATTCAGACAGCCCTTCATGTTGTGAGATGAAAGACGAGCCTGTATTCAAGCCACTGCAAGGAAATCCGGCCTCCTTTCAAGTTAGGGCTTCTCGCTGTATATTCCCCTTGAGGCAGCAAACTCGGTGTCCCTCCCACATACCTATTGCTGAGAGAAGCCTCCTCCTGAGGTGCTTCTGGGAAGTTGGCATACGTCTTGAGCCTAAGCCAGGGAATCAGCTCTCATCTCGAGACGATTTGGGGTACACGGAGCATTCCTCGAGTTGCTGTGCTGAAGCTGGTGTTCCTCTAGACTTGGGACAGTGTTCTCGGGGCATCTCTGGAGTTGCCTGAAGGAAGTCGAGCCACCGGTCGTGTTGAATGGGGAACGGGGAATGGCTCTGGAGTCAATGCAGGGGAATCGGGCCTCATCTCGAGTTGATTTGGGGCACATGGAGCTGCTTTGCGTTGCTGGGGTGACCTCAGGGTCCGTCTAGACTGGTGACAGTGTTCTTGGGGACTGTCTCGAGATCCATTAAGCAAGTCGAAGCTCCTGACTTGTTTGAATGGGATCACGGAATAGCTCTGCATGCACTGCAGGGGAATGGGGCCTCATCTCGCCTCTAGGGGGAAGTCTCATGGTTTTTCTCGAGTTGCGGCGGGGACCTGGGGTATGTTCTCGACTTACGGCGGGGATGGCCCTTCAAAACACGAGTTTCTTCAGTGACGTCAGGACTCCTGTCTATTAACGAGGGACACCTCAGGAATCTCTTCGAGGCTTGGCAGGGCCAAAGGGACGCTTCTCGAGGTTAGGCAGGGCACCCAAGGACCCTTTCCAGTAGCCACAGGGTTTTGGGATTCCTATCAGTATTCAAGAGGAGTCAGGCATCGTCACCTTTTGAAGCAATGAACTCCGCGTGCCTCTCGAGGTGTCAGCGGGATGTGAGGCATTCCGTCAAAATGAGGCAGGGACCTAGGGCTTTCTCTAAGGTCTCCACAGGGGATTCAGACAGCCCTTCATGTTGTGAGATGAAAGACGAGCCTGTATTCAAGCCACTGCAAGGAAATCCGGCCTCCTTTCAAGTTAGGGCTTCTCGCTGTATATTCCCCTTGAGGCAGCAAACTCGGGGTCCCTCCCACATACCTATTGCTGAGAGAAGCCTCCTCCTGAGGTGCTTCTGGGAAGTTGGCATACGTCTTGAGCCTAAGCCAGGGAATCAGCTCGCATCTCGAGACGATTTGGGGTACACGAAGCATTCCTCGAGTTGCTGTTCTGAAGCTGGTGTTCCTCTAGACTTGGGACAGTGTTCTCGGGGCATCTCTGGAGTTGCCTGAAGGAAGTCGAGCCACCGGTCGTGTTGAATGGGGAACGGGGAATGGCTCTGGAGTCAATGCAGGGGAATCGGGCCTCATCTCGAGTTGATTTGGGGCACATGGAGCTGCTTTGCGTTGCTGGGGTGACCTCAGGGTCCGTCTAGACTGGTGACAGTGTTCTTGGGGACTCTCTCGAGATCCATTAAGCAAGTCGAAGCTCCTGACTTGTTTGAATGGGATCACGGAATAGCTCTGCATGCACTGCACGGGAATGGGGCCTCATCTCGCCTCTAGGGGGAAGTCTCATGGTTTTTCTCGAGTTGCGGCGGGGACCTGGGGTATGTTCTCGACTTACGGCGGGGATGGCCCTTCAAAACACGAGTTTCTTCAGTAACGTCAGGACTCCTGTCTAGTAACGAGGGACACCTCAGGAATCTCTTCGAGGCTTGGCAGGGCCAAAGGGACGCTTCTCGAGGTGAGGCAGGGCACCCAAGGACCCTTTCCAGTAGCCACAGGGATTTTGGGATTCCTATCAGTATTCAAGAGGAGTCAGGCATCGTCACCTTTTGAAGCAATGAACTCCGCGTGCCTCTCGAGGTGTCAGCGGGATGTGAGGCATTCCGTCAAAATGAGGCAGGGACCTAGGGCTTTCTCTAAGGTCTCCACAGGGGATTCAGACATCCCTTCATGTTGTGAGATGAAAGACGAGCCTGTATTCAAGCCACTGCAAGGAAATCCGGCCTCCTTTCAAGTTAGGGCTTCTCGCTGTATATTCCCCTTGAGGCAGCAAACTCGGGGTCCCTCCCACATACCTATTGCTGAGAGAAGCCTCCTAATGAGGTGCTTCTGGGAAGTTGGCATACGTCTTGAGCCTAAGCCAGGGAATCAGCTCGCATCTCGAGACGATTTGGGGTACACGGAGCATTCCTCGAGTTGCTGTGCTGAAGTTGGTGTTCCTCTAGACTTGGGACAGTGTTCTCGGGGCATTTCTGGAGTTGCCTGAAGGAAGTCGAGCCACCGGTCGTGTTGAATGGGGAACGGGGAATGGCTCTGGAGTCAATGCAGGGGAATCGGGCCTCATCTCGAGTTGATTTGGGGCACATGGAGCTGCTTTGCGTTGCTGGGGTGACCTCAGGGTCCGTCTAGACTGGTGACAGTGTTCTTGGGGACTCTCTCGAGATCCATTAAGCAAGTCGAAGCTCCTGACTTGTTTGAATGGGATCACGGAATAGCTCTGCATGCACTGCAGGGGAATGGGGCCTCATGTCGCCTCTAGGGGGAAGTCTCATGGTTTTTCTCGAGTTGCGGCGGGGACCTGGGGTATGTTCTCGACTTACGGCGGGGATGGCCCTTCAAAACACGAGTTTCTTCAGTAACGTCAGGACTCCTGTCTAGTAACGAGGGACACCTCAGGAATCTCTTCGAGGCTTGGCAGGGCCAAAGGGACGCTTCTCGAGGTGAGGCAGGGCACCCAAGGACCCTTTCCAGTAGCCACAGGGATTTTGGGATTCCTATCAGTATTCAAGAGGAGTCAGGCATCGTCACCTTTTGAAGCAATGAACTCCGCGTGCCTCTCGAGGTGTCAGCGGGATGTGAGGCATTCCGTCAAAATGAGGCAGGGACCTAGGGCTTTCTCTAAGGTCTCCACAGGGGATTCAGACATCCCTTCATGTTGTGAGATGAAAGACGAGCCTGTATTCAAGCCACTGCAAGGAAATCCGGCCTCCTTTCAAGTTAGGGCTTCTCGCTGTATATTCCCCTTGAGGCAGCAAACTCGGGGTCCCTCCCACATACCTATTGCTGAGAGAAGCCTCCTAATGAGGTGCTTCTGGGAAGTTGGCATACGTCTTGAGCCTAAGCCAGGGAATCAGCTCGCATCTCGAGACGATTTGGGGTACACGGAGCATTCCTCGAGTTGCTGTGCTGAAGTTGGTGTTCCTCTAGACTTGGGACAGTGTTCTCGGGGCATTTCTGGAGTTGCCTGAAGGAAGTCGAGCCACCGGTCGTGTTGAATGGGGAACGGGGAATGGCTCTGGAGTCAATGCAGGGGAATCGGGCCTCATCTCGAGTTGATTTGGGGCACATGGAGCTGCTTTGCGTTGCTGGGGTGACCTCAGGGTCCGTCTAGACTGGTGACAGTGTTCTTGGGGACTGTCTCGAGATCCATTACGCAAGTCGAAGCTCCTGACTTGTTTGAATGGGATCACGGAATAGCTCTGCATGCACTGCAGGGGAATGGGGCCTCATCTCGCCTCTAGGGGGAAGTCTCATGGTTTTTCTTGAGTTGCGGCGGGGACCTGGGGTATGTTCTCGACTTACGGCGGGGATGGCCCTTCAAAACACGAGTTTCTTCAGTGACGTCAGGACTCCTGTCTAGTAACGAGGGACACCTCAGGAATCTCTTCGAGGCTTGGCAGGGCCAAAGGGACGCTTTTCGAGGTGAGGCAGGGCACCCAAGGACCCTTTCCAGTAGCCACAGGGATTTTGGGATTCCTATCAGTATTCAAGAGGAGTCAGGCATCGTCACCTTTTGAAGCAATGAACTCCGCGTGCCTCTCGAGGTGTCAGCGGGATGTGAGGCATTCCGTCAAAATGAGGCAGGGACCTAGGGCTTTCTCTAAGGTCTCCACAGGGGATTCAGACATCCCTTCATGTTGTGAGATGAAAGACGAGCCTGTATTCAAGCCACTGCAAGGAAATCCGGCCTCCTTTCAAGTTAGGGCTTCTCGCTGTATATTCCCCTTGAGGCAGCAAACTCGGGGTCCCTCCCACATACCTATTGCTGAGAGAAGCCTCCTCCTGAGGTGCTTCTGGGAAGTTGGCATACGTCTTGAGCCTAAGCCAGGGAATCAGCTCGCATCTCGAGACGATTTGGGGTACACGGAGCATTCCTCGAGTTGCTGTGCTGAAGTTGGTGTTCCTCTAGACTTGGGACAGTGTTCTCGGGGCATCTCTGGAGTTGCCTGAAGGAAGTCGAGCCACCGGTCGTGTTGAATGGGGAATGGGGAATGGCTCTGGAGTCAATGCAGGGGAATCGGGCCTCATCTCGAGTTGATTTGGGGCACATGGAGCTGCTTTGCGTTGCTGGGGTGACCTCAGGGTCCGTCTAGACTGGTGACAGTGTTCTTGGGGACTGTCTCGAGATCCATTAAGCAAGTCGAAGCTCCTGACTTTTTTGAATGGGATCACAGAATAGCTCTGCATGCACTGCAGGGGAATGGGGCCTCATCTCGCCTCTAGGGGGAAGTCTCATGGTTTTTCTCGAGTTACGGCGGGGACCTGGGGTATGTTCTCGACTTACGGCGGGGATGGCCCTTCAAAACACGAGTTTCTTCAGTGACGTCAGGACTCCTGTCTAGTAACGAGCGACACCTCAGGAATCTCTTCGAGGCTTGGCAGGGCCAAAGGGACGCTTCTCGAGGTGAGGCAGGGCACCCAAGGACCCTTTCCAGTAGCCACAGGGATTTTGGGATTCCTATCAGTGTTCAAGAGGAGTCAGGCATCGTCACCTTTTGAAGCAATGAACTCCGCGTGCCTCTCGAGGTGTCAGCGGGATGTGAGGCATTCCGTCAAAATGAGGCAGGGACCTAGGGCTTTCTCTAAGGTCTCCACAGGGGATTCAGACATCCCTTCATGTTGTGAGATGAAAGACGAGCCTGTATTCAAGCCACTGCAAGGAAATCCGGCCTCCTTTCAAGTTAGGGCTTCTCGCTGTATATTCCCCTTGAGGCAGCAAACTCGGGGTCCCTCCCACATACCTATTTCTGAGAGAAGCCTCCTCCTGAGGTGCTTCTGGGAAGTTGGCATACGTCTTGAGCCTAAGCCAGGGAATCAGCTCGCATCTCGAGACGATTTGGGGTACACGGAGCATTCCTCGAGTTGCTGTGCTGAAGTTGGTGTTCCTCTAGACTTGGGACAGTGTTCTCGGGGCATCTCTGGAGTTGCCTGAAGGAAGTCGAGCCACCGGTCGTGTTGAATGGGGAACGGGGAATGGCTCTGGAGTCAATGCAGGGGAATCGGGCCTCATCTCGAGTTGATTTGGGGCACATGGAGCTGCTTTGCGTTGCTGGGGTGACCTCAGGGTCCGTCTAGACTGGTGACAGTGTTCTTGGGGACTGTCTCGAGATCCATTAAGCAAGTCGAAGCTCCTGACTTGTTTGAATGGGGTCACGGAATAGCTCTGCATGCACTGCAGGGGAATGGGGCCTCATCTCGCCTCTAGGGGGAAGTCTCATGGTTTTTCTCGAGTTGCGGCGGGGACCTGGGGTATGTTCTCGACTTACGGCGGGGATGGCCCTTCAAAACACGAGTTTCTTCAGTGACGTCAGGACTCCTGTCTAGTAACGAGGGACACCTCAGGAATCTCTTCGAGGCTTGGCAGGGCCAAAGGGACGCTTCTCGAGCTGAGGCAGGGCACCCAAGGACCCTTTCCAGTAGCCACAGGGATTTTGGGATTCCTATCAGTATTCAAGAGGAGTCAGGCATCGTCACCTTTTGAAGCAATGAACTCCGCGTGCCTCTCGAGGTGTCAGCGGGATGTGAGGCATTCCGTCAAAATGAGGCAGGGACCTAGGGCTTTCTCTAAGGTCTCCACAGGGGATTCAGACATCCCTTCATGTTGTGAGATGAAAGACGAGCCTGTATTCAAGCCACTGCAAGGAAATCCGGCCTCCTTTCAAGTTAGGGCTTCTCGCTGTATATTCCCCTTGAGGCAGCAAACTCGGGGTCCCTCCCACATACCTATTGCTGAGAGAAGCCTCCTCCTGAGGTGCTTCTGGGAAGTTGGCATACGTCTTGAGCCTAAGCCAGGGAATCAGCTCGCATCTCGAGACGATTTGGGGTACACGGAGCATTCCTCGAGTTGCTGTGCTGAAGCTGGTGTTCCTCTAGACTTGGGACAGTGTTCTCGGGGCATCTCTGGAGTTGCCTGAAGGAAGTCGAGCCACCGGTCGTGTTGAATGGGGAACGGGGAATGGCTCTGGAGTCAATGCAGGGGAATCGGGCCTCATCTCGAGTTGATTTGGGGCACATGGAGCTGCTTTGCGTTGCTGGGGTGACCTCAGGGTCCGTCTAGACTGGTGACAGTGTTCTTGGGGACTGTCTCGAGATCCATTAAGCAAGTCGAAGCTCCTGACTTCTTTGAATGGGATCACGGAATAGCTCTGCATGCACTGCAGGGGAATGGGGCCTCATCTCGCCTCTAGGGGGAAGTCTCATGGTTTTTCTCGAGTTGCGGCGGGGACCTGGGGTATGTTCTCGACTTACTGCGGGGATGGCCCTTCAAAACACGAGTTTCTTCAGTGACGTCAGGACTCCTGTCTAGTAACGAGGGACACCTCAGGAATCTCTTCGAGGCTTGGCAGGGCCAAAGGGACGCTTCTCGAGGTGAGGCAGGGCACCCAAGGACCCTTTCCAGTAGCCACAGGGATTTGGGGATTCCTATCAGTATTCAAGAGGAGTCAGGCATCGTCACCTTTTGAAGCAATGAACTCCGCGTGCCTCTCGAGGTGTCAGCGGGATGTGAGGCATTCAGTCAAAATGAGGCAGGGACCTAGGGCTTTCTATAAGGTCTCCACAGGGGATTCAGACATCCCTTCATGTTGTGAGATGAAAGACGAGCCTGTATTCAAGCCACTGCAAGGAAATCCGGCCTCCTTTCAAGTTAGGGCTTCTCGCTGTATATTCCCCTTGAGGCAGCAAACTCGGGGTCCCTCCCACATACCTATTGCTGAGAGAAGCCTCCTCCTGAGGTGCTTCTGGGAAGTTGGCATACGTCTTGAGCCTAAGCCAGGGAATCAGCTCTCATCTCGAGACGATTTGGGGTACACGGAGCATTCCTCGAGTTGCTGTGCTGAAGCTGGTGTTCCTCTAGACTTGGGACAGTGTTCTCGGGGCATCTCTGGAGTTGCCTGAAGGAAGTCGAGCCACCGGTCGTGTTGAATGGGGAACGGGGAATGGCTCTGGAGTCAATGCAGGGGAATCGGGCCTCATCTCGAGTTGATTTGGGGCACATGGAGCTGCTTTGCGTTGCTGGGGTGACCTCAGGGTCCGTCTAGACTGGTGACAGTGTTCTTGGGGACTGTCTCGAGATCCATTAAGCAAGTCGAAGGTCCTGACTTGTTTGAATGGGATCACGGAATAGCTCTGCATGCACTGCAGGGGAATGGGGCCTCATCTCGCCTCTAGGGGGAAGTCTCATGGTTTTTCTCGAGTTGCGGCGGGGACCTGGGGTATGTTCTCGACTTACGGCGGGGATGGCCCTTCAAAACACGAGTTTCTTCAGTGACGTCAGGACTCCTGTCTAGTAACGAGGGACACCTCAGGAATCTCTTCGAGGCTTGGCAGGGCCAAAGGGACGCTTCTCGAGGTTAGGCAGGGCACCCAAGGACCCTTTCCAGTAGCCACAGGGTTTTGGGATTCCTATCAGTATTCAAGAGGAGTCAGGCATCATCACCTTTTGAAGCAATGAACTCCGCGTGCCTCTCGAGGTGTCAGCGGGATGTGAGGCATTCCGTCAAAATGAGGCAGGGACCTAGGGCTTTCTCTAAGGTCTCCACAGGGGATTCAGACATCCCTTCATGTTGTGAGATGAAAGACGAGCCTGTATTCAAGCCACTGCAAGGAAATCCGGCCTCCTTTCAAGTTAGGGCTTCTCGCTGTATATTCCCCTTGAGGCAGCAAACTCGGGGTCCCTCCCACATACCTATTGCTGAGAGAAGCCTCCTCCTGAGGTGCTTCTGGGAAGTTGGCATACGTCTTGAGCCTAAGCCAGGGAATCAGCTCGCATCTCGAGACGATTTGGGGTACACGAAGCATTCCTCGAGTTGCTGTTCTGAAGCTGGTGTTCCTCTAGACTTGGGACAGTGTTCTCGGGGCATCTCTGGAGTTGCCTGAAGGAAGTCGAGCCACCGGTCGTGTTGAATGGGGAACGGGGAATGGCTCTGGAGTCAATGCAGGGGAATCGGGCCTCATCTCGAGTTGATTTGGGGCACATGGAGCTGCTTTGCGTTGCTGGGGTGACCTCAGGGTCCGTCTAGACTGGTGACAGTGTTCTTGGGGACTCTCTCGAGATCCATTAAGCAAGTCGAAGCTCCTGACTTGTTTGAATGGGGTCACGGAATAGCTCTGCATGCACTGCAGGGGAATGGGGCCTCATCTCGCCTCTAGGGGGAAGTCTCATGGTTTTTCTCGAGTTGCGGCGGGGACCTGGGGTATGTTCTCGACTTACGGCGGGGATGGCCCTTCAAAACACGAGTTTCTTCAGTAACGTCAGGACTCCTGTCTAGTAACGAGGGACACCTCAGGAATCTCTTCGAGGCTTGGCAGGGCCAAAGGGACGCTTCTCGAGGTGAGGCAGGGCACCCAAGGACCCTTTCCAGTAGCCACAGGGATTTTGGGATTCCTATCAGTATTCAAGAGGAGTCAGGCATCGTCACCTTTTGAAGCAATGAACTCCGCGTGCCTCTCGAGGTGTCAGCGGGATGTGAGGCATTCCGTCAAAATGAGGCAGGGACCTAGGGCTTTCTCTAAGGTCTCCACAGGGGATTCAGACATCCCTTCATGTTGTGAGATGAAAGACGAGCCTGTATTCAAGCCACTGCAAGGAAATCCGGCCTCCTTTCAAGTTAGGGCTTCTCGCTGTATATTCCCCTTGAGGCAGCAAACTCGGGGTCCCTCCCACATACCTATTGCTGAGAGAAGCCTCCTAATGAGGTGCTTCTGGGAAGTTGGCATACGTCTTGAGCCTAAGCCAGGGAATCAGCTCGCATCTCGAGACGATTTGGGGTACACGGAGCATTCCTCGAGTTGCTGTGCTGAAGTTGGTGTTCCTCTAGACTTGGGACAGTGTTCTCGGGGCATTTCTGGAGTTGCCTGAAGGAAGTCGAGCCACCGGTCGTGTTGAATGGGGAACGGGGAATGGCTCTGGAGTCAATGCAGGGGAATCGGGCCTCATCTCGAGTTGATTTGGGGCACATGGAGCTGCTTTGCGTTGCTGGGGTGACCTCAGGGTCCGTCTAGACTGGTGACAGTGTTCTTGGGGACTGTCTCGAGATCCATTACGCAAGTCGAAGCTCCTGACTTGTTTGAATGGGATCACGAAATAGCTCTGCATGCACTGCAGGGGAATGGGGCCTCATCTCGCCTCTCGGGGGAAGTCTCATGGTTTTTCTTGAGTTGCGGCGGGGACCTGGGGTATGTTCTCGACTTACGGCGGGGATGGCCCTTCAAAACACGAGTTTCTTCAGTGACGTCAGGACTCCTGTCTAGTAACGAGGGACACCTCAGGAATCTCTTCGAGGCTTGGCAGGGCCAAAGGGACGCTTTTCGAGGTGAGGCAGGGCACCCAAGGACCCTTTCCAGTAGCCACAGGGATTTTGGGATTCCTATCAGTATTCAAGAGGAGTCAGGCATCGTCACCTTTTGAAGCAATGAACTCCGCGTGCCTCTCGAGGTGTCAGCGGGATGTGAGGCATTCCGTCAAAATGAGGCAGGGACCTAGGGCTTTCTCTAAGGTCTCCACAGGGGATTCAGACATCCCTTCATGTTGTGAGATGAAAGACGAGCCTGTATTCAAGCCACTGCAAGGAAATCCGGCCTCCTTTCAAGTTAGGGCTTCTCGCTGTATATTCCCCTTGAGGCAGCAAACTCGGGGTCCCTCCCACATACCTATTGCTGAGAGAAGCCTCCTCCTGAGGTGCTTCTGGGAAGTTGGCATACGTCTTGAGCCTAAGCCAGGGAATCAGCTCGCATCTCGAGACGATTTGGGGTACACGGAGCATTCCTCGAGTTGCTGTGCTGAAGTTGGTGTTCCTCTAGACTTGGGACAGTGTTCTCGGGGCATCTCTGGAGTTGCCTGAAGGAAGTCGAGCCACCGGTCGTGTTGAATGGGGAATGGGGAATGGCTCTGGAGTCAATGCAGGGGAATCGGGCCTCATCTCGAGTTGATTTGGGGCACATGGAGCTGCTTTGCGTTGCTGGGGTGACCTCAGGGTCCATCTAGACTGGTGACAGTGCTCTTGGGGACTGTCTCGAGATCCATTAAGCAAGTCGAAGCTCCTGACTTTTTTGAATGGGATCACAGAATAGCTCTGCATGCACTGCAGGGGAATGGGGCCTCATCTCGCCTCTAGGGGGAAGTCTCATGGTTTTTCTCGAGTTGCGGCGAGGACCTGGGGAATGTTCTCGACTTACGGCGGGGATGGCCCTTCAAAACACGAGTTTCTTCAGTGACGTCAGGACTCCTGTCTAGTAACGAGGGACACCTCAGGAATCTCTTCGAGGCTTGGCAGGGGCAAAGGGACGCTTCTCGAGCTGAGGCAGGGCACCCAAGGACCCTTTCCAGTAGCCACAGGGATTTGGGGATTCCTATCAGTATTCAAGAGGAGTCAGGCATCGTCACCTTTTGAAGCAATGAACTCCGCGTGCCTCTCGAGGTGTCAGCGGGATGTGAGGCATTCCTTCAAATGAGGCAGGGACCTAGGGCTTTCTCTAAGGTCTCCACAGGGGATTCAGACATCCCTTCATGTTGTGAGATGAAAGACGAGCCTGTATTCAAGCCACTGCAAGGAAATCCGGCCTCCTTTCAAGTTAGGGCTTCTCGCTGTATATTCCCCTTGAGGCAGCAAACTCGGGGTCCCTCCCACATACCTATTGCTGAGAGAAGCCTCCTCCTGAGGTGCTTCTGGGAAGTTGGCATACGTCTTGAGCCTAAGCCAGGGAATCAGCTCGCATCTCGAGACGATTTGGGGTACACGGAGCATTCCTCGAGTTGCTGTGCTGAAGCTGGTGTTCCTCTAGACTTGGGACAGTGTTCTCGGGGCATCTCTGGAGTTGCCTGAAGGAAGTCGAGCCACCGGTCGTGTTGAATGGGGAACGGGGAATGGCTCTGGAGTCAATGCAGGGGAATCGGGCCTCATCTCGAGTTGATTTGGGGCACATGGAGCTGCTTTGCGTTGCTGGGGTGACCTCAGGGTCCGTCTAGACTGGTGACAGTGTTCTTGGGGACTGTCTCGAGATCCATTAAGCAAGTCGAATCTCCTGACTTGTTTGAATGGGGTCACGGAATAGCTCTGCATGCACTGCAGGGGAATGGGGCCTCATCTCGCCTCTAGGGGGAAGTCTCATGGTTTTTCTCGAGTTGCGGCGGGGACCTGGGGTATGTTCTCGACTTACGGCGGGGATGGCCCTTCAAAACACGAGTTTCTTCAGTAACGTCAGGACTCCTGTCTAGTAACGAGGGACACCTCAGGAATCTCTTCGAGGCTTGGCAGGGCCAAAGGGACGCTTCTCGAGGTGAGGCAGGGCACCCAAGGACCCTTTCCAGTAGCCACAGGGATTTTGGGATTCCTATCAGTATTCAAGAGGAGTCAGGCATCGTCACCTTTTGAAGCAATGAACTCCGCGTGCCTCTCGAGGTGTCAGCGGGATGTGAGGCATTCCGTCAAAATGAGGCAGGGACCTAGGGCTTTCTCTAAGGTCTCCACAGGGGATTCAGACATCCCTTCATGTTGTGAGATGAAAGACGAGCCTGTATTCAAGCCACTGCAAGGAAATCCGGCCTCCTTTCAAGTTAGGGCTTCTCGCTGTATATTCCCCTTGAGGCAGCAAACTCGGGGTCCCTCCCACATACCTATTGCTGAGAGAAGCCTCCTAATGAGGTGCTTCTGGGAAGTTGGCATACGTCTTGAGCCTAAGCCAGGGAATCAGCTCGCATCTCGAGACGATTTGGGGTACACGGAGCATTCCTCGAGTTGCTGTGCTGAAGTTGGTGTTCCTCTAGACTTGGGACAGTGTTCTCGGGGCATTTCTGGAGTTGCCTGAAGGAAGTCGAGCCACCGGTCGTGTTGAATGGGGAACGGGGAATGGCTCTGGAGTCAATGCAGGGGAATCGGGCCTCATCTCGAGTTGATTTGGGGCACATGGAGCTGCTTTGCGTTGCTGGGGTGACCTCAGGGTCCGTCTAGACTGGTGACAGTGTTCTTGGGGACTGTCTCGAGATCCATTACGCAAGTCGAAGCTCCTGACTTGTTTGAATGGGATCACGAAATAGCTCTGCATGCACTGCAGGGGAATGGGGCCTCATCTCGCCTCTAGGGGGAAGTCTCATGGTTTTTCTTGAGTTGCGGCGGGGACCTGGGGTATGTTCTCGACTTACGGCGGGGATGGCCCTTCAAAACACGAGTTTCTTCAGTGACGTCAGGACTCCTGTCTAGTAACGAGGGACACCTCAGGAATCTCTTCGAGGCTTGGCAGGGCCAAAGGGACGCTTTTCGAGGTGAGGCAGGGCACCCAAGGACCCTTTCCAGTAGCCACAGGGATTTTGGGATTCCTATCAGTATTCAAGAGGAGTCAGGCATCGTCACCTTTTGAAGCAATGAACTCCGCGTGCCTCTCGAGGTGTCAGCGGGATGTGAGGCATTCCGTCAAAATGAGGCAGGGACCTAGGGCTTTCTCTAAGGTCTCCACAGGGGATTCAGACATCCCTTCATGTTGTGAGATGAAAGACGAGCCTGTATTCAAGCCACTGCAAGGAAATCCGGCCTCCTTTCAAGTGAGGGCTTCTCGCTGTATATTCCCCTTGAGGCAGCAAACTCGGGGTCCCTCCCACATACCTATTGCTGAGAGAAGCCTCCTCCTGAGGTGCTTCTGGGAAGTTGGCATACGTCTTGAGCCTAAGCCAGGGAATCAGCTCGCATCTCGAGACGATTTGGGGTACACGGAGCATTCCTCGAGTTGCTGTGCTGAAGTTGGTGTTCCTCTAGACTTGGGACAGTGTTCTCGGGGCATCTCTGGAGTTGCCTGAAGGAAGTCGAGCCACCGGTCGTGTTGAATGGGGAATGGGGAATGGCTCTGGAGTCAATGCAGGGGAATCGGGCCTCATCTCGAGTTGATTTGGGGCACATGGAGCTGCTTTGCGTTGCTGGGGTGACCTCAGGGTCCGTCTAGACTGGTGACAGTGTTCTTGGGGACTGTCTCGAGATCCATTAAGCAAGTCGAAGCTCCTGACTTTTTTGAATGGGATCACAGAATAGCTCTGCATGCACTGCAGGGGAATGGGGCCTCATCTCGCCTCTAGGGGGAAGTCTCATGGTTTTTCTCGAGTTGCGGCGGGGACCTGGGGAATGTTCTCGACTTACGGCGGGGATGGCCCTTCAAAACACGAGTTTCTTCAGTGACGTCAGGACTCCTGTCTAGTAACGAGCGACACCTAAGGAATCTCTTCGAGGCTTGGCAGGGCCAAAGGGACGCTTCTCGAGGTGAGGCAGGGCACCCAAGGACCCTTTCCAGTAGCCACAGGGATTTTGGGATTCCTATCAGTGTTCAAGAGGAGTCAGGCATCGTCACCTTTTGAAGCAATGAACTCCGCGTGCCTCTCGAGGTGTCAGCGGGATGTGAGGCATTCCGTCAAAATGAGGCAGGGACCTAGGGCTTTCTCTAAGGTCTCCACAGGGGATTCAGACATCCCTTCATGTTGTGAGATGAAAGACGAGCCTGTATTCAAGCCACTGCAAGGAAATCCGGCCTCCTTTCAAGTGAGGGCTTCTCGCTGTATATTCCCCTTGAGGCAGCAAACTCGGGGTCCCTCCCACATACCTATTGCTGAGAGAAGCCTCCTCCTGAGGTGCTTCTGGGAAGTTGGCATACGTCTTGAGCCTAAGCCAGGGAATCAGCTCGCATCTCGAGACGATTTGGGGTACACGGAGCATTCCTCGAGTTGCTGTGCTGAAGTTGGTGTTCCTCTAGACTTGGGACAGTGTTCTCGGGGCATCTCTGGAGTTGCCTGAAGGAAGTCGAGCCACCGGTCGTGTTGAATGGGGAATGGGGAATGGCTCTGGAGTCAATGCAGGGGAATCGGGCCTCATCTCGAGTTGATTTGGGGCACATGGAGCTGCTTTGCGTTGCTGGGGTGACCTCAGGGTCCGTCTAGACTGGTGACAGTGTTCTTGGGGACTGTCTCGAGATCCATTAAGCAAGTCGAAGCTCCTGACTTTTTTGAATGGGATCACAGAATAGCTCTGCATGCACTGCAGGGGAATGGGGCCTCATCTCGCCTCTAGGGGGAAGTCTCATGGTTTTTCTCGAGTTGCGGCGGGGACCTGGGGAATGTTCTCGACTTACGGCGGGGATGGCCCTTCAAAACACGAGTTTCTTCAGTGACGTCAGGACTCCTGTCTAGTAACGAGCGACACCTAAGGAATCTCTTCGAGGCTTGGCAGGGCCAAAGGGACGCTTCTCGAGGTGAGGCAGGGCACCCAAGGACCCTTTCCAGTAGCCACAGGGATTTTGGGATTCCTATCAGTGTTCAAGAGGAGTCAGGCATCGTCACCTTTTGAAGCAATGAACTCCGCGTGCCTCTCGAGGTGTCAGCGGGATGTGAGGCATTCCGTCAAAATGAGGCAGGGACCTAGGGCTTTCTCTAAGGTCTCCACAGGGGATTCAGACATCCCTTCATGTTGTGAGATGAAAGACGAGCCTGTATTCAAGCCACTGCAAGGAAATCCGGCCTCCTTTCAAGTGAGGGCTTCTCGCTGTATATTCCCCTTGAGGCAGCAAACTCGGGGTCCCTCCCACATACCTATTGCTGAGAGAAGCCTCCTCCTGAGGTGCTTCTGGGAAGTTGGCATACGTCTTGAGCCTAAGCCAGGGAATCAGCTCGCATCTCGAGACGATTTGGGGTACACGGAGCATTCCTCGAGTTGCTGTGCTGAAGTTGGTGTTCCTCTAGACTTGGGACAGTGTTCTCGGGGCATCTCTGGAGTTGCCTGAAGGAAGTCGAGCCACCGGTCGTGTTGAATGGGGAACGGGGAATGGCTCTGGAGTCAATGCAGGGGAATCGGGCCTCATCTCGAGTTGATTTGGGGCACATGGAGCTGCTTTGCGTTGCTGGGGTGACCTCAGGGTCCGTCTAGACTGGTGACAGTGTTCTTGGGGACTGTCTCGAGATCCATTAAGCAAGTCGAAGCTCCTGACTTGTTTGAATGGGATCACGGAATAGCTCTGCATGCACTGCAGGGGAATGGGGCCTCATCTCGCCTCTAGGGGGAAGTCTCATGGTTTTTCTCGAGTTGCGGCGGGGACCTGGGGTATGTTCTCGACTTACGGCGGGGATGGCCCTTCCAAACACGAGTTTCTTCAGTGACGTCAGGACTCCTGTCTAGTAACGAGGGACACCTCAGGAATCTCTTCGAGGCTTGGCAGGGGCAAAGGGACGCTTCTCGAGCTGAGGCAGGGCACCCAAGGACCCTTTCCAGTAGCCACAGGGATTTGGGGATTCCTATCAGTATTCAAGAGGAGTCAGGCATCGTCACCTTTTGAAGCAATGAACTCCGCGTGCCTCTCGAGGTGTCAGCGGGATGTGAGGCATTCCTTCAAATGAGGCAGGGACCTAGGGCTTTCTCTAAGGTCTCCACAGGGGATTCAGACATCCCTTCATGTTGTGAGATGAAAGACGAGCCTGTATTCAAGCCACTGCAAGGAAATCCGGCCTCCTTTCAAGTTAGGGCTTCTCGCTGTATATTCCCCTTGAGGCAGCAAACTCGGGGTCCCTCCCACATACCTATTGCTGAGAGAAGCCTCCTCCTGAGGTGCTTCTGGGAAGTTGGCATACGTCTTGAGCCTAAGCCAGGGAATCAGCTCGCATCTCGAGACGATTTGGGGTACACGGAGCATTCCTCGAGTTGCTGTGCTGAAGCTGGTGTTCCTCTAGACTTGGGACAGTGTTCTCGGGGCATCTCTGGAGTTGCCTGAAGGAAGTCGAGCCACTGGTCGTGTTGAATGGGGAACGGGGAATGGCTCTGGAGTCAATGCAGGGGAATCGGGCCTCATCTCGAGTTGATTTGGGGCACATGGAGCTGCTTTGCGTTGCTGGGGTGACCTCAGGGTCCGTCTAGACTGGTGACAGTGTTCTTGGGGACTGTCTCGAGATCCATTAAGCAAGTCGAAGCTCCTGACTTGTTTGAATGGGGTCACGGAATAGCTCTGCATGCACTGCAGGGGAATGGGGCCTCATCTCGCCTCTAGGGGGAAGTCTCATGGTTTTTCTCGAGTTGCGGCGGGGACCTGGGGTATGTTCTCGACTTACGGCGGGGATGGCCCTTCAAAACACGAGTTTCTTCAGTGACGTCAGGACTCCTGTCTAGTAACGAGGGACACCTCAGGAATCTCTTCGAGGCTTGGCAGGGCCAAAGGGACGCTTCTCGAGCTGAGGCAGGGCACCCAAGGACCCTTTCCAGTAGCCACAGGGATTTTGGGATTCCTATCAGTATTCAAGAGGAGTCAGGCATCGTCACCTTTTGAAGCAATGAACTCCGCGTGCCTCTCGAGGTGTCAGCGGGATGTGAGGCATTCCGTCAAAATGAGGCAGGGACCTAGGGCTTTCTCTAAGGTCTCCACAGGGGATTCAGACATCCCTTCATGTTGTGAGATGAAAGACGAGCCTGTATTCAAGCCACTGCAAGGAAATCCGGCCTCCTTTCAAGTTAGGGCTTCTCGCTGTATATTCCCCTTGAGGCAGCAAACTCGGGGTCCCTCCCACATACCTATTGCTGAGAGAAGCCTCCTCCTGAGGTGCTTCTGGGAAGTTGGCATACGTCTTGAGCCTAAGCCAGGGAATCAGCTCGCATCTCGAGACGATTTGGGGTACACGGAGCATTCCTCGAGTTGCTGTGCTTAAGCTGGTGTTCCTCTAGACTTGGGACAGTGTTCTCGGGGCATCTCTGGAGTTGCCTGAAGGAAGTCGAGCCACCGGTCGTGTTGGATGGGGAACGGGGAATGGCTCTGGAGTCAATGCAGGGGAATCGGGCCTCATCTCGAGTTGATTTGGGGCACATGGAGCTGCTTTGCGTTGCTGGGGTGACCTCAGGGTCCGTCTAGACTGGTGACAGTGTTCTTGGGGACTGTCTCGAGATCCATTAAGCAAGTCGAAGCTCCTGACTTGTTTGAATGGGATCACGGAATAGCTCTGCATGCACTGCAGGGGAATGGGGCCTCATCTCGCCTCTAGGGGGAAGTCTCATGGTTTTTCTCGAGTTGCGGCGGGGACCTGGGGTATGTTCTCGACTTACGGCGGGGATGGCCCTTCAAAACACGAGTTTCTTCAGTGACGTCAGGACTCCTGTCTAGTAACGAGGGACACCTCAGGAATCTCTTCGAGGCATGGCAGGGCCAAAGGGACGCTTCTCGAGGTGAGGCAGGGCACCCAAGGACCCTTTCCAGTAGCCACAGGGATTTGGGGATTCCTATCAGTATTCAAGAGGAGTCAGGCATCGTCACCTTTTGAAGCAATGAACTCCGCGTGCCTCTCGAGGTGTCAGCGGGATGTGAGGCATTCCGTCAAAATGAGGCAGGGACCTAGGGCTTTCTCTAAGGTCTCCACAGGGGATTCAGACATCCCTTCATGTTGTGAGATGAAAGACGAGCCTGTATTCAAGCCACTGCAAGGAAATCCGGCCTCCTTTCAAGTTAGGGCTTCTCGCTGTATATTCCCCTTGAGGCAGCAAACTCGGGGTCCCTCCCACATACCTATTGCTGAGAGAAGCCTCCTCCTGAGGTGCTTCTGGGAAGTTGGCATACGTCTTGAGCCTAAGCCAGGGAATCAGCTCGCATCTCGAGACGATTTGGGGTACACGGAGCATTCCTCGAGTTGCTGTGCTGAAGCTGGTGTTCCTCTAGACTTGGGACAGTGTTCTCGGGGCATCTCTGGAGTTGCCTGAAGGAAGTCGAGCCACCGGTCGTGTTGAATGGGGAACGGGGAATGGCTCTGGAGTCAATGCAGGGGAATCGGGCCTCATCTCGAGTTGATTTGGGGCACATGGAGCTGCTTTGCGTTGCTGGGGTGACCTCAGGGTCCGTCTAGACTGGTGACAGTGTTCTTGGGGACTCTCTCGAGATCCATTAAGCAAGTCGAAGCTCCTGACTTGTTTGAATGGGATCACGGAATAGCTCTGCATGCACTGCAGGGGAATGGGGCCTCATCTCGCCTCTAGGGGGAAGTCTCATGGTTTTTCTCGAGTTGCGGCGGGGACCTGGGGTATGTTCTCGACTTACTGCGGGGATGGCCCTTCAAAACACGAGTTTCTTCAGTGACGTCAGGACTCCTGTCTAGTAACGAGGGACACCTCAGGAATCTCTTCGAGGCTTGGCAGGGCCAAAGGGACGCTTCTCGAGGTGAGGCAGGGCACCCAAGGACCCTTTCCTGTAGCCACAGGGATTTGGGGATTCCTATCAGTATTCAAGAGGAGTCAGGCATCGTCACCTTTTGAAGCAATGAACTCCGCGTGCCTCTCGAGGTGTCAGCGGGATGTGAGGCATTCCGTCAAAATGAGGCAGGGACCTAGGGCTTTCTATAAGGTCTCCACAGGGGATTCAGACATCCCTTCATGTTGTGAGATGAAAGACGAGCCTGTATTCAAGCCACTGCAAGGAAATCCGGCCTCCTTTCAAGTTAGGGCTTCTCGCTCTATATTCCCCTTGAGGCAGCAAACTCGGGGTCCCTCCCACATACCTATTGCTGAGAGAAGCCTCCTCCTGAGGTGCTTCTGGGAAGTTGGCATACGTCTTGAGCCTAAGCCAGGGAATCAGCTCTCATCTCGAGACGATTTGGGGTACACGGAGCATTCCTCGAGTTGCTGTGCTGAAGCTGGTGTTCCTCTAGACTTGGGACAGTGTTCTCGGGGCATCTCTGGAGTTGCCTGAAGGAAGTCGAGCCACCGGTCGTGTTGAATGGGGAACGGGGAATGGCTCTGGAGTCAATGCAGGGGAATCGGGCCTCATCTCGAGTTGATGTGGGGCACATGGAGCTGCTTTGCGTTGCTGGGTGACCTCAGGGTCCGTCTAGACTGGTGACAGTGTTCTTGGGGACTGTCTCGAGATCCATTAAGCAAGTCGAAGCTCCTGACTTGTTTGAATGGGATCACGGAATAGCTCTGCATGCACTGCAGGGGAATGGGGCCTCATCTCGCCTCTAGGGGGAAGTCTCATGGTTTTTCTCGAGTTGCGGCGGGGACCTGGGGTATGTTCTCGACTTACGGCGGGGATGGCCCTTCAAAACACGAGTTTCTTCAGTGACGTCAGGACTCCTGTCTAGTAACGAGGGACACCTCAGGAATCTCTTCGAGGCTTGGCAGGGCCAAAGGGACGCTTCTCGAGGTTAGGCAGGGCACCCAAGGACCCTTTCCAGTAGCCACAGGGTTTTGGGATTCCTATCAGTATTCAAGAGGAGTCAGGCATCGTCACCTTTTGAAGCAATGAACTCCGCGTGCCTCTCGAGGTGTCAGCGGGATGTGAGGCATTCCGTCAAAATGAGGCAGGGACCTAGGGCTTTCTCTAAGGTCTCCACAGGGGATTCAGACATCCCTTCATGTTGTGAGATGAAAGACGAGCCTGTATTCAAGCCACTGCAAGGAAATCCGGCCTCCTTTCAAGTTAGGGCTTCTCGCTGTATATTCCCCTTGAGGCAGCAAACTCGGGGTCCCTCCCACATACCTATTGCTGAGAGAAGCCTCCTCCTGAGGTGCTTCTGGGAAGTTGGCATACGTCTTGAGCCTAAGCCAGGGAATCAGCTCGCATCTCGAGACGATTTGGGGTACACGAAGCATTCCTCGAGTTGCTGTTCTGAAGCTGGTGTTCCTCTAGACTTGGGACAGTGTTCTCGGGACATCTCTGGAGTTGCCTGAAGGAAGTCGAGCCACCGGTCGTGTTGAATGGGGAACGGGGAATGGCTCTGGAGTCAATGCAGGGGAATCGGGCCTCATCTCGAGTTGATTTGGGGCACATGGAGCTGCTTTGCGTTGCTGGGGTGACCTCAGGGTCCGTCTAGACTGGTGACAGTGTTCTTGGGGACTCTCTCGAGATCCATTAAGCAAGTCGAAGCTCCTGACTTGTTTGAATGGGATCACGGAATAGCTCTGCATGCACTGCAGGGGAATGGGGCCTCATCTCGCCTCTAGGGGGAAGTCTCATGGTTTTTCTCGAGTTGCGGCGGGGACCTGGGGTATGTTCTCGACTTACGGCGGGGATGGCCCTTCAAAACACGAGTTTCTTCAGTAACGTCAGGACTCCTGTCTAGTAACGAGGGACACCTCAGGAATCTCTTCGAGGCTTGGCAGGGCCAAAGGGACGCTTCTCGAGGTGAGGCAGGGCACCCAAGGACCCTTTCCAGTAGCCACAGGGATTTTGGGATTCCTATCAGTATTCAAGAGGAGTCAGGCATCGTCACCTTTTGAAGCAATGAACTCCGCGTGCCTCTCGAGGTGTCAGCGGGATGTGAGGCATTCCGTCAAAATGAGGCAGGGACCTAGGGCTTTCTCTAAGGTCTCCACAGGGGATTCAGACATCCCTTCATGTTGTGAGATGAAAGACGAGCCTGTATTCAAGCCACTGCAAGGAAATCCGGCCTCCTTTCAAGTTAGGGCTTCTCGCTGTATATTCCCCTTGAGGCAGCAAACTCGGGGTCCCTCCCACATACCTATTGCTGAGAGAAGCCTCCTCCTGAGGTGCTTCTGGGAAGTTGGCATACGTCTTGAGCCTAAGCCAGGGAATCAGCTCGCATCTCGAGACGATTTGGGGTACACGGAGCATTCCTCGAGTTGCTGTGCTGAAGTTGGTGTTCCTCTAGACTTGGGACAGTGTTCTCGGGGCATCTCTGGAGTTGCCTGAAGGAAGTCGAGCCACCGGTCGTGTTGAATGGGGAATGGGGAATGGCTCTGGAGTCAATGCAGGGGAATCGGGCCTCATCTCGAGTTGATTTGGGGCACATGGAGCTGCTTTGCGTTGCTGGGGTGACCTCAGGGTCCGTCTAGACTGGTGACAGTGTTCTTGGGGACTGTCTCGAGATCCATTAAGCAAGTCGAAGCTCCTGACTTTTTTGAATGGGATCACAGAATAGCTCTGCATGCACTGCAGGGGAATGGGGCCTCATCTCGCCTCTAGGGGGAAGTCTCATGGTTTTTCTCGAGTTGCGGCGGGGACCTGGGGTATGTTCTCGACTTACGGCGGGGATGGCCCTTCAAAACACGAGTTTCTTCAGTGACGTCAGGACTCCTGTCTAGTAACGAGCGACACCTCAGGAATCTCTTCGAGGCTTGGCAGGGCCAAAGGGACGCTTCTCGAGGTGAGGCAGGGCACCCAAGGACCCTTTCCAGTAGCCACAGGGATTTTGGGATTCCTATCAGTGTTCAAGAGGAGTCAGGCATCGTCACCTTTTGAAGCAATGAACTCCGCGTGCCTCTCGAAGTGTCAGCGGGATGTGAGGCATTCCGTCAAAATGAGGCAGGGACCTAGGGGTTTCTCTAAGGTCTCCACAGGGGATTCAGACATCCCTTCATGTTGTGAGATGAAAGACGAGCCTGTATTCAAGCCACTGCAAGGAAATCCGGCCTCCTTTCAAGTTAGGGCTTCTCGCTGTATATTCCCCTTGAGGCAGCAAACTCGGGGTCCCTCCCACATACCTATTGCTGAGAGAAGCCTCCTCCTGAGGTGCTTCTGGGAAGTTGGCATACGTCTTGAGCCTAAGCCAGGGAATCAGCTCGCATCTCGAGACGATTTGGGGTACACGGAGCATTCCTCGAGTTGCTGTGCTGAAGTTGGTGTTCCTCTAGACTTGGGACAGTGTTCTCGGGGCATCTCTGGAGTTGCCTGAAGGAAGTCGAGCCACCGGTCGTGTTGAATGGGGAACGGGGAATGGCTCTGGAGTCAATGCAGGGGAATCGGGCCTCATCTCGAGTTGATTTGGGGCACATGGAGCTGCTTTGCGTTGCTGGGGTGACCTCAGGGTCCGTCTAGACTGGTGACAGTGTTCTTGGGGACTGTCTCGAGATCCATTAAGCAAGTCGAAGCTCCTGACTTGTTTGAATGGGGTCACGGAATAGCTCTGCATGCACTGCAGGGGAATGGGGCCTCATCTCGCCTCTAGGGGGAAGTCTCATGGTTTTTCTCGAGTTGCGGCGGGGACCTGGGGTATGTTCTCGACTTACGGCGGGGATGGCCCTTCAAAACACGAGTTTCTTCAGTGACGTCAGGACTCCTGTCTAGTAACGAGGGACACCTCAGGAATCTCTTCGAGGCTTGGCAGGGCCAAAGGGACGCTTCTCGAGCTGAGGCAGGGCACCCAAGGACCCTTTCCAGTAGCCACAGGGATTTTGGGATTCCTATCAGTATTCAAGAGGAGTCAGGCATCGTCACCTTTTGAAGCAATGAACTCCGCGTGCCTCTCGAGGTGTCAGCGGGATGTGAGGCATTCCGTCAAAATGAGGCAGGGACCTAGGGCTTTCTCTAAGGTCTCCACAGGGGATTCAGACATCCCTTCATGTTGTGAGATGAAAGACGAGCCTGTATTCAAGCCACTGCAAGGAAATCCGGCCTCCTTTCAAGTTAGGGCTTCTCGCTGTATATTCCCCTTGAGGCAGCAAACTCGGGGTCCCTCCCACATACCTATTGCTGAGAGAAGCCTCCTCCTGAGGTGCTTCTGGGAAGTTGGCATACGTCTTGAGCCTAAGCCAGGGAATCAGCTCGCATCTCGAGACGATTTGGGGTACACGGAGCATTCCTCGAGTTGCTGTGCTGAAGCTGGTGTTCCTCTAGACTTGGGACAGTGTTCTCGGGGCATCTCTGGAGTTGCCTGAAGGAAGTCGAGCCACCGGTCGTGTTGAATGGGGAACGGGGAATGGCTCTGGAGTCAATGCAGGGGAATCGGGCCTCATCTCGAGTTGATTTGGGGCACATGGAGCTGCTTTGCGTTGCTGGGGTGACCTCAGGGTCCGTCTAGACTGGTGACAGTGTTCTTGGGGACTGTCTCGAGATCCATTAAGCAAGTCGAAGCTCCTGACTTGTTTGAATGGGATCACGGAATAGCTCTGCATGCACTGCAGGGGAATGGGGCCTCATCTCGCCTCTAGGGGGAAGTATCATGGTTTTTCTCGAGTTGCGGCGGGGACCTGGGGTATGTTCTCGACTTACGGCGGGGATGGCCCTTCAAAACACGAGTTTCTTCAGTGACGTCAGGACTCCTGTCTAGTAACGAGGGACACCTCAGGAATCTCTTCGAGGCATGGCAGGGCCAAAGGGACGCTTCTCGAGGTGAGGCAGGGCACCCAAGGACCCTTTCCAGTAGCCACAGGGATTTGGGGATTCCTATCAGTATTCAAGAGGAGTCAGGCATCGTCACCTTTTGAAGCAATGAACTCCGCGTGCCTCTCGAGGTGTCAGCGGGATGTGAGGCATTCCGTCAAAATGAGGCAGGGACCTAGGGCTTTCTCTAAGGTCTCCACAGGGGATTCAGACATCCCTTCATGTTGTGAGATGAAAGACGAGCCTGTATTCAAGCCACTGCAAGGAAATCCGGCCTCCTTTCAAGTTAGGGCTTCTCGCTGTATATTCCCCTTGAGGCAGCAAACTCGGGGTCCCTCCCACATAACTATTGCTGAGAGAAGCCTCCTCCTGAGGTGCTTCTGGGAAGTTGGCATACGTCTTGAGCCTAAGCCAGGGAATCAGCTCGCATCTCGAGACGATTTGGGGTACACGGAGCATTCCTCGAGTTGCTGTGCTGAAGCTGGTGTTCCTCTAGACTTGGGACAGTGTTCTCGGGGCATCTCTGGAGTTGCCTGAAGGAAGTCGAGCCACCGGTCGTGTTGAATGGGGAACGGGGAATGGCTCTGGAGTCAATGCAGGGGAATCGGGCCTCATCTCGAGTTGATTTGGGGCACATGGAGCTGCTTTGCGTTGCTGGGGTGACCTCAGGGTCCGTCTAGACTGGTGACAGTGTTCTTGGGGACTGTCTCGAGATCCATTAAGCAAGTTGAAGCTCCTGACTTCTTTGAATGGGATCACGGAATAGCTCTGCATGCACTGCAGGGGAATGGGGCCTCATCTCGCCTCTAGGGGGAAGTCTCATGGTTTTTCTCGAGTTGCGGCGGGGACCTGGGGTATGTTCTCGACTTACTGCGGGGATGGCCCTTCAAAACACGAGTTTCTTCAGTGACGTCAGGACTCCTGTCTAGTAACGAGGGACACCTCAGGAATCTCTTCGAGGCTTGGCAGGGGCAAAGGGACGCTTCTCGAGCTGAGGCAGGGCACCCAAGGACCCTTACCAGTAGCCACAGGGATTTGGGGATTCCTATCAGTATTCAAGAGGAGTCAGGCATCGTCACCTTTTGAAGCAATGAACTCCGCGTGCCTCTCGAGGTGTCAGCGGGATGTGAGGCATTCCGTCAAAATGAGGCAGGGACCTAGGGCTTTCTCTAAGGTCTCCACAGGGGATTCAGACATCCCTTCATGTTGTGAGATGAAAGACGAGCCTGTATTCAAGCCACTGCAAGGAAATCCGGCCTCCTTTCAAGTTAGGGCTTCTCGCTGTATATTCCCCTTGAGGCAGCAAACTCGGGGTCCCTCCCACATACCTATTGCTGAGAGAAGCCTCCTCCTGAGCTGCTTCTGGGAAGTTGGCATACGTCTTGAGCCTAAGCCAGGGAATCAGCTCGCATCTCGAGACGATTTGGGGTACACGGAGCATTCCTCGAGTTGCTGTGCTGAAGTTGGTGTTCCTCTAGACTTGGGACAGTGTTCTCGGGGCATCTCTGGAGTTGCCTGAAGGAAGTCGAGCCACCGGTCGTGTTGAATGGGGAACGGGGAATGGCTCTGGAGTCAATGCAGGGGAATCGGGCCTCATCTCGAGTTGATTTGGGGCACATGGAGCTGCTTTGCGTTGCTGGGGTGACCTCAGGGTCCGTCTAGACTGGTGACAGTGTTCTTGGGGACTGTCTCGAGATCCATTAAGCAAGTCGAAGCTCCTGACTTGTTTGAATGGGATCACGGAATAGCTCTGCATGCACTGCAGGGGAGTGGGGCCTCATCTCGCCTCTAGGGGGAAGTCTCATGGTTTTTCTCGAGTTGCGGCGGGGACCTGGGGTATGTTCTCGACTTACGGCGGGGATGGCCCTTCAAAACACGAGTTTCTTCAGTGACGTCAGGACTCCTGTCTAGTAACGAGGGACACCTCAGGAATCTCTTCGAGGCTTGGCAGGGCCAAAGGGACGCTTCTCGAGGTGAGGCAGGGCACCCAAGGACCCTTTCCAGTAGCCACAGGGATTTTGGGATTCCTATCAGTATTCAAGAGGAGTCAGGCATCGTCACCTTTTGAAGCAATGAACTCCGCGTGCCTCTCGAGGTGTCAGCGGGATGTGAGGCATTCCGTCAAAATGAGGCAGGGACCTAGGGCTTTCTCTAAGGTCTCCACAGGGGATTCAGACATCCCTTCATGTTGTGAGATGAAAGACGAGCCTGTATTCAAGCCACTGCAAGGAAATCCGGCCTCTTTTCAAGTGAGGGCTTCTCGCTGTATATTCCCCTTGAGGCAGCAAACTCGGGGTCCCTCCCACATACCTATTGCTGAGAGAAGCCTCCTCCTGAGGTGCTTCTGGTAAGTTGGCATACGTCTTGAGCCTAAGCCAGGGAATCAGCTCGCATCTCGAGACGATTTGGGGTACACGGAGCATTCCTCGAGTTGCTGTGCTGAAGTTGGTGTTCGTCTAGACTTGGGACAGTGTTCTCGGGGCATCTCTGGAGTTGCCTGAAGGAAGTCGAGCCACCGGTCGTGTTGAATGGGGAACGGGGAATGGCTCTGGAGTCAATGCAGGGGAATCGGGCCTCATCTCGAGTTGATTTGGGGCACAAAGAGCTGCTTTGCGTTGCTGGGGTGACCTCAGGGTCCGTCTAGACTGGTGACAGTGTTCTTGGGGACTGTCTCGAGATCCATTAAGCAAGTCGAAGCTCCTGACTTGTTTGAATGGGATCACGGAATAGCTCTGCATGCACTGCAGGGGAATGGGGCCTCATCTCGCCTCTAGGGGGAAGTCTCATGGTTTTTCTCGAGTTGCGGCGGGGACCTGGGGTATGTTCTCGACTTACGGCGGGGATGGCCCTTCAAAACACGAGTTTCTTCAGTGACGTCAGGACTCCTGTCTAGTAACGAGGGACACCTCAGGAATCTCTTCGAGGCTTGGCAGGGCCAAAGGGACGCTTCTCGAGGTGAGGCAGGGCACCCAAGGACCATTTCCAGTAGCCACAGGGATTTTGGGATTCCTATCAGTATTCAAGAGGGGTCAGGCATCGTCACCTTTTGAAGCAATGAACTCCGCGTGCCTCTCGAGATGTCAGCGGGATGTGAGGCATTCCGTCAAAATGAGGCAGGGACCTAGGGCTTTCTCTAAGGTCTCCACAGGGGATTCAGACATCCCTTCATGTTGTGAGATGAAAGACGAGCCTGTATTCAAGCCACTGCAAGGAAATCCGGCCTCCTTTCAAGTGAGGGCTTCTCGCTGTATATTCCCCTTGAGGCAGCAAACTCGGGGTCCCTCCCACATACCTATTGCTGAGAGAAGCCTCCTCCTGAGGTGCTTCTGGGAAGTTGGCATACGTCTTGAGCCTAAGCCAGGGAATCAGCTCGCATCTCGAGACGATTTGGGGTACACGGAGCATTCCTCGAGTTGCTGTGCTGAAGTTGGTGTTCCTCTAGACTTGGGACAGTGTTCTCGGGGCATCTCTGGAGTTGCCTGAAGGAAGTCGAGCCACCGGTCGTGTTGAATGGGGAACGGGGAATGGCTCTGGGGTCAATGCAGGGGAATCGGGCCTCATCTCGAGTTGATTTGGGGCACATGGAGCTGCTTTGCGTTGCTGGGGTGACCTCAGGGTCCGTCTAGACTGGTGACAGTGTTCTTGGGGACTGTCTCGAGATCCATTAAGCATGTCGAAGCTCCTGACTTGTTTGAATGGGGTCACGGAATAGCTCTGCATGCACTGCAGGGGAATGGGGCCTCATCTCGCCTCTAGGGGGAAGTCTCATGGTTTTTCTCGAGTTGCGGCGGGGACCTGGGGTATGTTCTCGACTTACGGCGGGGAAGGCCCTTCAAAACACGAGTTTCTTCAGTGACGTCAGGACTCCTGTCTAGTAACGAGGGACACCTCAGGAATCTCTTCGAGGCTTGGCAGGGGCAAAGGGACGCTTCTCGAGCTGAGGCAGGGCACCCAAGGACCCTTTCCAGTAGCCACAGGGATTTGGGGATTCCTATCAGTATTCAAGAGGAGTCAGGCATCGTCACCTTTTGAAGCAATGAACTCCGCGTGCCTCTCGAGGTGTCAGCGGGATGTGAGGCATTCCGTCAAAATGAGGCAGGGACCTAGGGCTTTCTCTAAGGTCTCCACAGGGGATTCAGACATCCCTTCATGTTGTGAGATGAAAGACGAGCCTGTATTCAAGCCACTGCAAGGAAATCCGGCCTCCTTTCAAGTTAGGGCTTCTCGCTGTATATTCCCCTTGAGGCAGCAAACTCGGGGTCCCTCCCACATACCTATTGCTGAGAGAAGCCTCCTCCTGAGCTGCTTCTGGGAAGTTGGCATACGTCTTGAGCCTAAGCCAGGGAATCAGCTCGCATCTCGAGACGATTTGGGGTACACGGAGCATTCCTCGAGTTGCTGTGCTGAAGTTGGTGTTCCTCTAGACTTGGGACAGTGTTCTCGGGGCATCTCTGGAGTTGCCTGAAGGAAGTCGAGCCACCGGTCGTGTTGAATGGGGAACGGGGAATGGCTCTGGAGTCAATGCAGGGGAATCGGGCCTCATCTCGAGTTGATTTGGGGCACATGGAGCTGCTTTGCGTTGCTGGGGTGACCTCAGGGTCCGTCTAGACTGGTGACAGTGTTCTTGGGGACTGTCTCGAGATCCATTAAGCAAGTCGAAGCTCCTGACTTGTTTGAATGGGATCACGGAATAGCTCTGCATGCACTGCAGGGGAGTGGGGCCTCATCTCGCCTCTAGGGGGAAGTCTCATGGTTTTTCTCGAGTTGCGGCGGGGACCTGGGGTATGTTCTCGACTTACGGCGGGGATGGCCCTTCAAAACACGAGTTTCTTCAGTGACGTCAGGACTCCTGTCTAGTAACGAGGGACACCTCAGGAATCTCTTCGAGGCTTGGCAGGGCCAAAGGGACGCTTCTCGAGGTGAGGCAGGGCACCCAAGGTCCCTTTCCAGTAGCCACAGGGATTTTGGGATTCCTATCAGTATTCAAGAGGAGTCAGGCATCGTCACCTTTTGAAGCAATGAACTCCGCGTGCCTCTCGAGGTGTCAGCGGGATGTGAGGCATTCCGTCAAAATGAGGCAGGGACCTAGGGCTTTCTCTAAGGTCTCCACAGGGGATTCAGACATCCCTTCATGTTGTGAGATGAAAGACGAGCCTGTATTCAAGCCACTGCAAGGAAATCCGGCCTCTTTTCAAGTGAGGGCTTCTCGCTGTATATTCCCCTTGAGGCAGCAAACTCGGGGTCCCTCCCACATACCTATTGCTGAGAGAAGCCTCCTCCTGAGGTGCTTCTGGGAAGTTGGCATACGTCTTGAGCCTAAGCCAGGGAATCAGCTCGCATCTCGAGACGATTTGGGGTACACGGAGCATTCCTCGAGTTGCTGTGCTGAAGTTGGTGTTCCTCTAGACTTGGGACAGTGTTCTCGGGGCATCTCTGGAGTTGCCTGAAGGAAGTCGAGCCACCGGTCGTGTTGAATGGGGAACGGGGAATGGCTCTGGAGTCAATGCAGGGGAATCGGGCCTCATCTCGAGTTGATTTGGGGCACAATGAGCTGCTTTGCGTTGCTGGGGTGACCTCAGGGTCCGTCTAGACTGGTGACAGTGTTCTTGGGGACTGTCTCGAGATCCATTAAGCAAGTCGAAGCTCCTGACTTGTTTGAATGGGGTCACGGAATAGCTCTGCATGCACTGCAGGGGAATGGGGCCTCATCTCGCCTCTAGGGGGAAGTCTCATGGTTTTTCTCGAGTTGCGGCGGGGACCTGGGGTATGTTCTCGACTTACGGCGGGGATGGCCCTTCCAAACACGAGTTTCTTCAGTGACGTCAGGACTCCTGTCTAGAAACGAGGGACACCTCAGGAATCTCTTCGAGGCTTGGCAGGGCCAAAGGGACGCTTCTCGAGGTGAGGCAGGGCACCCAAGGACCCTTTCCAGTAGCCACAGGGATTTTGGGATTCCTATCAGTATTCAAGAGGAGTCAGGCATCGTCACCTTTTGAAGCAATGAACTCCGCGTGCCTCTCGAGGTGTCAGCGGGATGTGAGGCATTCCGTCAAAATGAGGCAGGGACCTAGGGCTTTCTCTAAGGTCTCCACAGGGGATTCAGACATCCCTTCATGTTGTGAGATGAAAGACGAGCCTGTATTCAAGCCACTGCAAGGAAATCCGGCCTCCTTTCAAGTTAGGGCTTCTCGCTGTATATTCCCCTTGAGGCAGCAAACTCGGGGTCCCTCCCACATACCTATTGCTGAGAGAAGCCTCCTCCTGAGGTGCTTCTGGGAAGTTGGCATACGTCTTGAGCCTAAGCCAGGGAATCAGCTCGCATCTCGAGACGATTTGGGGTACACGGAGCATTCCTCGAGTTGCTGTGCTGAAGTTGGTGTTCCTCTAGACTTGGGACAGTGTTCTCGGGGCATCTCTGGAGTTGCCTGAAGGAAGTCGAGCCACCGGTCGTGTTGAATGGGGAACGGGGAATGGCTCTGGAGTCAATGCAGGGGAATCGGGCCTCATCTCGAGTTGATTTGGGGCACATGGAGCTGCTTTGCGTTGCTGGGGTGACCTCAGGGTCCGTCTAGACTGGTGACAGTGTTCTTGGGGACTGTCTCGAGATCCATTAAGCAAGTCGAAGCTCCTGACTTGTTTGAATGGTGTCACGGAATAGCTCTGCATGCACTGCAGGGGAATGGGGCCTCATCTCGCCTCTAGGGGGAAGTCTCATGGTTTTTCACGAGTTGCGGCGGGGACCTGGGTTATGTTCTCGACTTACGGCGGGGATGGCCCTTCAAAACACGAGTTTCTTCAGTGACGTCAGGACTCCTGTCTAGTAACGAGGGACACCTCAGGAATCTCTTCGAGGCTTGGCAGGGCCAAAGGGACGCTTCTCGAGGTGAGGCAGGGCACCCAAGGACCCTTTCCAGTAGCCACAGGGATTTTGGGATTCCTATCAGTATTCAAGAGGAGTCAGGCATCGTCACCTTTTGAAGCAATGAACTCCGCGTGCCTCTCGAGGTGTCAGCGGGATGTGAGGCATTCCGTCAAAATGAGGCAGGGACCTAGGGCTTTCTCTAAGGTCTCCACAGGGGATTCAGACATCCCTTCATGTTGTGAGATGAAAGACGAGCCTGTATTCAAGCCACTGCAAGGAAATCCGGCCTCCTTTCAAGTGAGGGCTTCTCGCTGTATATTCCCCTTGAGGCAGCAAACTCGGGGTCCCTCCCACATACCTATTGCTGAGAGAAGCCTCCTCCTGAGGTGCTTCTGGGAAGTTGGCATACGTCTTGAGCCTAAGCCAGGGAATCAGCTCGCATCTCGAGACGATTTGGGGTACACGGAGCATTCCTCGAGTTGCTGTGCTGAAGTTGGTGTTCCTCTAGACTTGGGACAGTGTTCTCGGGGCATCTCTGGAGTTGCCTGAAGGAAGTCGAGCCACCGGTCGTGTTGAATGGGGAACGGGGAATGGCTCTGGGGTCAATGCAGGGGAATCGGGCCTCATCTCGAGTTGATTTGGGGCACATGGAGCTGCTTTGCGTTGCTGGGGTGACCTCAGGGTCCGTCTAGACTGGTGACAGTGTTCTTGGGGACTGTCTCGAGATCCATTAAGCAAGTCGAAGCTCCTGACTTGTTTGAATGGGGTCACGGAATAGCTCTGCATGCACTGCAGGGGAATGGGGCCTCATCTCGCCTCTAGGGGGAAGTCTCATGGTTTTTCTCGAGTTGCGGCGGGGACCTGGGGTATGTTCTCGACTTACGGCGGGGATGGCCCTTCCAAACACGAGTTTCTTCAGTGACGTCAGGACTCCTGTCTAGTAACGAGGGACACCTCAGGAATCTCTTCGAGGCTTGGCAGGGCCAAAGGGACGCTTCTCGAGGTGAGGCAGGGCACCCAAGGACCCTTTCCAGTAGCCACAGGGATTTTGGGATTCCTATCAGTATTCAAGAGGAGTCAGGCATCGTCACCTTTTGAAGCAATGAACTCCGCGTGCCTCTCGAGGTGTCAGCGGGATGTGAGGCATTCCGTCAAAATGAGGCAGGGACCTAGGGCTTTCTCTAAGGTCTCCACAGGGGATTCAGACATCCCTTCATGTTGTGAGATGAAAGACGAGCCTGTATTCAAGCCACTGCAAGGAAATCCGGCCTCCTTTCAAGTGAGGGCTTCTCGCTGTATATTCCCCTTGAGGCAGCAAACTCGGGGTCCCTCCCACATACCTATTGCTGAGAGAAGCCTCCTCCTGAGGTGCTTCTGGGAAGTTGGCATACGTCTTGAGCCTAAGCCAGGGAATCAGCTCGCATCTCGAGACGATTTGGGGTACACGGAGCATTCCTCGAGTTGCTGTGCTGAAGTTGGTGTTCCTCTAGACTTGGGACAGTGTTCTTGGGGCATCTCTGGAGTTGCCTGAAGGAAGTCGAGCCACCGGTCGTGTTGAATGGGGAACGGGGAATGGCTCTGGGGTCAATGCAGGGGAATCGGGCCTCATCTCGAGTTGATTTGGGGCACATGGAGCTGCTTTGCATTGCTGGGGTGACCTCAGGGTCCGTCTAGACTGGTGACAGTGTTCTTGGGGACTGTCTCGAGATCCATTAAGCATGTCGAAGCTCCTGACTTGTTTGAATGGGGTCACGGAATAGCTCTGCATGCACTGCAGGGGAATGGGGCCTCATCTCGCCTCTAGGGGGAAGTCTCATGGTTTTTCTCGAGTTGCGGCGGGGACCTGGGGTATGTTCTCGACTTACGGCGGGGAAGGCCCTTCAAAACACGAGTTTCTTCAGTGATGTCAGGAGTCCTGTCTAGTAACGAGGGACACCTCAGGAATCTCTTCGAGGCTTGGCAGGGCCAAAGGGACGCTTCTCGAGGTGAGGCAGGGCACCCAAGGACCCTTTCCAGTAGCCACAGGGATTTTGGGATTCCTATCAGTATTCAAGAGGAGTCAGGCATCGTCACCTTTTGAAGCAATGAACTCCGCGTGCCTCTCGAGGTGTCAGCGGGATGTGAGGCATTCCGTCAAAATGAGGCAGGGACCTAGGGCTTTCTCTAAGGTCTCCACAGGGGATTCAGACATCCCTTCATGTTGTGAGATGAAAGACAAGCCTGTATTCAAGCCACGGCAAGGAAACCCGGCCTCCTTTCAAGTTAGGGCTTCTCGCTGTATATTCCCCTTGAGGCAGCAAACTCGGGGTCCCTCCCACATACCTATTGCTGAGAGAAGCCTCCTCCTGAGGTGCTTCTGGGAAGTTGGCATACGTCTTGAGCCTAAGCCAGGGAATCAGCTCGCATCTCGAGACGATTTGGGGTACACGGAGCATTCCTCGAGTTGCTGTGCTGAAGTTGGTGTTCCTCTAGACTTGGGACAGTGTTCTCGGGGCATCTCTGGAGTTGCCTGAAGGAAGTCGAGCCACCGGTCGTGTTGAATGGGGAACGGGGAATGGCTCTGGAGTCAATGCAGGGGAATCGGGCCTCATCTCGAGTTGATTTGGGGCACATGGAGCTGCTTTGCGTTGCTGGGGTGACCTCAGGGTCCGTCTAGACTGGTGACAGTGTTCTTGGGGACTGTCTCGAGATCCATTAAGCAAGTCGAAGCTCCTGACTTGTTTGAATGGGGTCACGGAATAGCTCTGCATGCACTGCAGGGGAATGGGGCCTCATCTCGCCTCTAGGGGGAAGTCTCATGGTTTTTCTCGAGTTGCGGCGGGGACCTGGGGTATGTTCTCGACTTACGGCGGGGATGGCCCTTCCAAACACGAGTTTCTTCAGTGACGTCAGGACTCCTGTCTAGTAACGAGGGACACCTCAGGAATCTCTTCGAGGCTTGGCAGGGCCAAAGGGACGCTTCTCGAGGTGAGGCAGGGCACCCAAGGACCCTTTCCAGTAGCCACAGGGATTTTGGGATTCCTATCAGTATTCAAGAGGAGTCAGGCATCGTCACCTTTTGAAGCAATGAACTCCGCGTGCCTCTCGAGGTGTCAGCGGGATGTGAGGCATTCCGTCAAAATGAGGCAGGGACCTAGGGCTTTCTCTAAGGTCTCCACAGGGGATTCAGACATCCCTTCATGTAGTGAGATGAAAGACGAGCCTGTATTCAAGCCACTGCAAGGAAATCCGGCCTCCTTTCAAGTGAGGGCTTCTCGCTGTATATTCCCCTTGAGGCAGCAAACTCGGGGTCCCTCCCACATACCTATTGCTGAGAGAAGCCTCCTCCTGAGGTGCTTCTGGGAAGTTGGCATACGTCTTGAGCCTAAGCCAGGGAATCAGCTCGCATCTCGAGACGATTTGGGGTACACGGAGCATTCCTCGAGTTGCTGTGCTGAAGTTGGTGTTCCTCTAGACTTGGGACAGTGTTCTCGGGGCATCTCTGGAGTTGCCTGAAGGAAGTCGAGCCACCGGTCGTGTTGAATGGGGAACGGGGAATGGCTCTGGAGTCAATGCAGGGGAATCGGGCCTCATCTCGAGTTGATTTGGGGCACATGGAGCTGCTTTGCGTTGCTGGGGTGACCTCAGGGTCCGTCTAGACTGGTGACAGTGTTCTTGGGGACTGTCTCGAGATCCATTAAGCAAGTCGAAGCTCCTGACTTGTTTGAATGGGGTCACGGAATAGCTCTGCATGCACTGCAGGGGAATGGGGCCTCATCTCGCCTCTAGGGGGAAGTCTCATGGTTTTTCTCGAGTTGCGGCGGGGACCTGGGGTATGTTCTCGACTTACGGCGGGGATGGCCCTTCCAAACACGAGTTTCTTCAGTGACGTCAGGACTCCTGTCTAGTAACGAGGGACACCTCAGGAATCTCTTCGAGGCTTGGCAGGGCCAAAGGGACGCTTCTCGAGCTGAGGCAGGGCACCCAAGGACCCTTTCCAGTAGCCACAGGGATTTTGGGATTCCTATCAGTATTCAAGAGGAGTCAGGCATCGTCACCTTTTGAAGCAATGAACTCCGCGTGCCTCTCGAGGTGTCAGCGGGATGTGAGGCATTCCGTCAAAATGAGGCAGGGACCTAGGGCTTTCTCTAAGGTCTCCACAGGGGATTCAGACATCCCTTCATGTTGTGAGATGAAAGACGAGCCTGTATTCAAGCCACTGCAAGGAAATCCGGCCTCCTTTCAAGTTAGGGCTTCTCGCTGTATATTCCCCTTGAGGCAGCAAACTCGGGGTCCCTCCCACATACCTATTGCTGAGAGAAGCCTCCTCCTGAGGTGCTTCTGGGAAGTTGGCATACGTCTTGAGCCTAAGCCAGGGAATCAGCTCGCATCTCGAGACGATTTGGGGTACACGGAGCATTCCTCGAGTTGCTGTGCTGAAGTTGGTGTTCCTCTAGACTTGGGACAGTGTTCTCGGGGCATCTCTGGAGTTGCCTGAAGGAAGTCGAGCCACCGGTCGTGTTGAATGGGGAACGGGGAATGGCTCTGGAGTCAATGCAGGGGAATCGGGCCTCATCTCGAGTTGATTTGGGGCACATGGAGCTGCTTTGCGTTGCTGGGGTGACCTCAGGGTCCGTCTAGACTGGTGACAGTGTTCTTGGGGACTGTCTCGAGATCCATTAAGCAAGTCGAAGCTCCTGACTTGTTTGAATGGGGTCACGGAATAGCTCTGCATGCACTGCAGGGGAATGGGGCCTCATCTCGCCTCTAGGGGGAAGTCTCATGGTTTTTCTCGAGTTGCGGCGGGGACCTGGGGTATGTTCTCGACTTACGGCGGGGATGGCCCTTCCAAACACGAGTTTCTTCAGTGACGTCAGGACTCCTGTCTAGTAACGAGGGACACCTCAGGAATCTCTTCGAGGCTTGGCAGGGCCAAAGGGACGCTTCTCGAGGTGAGGCAGGGCACCCAAGGACCCTTTCCAGTAGCCACAGGGATTTTGGGATTCCTATCAGTATTCAAGAGGAGTCAGGCATCGTCACCTTTTGAAGCAATGAACTCCGCGTGCCTCTCGAGGTGTCAGCGGGATGTGAGGCATTCCGTCAAAATGAGGCAGGGACCTAGGGCTTTCTCTAAGGTCTCCACAGGGGATTCAGACATCCCTTCATGTTGTGAGATGAAAGACGAGCCTGTATTCAAGCCACTGCAAGGAAATCCGGCCTCCTTTCAAGTGAGGGCTTCTCGCTGTATATTCCCCTTGAGGCAGCAAACTCGGGGTCCCTCCCACATACCTATTGCTGAGAGAAGCCTCCTCCTGAGGTGCTTCTGGGAAGTTGGCATACGTCTTGAGCCTAAGCCAGGGAATCAGCTCGCATCTCGAGACGATTTGGGGTACACGGAGCATTCCTCGAGTTGCTGTGCTGAAGTTGGTGTTCCTCTAGACTTGGGACAGTGTTCTTGGGGCATCTCTGGAGTTGCCTGAAGGAAGTCGAGCCACCGGTCGTGTTGAATGGGGAACGGGGAATGGCTCTGGGGTCAATGCAGGGGAATCGGGCCTCATCTCGAGTTGATTTGGGGCACATGGAGCTGCTTTGCATTGCTGGGGTGACCTCAGGGTCCGTCTAGACTGGTGACAGTGTTCTTGGGGACTGTCTCGAGATCCATTAAGCATGTCGAAGCTCCTGACTTGTTTGAATGGGGTCACGGAATAGCTCTGCATGCACTGCAGGGGAATGGGGCCTCATCTCGCCTCTAGGGGGAAGTCTCATGGTTTTTCTCGAGTTGCGGCGGGGACCTGGGGTATGTTCTCGACTTACGGCGGGGAAGGCCCTTCAAAACACGAGTTTCTTCAGTGATGTCAGGAGTCCTGTCTAGTAACGAGGGACACCTCAGGAATCTCTTCGAGGCTTGGCAGGGCCAAAGGGACGCTTCTCGAGGTGAGGCAGGGCACCCAAGGACCCTTTCCAGTAGCCACAGGGATTTTGGGATTCCTATCAGTATTCAAGAGGAGTCAGGCATCGTCACCTTTTGAAGCAATGAACTCCGCGTGCCTCTCGAGGTGTCAGCGGGATGTGAGGCATTCCGTCAAAATGAGGCAGGGACCTAGGGCTTTCTCTAAGGTCTCCACAGGGGATTCAGACATCCCTTCATGTTGTGAGATGAAAGACAAGCCTGTATTCAAGCCACGGCAAGGAAACCCGGCCTCCTTTCAAGTTAGGGCTTCTCGCTGTATATTCCCCTTGAGGCAGCAAACTCGGGGTCCCTCCCACATACCTATTGCTGAGAGAAGCCTCCTCCTGAGGTGCTTCTGGGAAGTTGGCATACGTCTTGAGCCTAAGCCAGGGAATCAGCTCGCATCTCGAGACGATTTGGGGTACACGGAGCATTCCTCGAGTTGCTGTGCTGAAGTTGGTGTTCCTCTAGACTTGGGACAGTGTTCTCGGGGCATCTCTGGAGTTGCCTGAAGGAAGTCGAGCCACCGGTCGTGTTGAATGGGGAACGGGGAATGGCTCTGGAGTCAATGCAGGGGAATCGGGCCTCATCTCGAGTTGATTTGGGGCACATGGAGCTGCTTTGCGTTGCTGGGGTGACCTCAGGGTCCGTCTAGACTGGTGACAGTGTTCTTGGGGACTGTCTCGAGATCCATTAAGCAAGTCGAAGCTCCTGACTTGTTTGAATGGGGTCACGGAATAGCTCTGCATGCACTGCAGGGGAATGGGGCCTCATCTCGCCTCTAGGGGGAAGTCTCATGGTTTTTCTCGAGTTGCGGCGGGGACCTGGGGTATGTTCTCGACTTACGGCGGGGATGGCCCTTCCAAACACGAGTTTCTTCAGTGACGTCAGGACTCCTGTCTAGTAACGAGGGACACCTCAGGAATCTCTTCGAGGCTTGGCAGGGCCAAAGGGACGCTTCTCGAGGTGAGGCAGGGCACCCAAGGACCCTTTCCAGTAGCCACAGGGATTTTGGGATTCCTATCAGTATTCAAGAGGAGTCAGGCATCGTCACCTTTTGAAGCAATGAACTCCGCGTGCCTCTCGAGGTGTCAGCGGGATGTGAGGCATTCCGTCAAAATGAGGCAGGGACCTAGGGCTTTCTCTAAGGTCTCCACAGGGGATTCAGACATCCCTTCATGTAGTGAGATGAAAGACGAGCCTGTATTCAAGCCACTGCAAGGAAATCCGGCCTCCTTTCAAGTGAGGGCTTCTCGCTGTATATTCCCCTTGAGGCAGCAAACTCGGGGTCCCTCCCACATACCTATTGCTGAGAGAAGCCTCCTCCTGAGGTGCTTCTGGGAAGTTGGCATACGTCTTGAGCCTAAGCCAGGGAATCAGCTCGCATCTCGAGACGATTTGGGGTACACGGAGCATTCCTCGAGTTGCTGTGCTGAAGTTGGTGTTCCTCTAGACTTGGGACAGTGTTCTCGGGGCATCTCTGGAGTTGCCTGAAGGAAGTCGAGCCACCGGTCGTGTTGAATGGGGAACGGGGAATGGCTCTGGAGTCAATGCAGGGGAATCGGGCCTCATCTCGAGTTGATTTGGGGCACATGGAGCTGCTTTGCGTTGCTGGGGTGACCTCAGGGTCCGTCTAGACTGGTGACAGTGTTCTTGGGGACTGTCTCGAGATCCATTAAGCAAGTCGAAGCTCCTGACTTGTTTGAATGGGGTCACGGAATAGCTCTGCATGCACTGCAGGGGAATGGGGCCTCATCTCGCCTCTAGGGGGAAGTCTCATGGTTTTTCTCGAGTTGCGGCGGGGACCTGGGGTATGTTCTCGACTTACGGCGGGGATGGCCCTTCCAAACACGAGTTTCTTCAGTGACGTCAGGACTCCTGTCTAGTAACGAGGGACACCTCAGGAATCTCTTCGAGGCTTGGCAGGGCCAAAGGGACGCTTCTCGAGCTGAGGCAGGGCACCCAAGGACCCTTTCCAGTAGCCACAGGGATTTTGGGATTCCTATCAGTATTCAAGAGGAGTCAGGCATCGTCACCTTTTGAAGCAATGAACTCCGCGTGCCTCTCGAGGTGTCAGCGGGATGTGAGGCATTCCGTCAAAATGAGGCAGGGACCTAGGGCTTTCTCTAAGGTCTCCACAGGGGATTCAGACATCCCTTCATGTTGTGAGATGAAAGACGAGCCTGTATTCAAGCCACTGCAAGGAAATCCGGCCTCCTTTCAAGTTAGGGCTTCTCGCTGTATATTCCCCTTGAGGCAGCAAACTCGGGGTCCCTCCCACATACCTATTGCTGAGAGAAGCCTCCTCCTGAGGTGCTTCTGGGAAGTTGGCATACGTCTTGAGCCTAAGCCAGGGAATCAGCTCGCATCTCGAGACGATTTGGGGTACACGGAGCATTCCTCGAGTTGCTGTGCTGAAGTTGGTGTTCCTCTAGACTTGGGACAGTGTTCTCGGGGCATCTCTGGAGTTGCCTGAAGGAAGTCGAGCCACCGGTCGTGTTGAATGGGGAACGGGGAATGGCTCTGGAGTCAATGCAGGGGAATCGGGCCTCATCTCGAGTTGATTTGGGGCACATGGAGCTGCTTTGCGTTGCTGGGGTGACCTCAGGGTCCGTCTAGACTGGTGACAGTGTTCTTGGGAACTGTCTCGAGATCCATTAAGCAAGTCGAAGCTCCTGACTTGTTTGAATGGGATCACGGAATAGCTCTGCATGCACTGCAGGGGAATGGGGCCTCATCTCGCCTCTAGGGGGAAGTCTCATGGTTTTTCTCGAGTTGCGGCGGGGACCTGGGGTATGTTCTCGACTTACGGCGGGGATGGCCCTTCAAAACACGAGTTTCTTCAGTGACGTCAGGACTCCTGTCTAGTAACGAGGGACACCTCAGGAATCTCTTCGAGGCTTGGCAGGGCCAAAGGGACGCTTCTCGAGCTGAGGCAGGGCACCCAAGGACCCTTTCCAGTAGCCACAGGGATTTTGGGATTCCTATCAGTATTCAAGAGGAGTCAGGCATCGTCACCTTTTGAAGCAATGAACTCCGCGTGCCTCTCGAGGTGTCAGCGGGATGTGAGGCATTCCGTCAAAATGAGGCAGGGACCTAGGGCTTTCTCTAAGGTCTCCACAGGGGATTCAGACATCCCTTCATGTTGTGAGATGAAAGACGAGCCTGTATTCAAGCCACTGCAAGGAAATCCGGCCTCCTTTCAAGTTAGGTCTTCTCGCTGTATATTCCCCTTGAGGCAGCAAACTCGGGGTCCCTCCCACATACCTATTGCTGAGAGAAGCCTCCTCCTGAGGTGCTTCTGGGAAGTTGGCATACGTCTTGAGCCTAAGCCAGGGAATCAGCTCGCATCTCGAGACGATTTGGGGTACACGGAGCATTCCTCGAGTTGCTGTGCTGAAGCTGGTGTTCCTCTAGACTTGGGACAGTGTTCTCGGGGCATCTCTGGAGTTGCCTGAAGGAAGTCGAGCCACCGGTCGTGTTGAATGGGGAACGGGGAATGGCTCTGGAGTCAATGCAGGGGAATCGGGCCTCATCTCGAGTTGATTTGGGGCACATGGAGCTGCTTTGCGTTGCTGGGGTGACCTCAGGGTCCGTCTAGACTGGTGACAGTGTTCTTGGGGACTGTCTCGAGATCCATTAAGCAAGTCGAAGCTCCTGACTTGTTTGAATGGGATCACGGAATAGCTCTGCATGCACTGCAGGGGAATGGGGCCTCATCTCGCCTCTAGGGGGAAGTCTCATGGTTTTTCTCGAGTTGCGGCGGGGACCTGGGGTATGTTCTCGACTTACGGCGGGGATGGCCCTTCAAAACACGAGTTTCTTCAGTGACGTCAGGACTCCTGTCTAGTAACGAGGGACACCTCAGGAATCTCTTCGAGGCATGGCAGGGCCAAAGGGACGCTTCTCGAGGTGAGGCAGGGCACCCAAGGACCCTTTCCAGTAGCCACAGGGATTTGGGGATTCCTATCAGTATTCAAGAGGAGTCAGGCATCGTCACCTTTTGAAGCAATGAACTCCGCGTGCCTCTCGAGGTGTCAGCGGGATGTGAGGCATTCCGTCAAAATGAGGCAGGGACCTAGGGCTTTCTCTAAGGTCTCCACAGGGGATTCAGACATCCCTTCATGTTGTGAGATGAAAGACGAGCCTGTATTCAAGCCACTGCAAGGAAATCCGGCCTCCTTTCAAGTTAGGGCTTCTCGCTGTATATTCCCCTTGAGGCAGCAAACTCGGGGTCCCTCCCACATACCTATTGCTGAGAGAAGCCTCCTCCTGAGGTGCTTCTGGGAAGTTGGCATACGTCTTGAGCCTAAGCCAGGGAATCAGCTCGCATCTCGAGACGATTTGAGGTACACGGACCATTCCTCGAGTTGCTGTGCTGAAGCTGGTGTTCCTCTAGACTTGGGACAGTGTTCTCGGGGCATCTCTGGAGTTGCCTGAAGGAAGTCGAGCCACCGGTCGTGTTGAATGGGGAACGGGGAATGGCTCTGGAGTCAATGCAGGGGAATCGGGCCTCATCTCGAGTTGATTTGGGGCACATGGAGCTGCTTTGCGTTGCTGGGGTGACCTCAGGGTCCGTCTAGACTGGTGACAGTGTTCTTGGGGACTGTCTCGAGATCCATTAAGCAAGTCGAAGCTCCTGACTTGTTTGAATGGGATCACGGAATAGCTCTGCATGCACTGCAGGGGAATGGGGCCTCATCTCGCCTCTAGGGGGAAGTCTCATGGTTTTTCTCGAGTTGCGGCGGGGACCTGGGGTATGTTCTAGACTTACGGCGGGGATGGCCCTTCAAAACACGAGTTTCTTCAGTAACGTCAGGACTCCTGTCTAGTAACGAGGGACACCTCAGGAATCTCTTCGAGGCTTGGCAGGGCCAAAGGGACGCTTCTCGAGGTGAGGCAGGGCACCCAAGGACCCTTTCCAGTAGCCACAGGGATTTTGGGATTCCTATCAGTATTCAAGAGGCGTCAGGCATCGTCACCTTTTGAAGCAATGAACTCCGCGTGCCTCTCGAGGTGTCAGCGGGATGTGAGGCATTCCGTCAAAATGAGGCAGGGACCTAGGGCTTTCTCTAAGGTCTCCACAGGGGATTCAGACATCCCTTCATGTTGTGAGATGAAAGACGAGCCTGTATTCAAGCCACTGCAAGGAAATCCGGCCTCCTTTCAAGTTAGGGCTTCTCGCTGTATATTCCCCTTGAAGCAGCAAACTCGGGGTCCCTCCCACATACCTATTGCTGAGAGAAGCCTCCTCCTGAGGTGCTTCTGGGAAGTTGGCATACGTCTTGAGCCTAAGCCAGGGAATCAGCTCGCATCTCGAGACGATTTGGGGTACACGGAGCATTCCTCGAGTTGCTGTGCTGAAGTTGGTGTTCCTCTAGACTTGGGACAGTGTTCTCGGGGCATCTCTGGAGTTGCCTGAAGGAAGTCGAGCCACCGGTCGTGTTGAATGGGGAACGGGGAATGGCTCTGGAGTCAATGCAGGGGAATCGGGCCTCATCTCGAGTTGATTTGGGGCACATGGAGCTGCTTTGCGTTGCTGGGGTGACCTCAGGGTCCGTCTAGACTGGTGACAGTGTTCTTGGGGACTGTCTCGAGATCCATTAAGCAAGTCGAAGCTCCTGACTTGTTTGAATGGGGTCACGGATTAGCTCTGCATGCACTGCAGGGGAATGGGGCCTCATCTCGCCTCTAGGGGGAAGTCTCATGGTTTTTCTCGAGTTGCGGCGGGGACCTGGGGTATGTTCTCGACTTACGGCGGGGATGGCCCTTCCAAACACGAGTTTCTTCAGTGACGTCAGGACTCCTGTCTAGTAACGAGGGACACCTCAGGAATCTCTTCGAGGCTTGGCAGGGCCAAAGGGAAGCTTCTCGAGGTGAGGCAGGGCACCCAAGGACCCTTTCCAGTAGCCACAGGGATTTTGGGATTCCTATCAGTATTCAAGAGGAGTCAGGCATCGTCACCTTTTGAAGCAATGAACTCCGCGTGCCTCTCGAGGTGTCAGCGGGATGTGAGGCATTCCGTCAAAATGAGGCAGGGACCTAGGGCTTTCTCTAAGGTCTCCACAGGGGATTCAGACATCCCTTCATGTAGTGAGATGAAAGACGAGCCTGTATTCAAGCCACTGCAAGGAAATCCGGCCTCCTTTCAAGTGAGGGCTTCTCGCTGTATATTCCCCTTGAGGCAGCAAACTCGGGGTCCCTCCCACATACCTATTGCTGAGAGAAGCCTCCTCCTGAGGTGCTTCTGGGAAGTTGGCATACGTCTTGAGCCTAAGCCAGGGAATCAGCTCGCATCTCGAGACGATTTGGGGTACACGGAGCATTCCTCGAGTTGCTGTGCTGAAGCTGGTGTTCCTCTAGACTTGGGACAGTGTTCTCGGGGCATCTCTGGAGTTGCCTGAAGGAAGTCGAGCCACCGGTCGTGTTGAATGGGGAACGGGGAATGGCTCTGGAGTCAATGCAGGGGAATCGGGCCTCATCTCGAGTTGATTTGGGGCACATGGAGCTGCTTTGCGTTGCTGGGGTGACCTCAGGGTCCGTCTAGACTGGTGACAGTGTTCTTGGGGACTGTCTCGAGATCCATTAAGCAAGTCGAAGCTCCTGACTTGTTTGAATGGGATCACGGAATAGCTCTGCATGCACTGCAGGGGAATGGGGCCTCATCTCGCCTCTAGGGGGAAGTCTCATGGTTTTTCTCGAGTTGCGGCGGGGACCTGGGGTATGTTCTCGACTTACGGCGGGGATGGCCCTTCAAAACACGAGTTTCTTCAGTGACGTCAGGACTCCTGTCTAGTAACGAGGGACACCTCAGGAATCTCTTCGAGGCATGGCAGGGCCAAAGGGACGCTTCTCGAGCTGAGGCAGGGCACCCAAGGACCCTTTCCAGTAGCCACAGGGATTTGGGGATTCCTATCAGTATTCAAGAGGAGTCAGGCATCGTCACCTTTTGAAGCAATGAACTCCGCGTGCCTCTCGAGGTGTCAGCGGGATGTGAGGCATTCCGTCAAAATGAGGCAGGGACCTAGGGCTTTCTCTAAGGTCTCCACAGGGGATTCAGACATCCCTTCATGTTGTGAGATGAAAGACGAGCCTGTATTCAAGCCACTGCAAGGAAATCCGGCCTCCTTTCAAGTTAGGGCTTCTCGCTGTATATTCCCCTTGAGGCAGCAAACTCGGGGTCCCTCCCACATACCTATTGCTGAGAGAAGCCTCCTCCTGAGGTGCTTCTGGGAAGTTGGCATACGTCTTGAGCCTAAGCCAGGGAATCAGCTCGCATCTCGAGACGATTTGGGGTACACGGAGCATTCCTCGAGTTGCTGTGCTGAAGCTGGTGTTCCTCTAGACTTGGGACAGTGTTCTCGGGGCATCTCTGGAGTTGCCTGAAGGAAGTCGAGCCACCGGTCGTGTTGAATGGGGAACGGGGAATGGCTCTGGAGTCAATGCAGGGGAATCGGGCCTCATCTCGAGTTGATTTGGGGCACATGGAGCTGCTTTGCGTTGCTGGGGTGACCTCAGGGTCCGTCTAGACTGGTGACAGTGTTCTTGGGGACTGTCTCGAGATCCATTAAGCAAGTCGAAGCTCCTGACTTGTTTGAATGGGATCACGGAATAGCTCTGCATGCACTGCAGGGGAATGGGGCCTCATCTCGCCTCTAGGGGGAAGTCTCATGGTTTTTCTCGAGTTGCGGCGGGGACCTGGGGTATGTTCTCGACTTACTGCGGGGATGGCCCTTCAAAACACGAGTTTCTTCAGTGACGTCAGGACTCCTGTCTAGTAACGAGGGACACCTCAGGAATCTCTTCGAGGCTTGGCAGGGCCAAAGGGACGCTTCTCGAGGTGAGGCAGGGCACCCAAGGACCCTTTCCAGTAGCCACAGGGATTTGGGGATTCCTATCAGTATTCAAGAGGAGTCAGGCATCGTCACCTTTTGAAGCAATGAACTCCGCGTGCCTCTCGAGGTGTCAGCGGGATGTGAGGCATTCCGTCAAAATGAGGCAGGGACCTAGGGCTTTCTCTAAGGTCTCCACAGGGGATTCAGACATCCCTTCATGTTGTGAGATGAAAGACGAGCCTGTATTCAAGCCACTGCAAGGAAATCCGGCCTCCTTTCAAGTTAGGGCTTCTCGCTGTATATTCCCCTTGAGGCAGCAAACTCGGGGTCCCTCCCACATACCTATTGCTGAGAGAAGCCTCCTCCTGAGGTGCTTCTGGGAAGTTGGCATACGTCTTGAGCCTAAGCCAGGGAATCAGCTCGCATCTCGAGACGATTTGGGGTACACGAAGCATTCCTCGAGTTGCTGTTCTGAAGCTGGTGTTCCTCTAGACTTGGGACAGTGTTCTCGGGGCATCTCTGGAGTTGCCTGAAGGAAGTCGAGCCACCGGTCGTGTTGAATGGGGAACGGGGAATGGCTCTGGAGTCAATGCAGGGGAATCGGGCCTCATCTCGAGTTGATTTGGGGCACATGGAGCTGCTTTGCGTTGCTGGGGTGACCTCAGGGTCCGTCTAGACTGGTGACAGTGTTCTTGGGGACTCTCTCGAGATCCATTAAGCAAGTCGAAGCTCCTGACTTGTTTGAATGGGATCACGGAATAGCTCTGCATGCACTGCAGGGGAATGGGGCCTCATCTCGCCTCTAGGGGGAAGTCTCATGGTTTTTCTCGAGTTGCGGCGGGGACCTGGGGTATGTTCTAGACTTACGGCGGGGATGGCCCTTCAAAACACGAGTTTCTTCAGTAACGTCAGGACTCCTGTCTAGTAACGAGGGACACCTCAGGAATCTCTTCGAGGCTTGGCAGGGCCAAAGGGACGCTTCTCGAGGTGAGGCAGGGCACCCAAGGACCCTTTCCAGTAGCCACAGGGATTTTGGGATTCCTATCAGTATTCAAGAGGAGTCAGGCATCGTCACCTTTTGAAGCAATGAACTCCGCGTGCCTCTCGAGGTGTCAGCGGGATGTGAGGCATTCCGTCAAAATGAGGCAGGGACCTAGGGCTTTCTCTAAGGTCTCCACAGGGGATTCAGACATCCCTTCATGTTGTGAGATGAAAGACGAGCCTGTATTCAAGCCACTGCAAGGAAATCCGGCCTCCTTTCAAGTTAGGGCTTCTCGCTGTATATTCCCCTTGAAGCAGCAAACTCGGGGTCCCTCCCACATACCTATTGCTGAGAGAAGCCTCCTCCTGAGGTGCTTCTGGGAAGTTGGCATACGTCTTGAGCCTAAGCCAGGGAATCAGCTCGCATCTCGAGACGATTTGGGGTACACGGAGCATTCCTCGAGTTGCTGTGCTGAAGTTGGTGTTCCTCTAGACTTGGGACAGTGTTCTCGGGGCATCTCTGGAGTTGCCTGAAGGAAGTCGAGCCACCGGTCGTGTTGAATGGGGAATGGGGAATGGCTCTGGAGTCAATGCAGGGGAATCGGGCCTCATCTCGAGTTGATTTGGGGCACATGGAGCTGCTTTGCGTTGCTGGGGTGACCTCAGGGTCCGTCTAGACTGGTGACAGTGTTCTTGGGGACTGTCTCGAGATCCATTAAGCAAGTCGAAGCTCCTGACTTTTTTGAATGGGATCACAGAATAGCTCTGCATGCACTGCAGGGGAATGGGGCCTCATCTCGCCTCTAGGGGGAAGTCTCATGGTTTTTCTCGAGTTGCGGCGGGGACCTGGGGTATGTTCTCGACTTACGGCGGGGATGGCCCTTCAAAACACGAGTTTCTTCAGTGACGTCAGGACTCCTGTCTAGTAACGAGCGACACCTCAGGAATCTCTTCGAGGCTTGGCAGGGCCAAAGGGACGCTTCTCGAGGTGAGGCAGGGCACCCAAGGACCCTTTCCAGTAGCCACAGGGATTTTGGGATTCCTATCAGTGTTCAAGAGGAGTCAGGCATCGTCACCTTTTGAAGCAATGAACTCCGCGTGCCTCTCGAGGTGTCAGCGGGATGTGAGGCATTCCGTCAAAATGAGGCAGGGACCTAGGGCTTTCTCTAAGGTCTCCACAGGGGATTCAGACATCCCTTCATGTTGTGAGATGAAAGACGAGCCTGTATTCAAGCCACTGCAAGGAAATCCGGCCTCCTTTCAAGTGAGGGCTTCTCGCTGTATATTCCCCTTGAGGCAGCAAACTCGGGGTCCCTCCCACATACCTATTGCTGAGAGAAGCCTCCTCCTGAGGTGCTTCTGGGAAGTTGGCATACGTCTTGAGCCTAAGCCAGGGAATCAGCTCGCATCTCGAGACGATTTGGGGTACACGGAGCATTCCTCGAGTTGCTGTGCTGAAGTTGGTGTTCCTCTAGACTTGGGACAGTGTTCTCGGGGCATCTCTGGAGTTGCCTGAAGGAAGTCGAGCCACCGGTCGTGTTGAATGGGGAACGGGGAATGGCTCTGGAGTCAATGCAGGGGAATCGGGCCTCATCTCGAGTTGATTTGGGGCACATGGAGCTGCTTTGCGTTGCTGGGGTGACCTCAGGGTCCGTCTAGACTGGTGACAGTGTTCTTGGGGACTCTCTCGAGATCCATTAAGCAAGTCGAAGCTCCTGACTTGTTTGAATGGGATCACGGAATAGCTCTGCATGCACTGCAGGGGAATGGGGCCTCATCTCGCCTCTAGGGGGAAGTCTCATGGTTTTTCTCGAGTTGCGGCGGGGACCTGGGGTATGTTCTCGACTTACGGCGGGGATGGCCCTTCAAAACACGAGTTTCTTCAGTAACGTCAGGACTCCTGTCTAGTAACGAGGGACACCTCAGGAATCTCTTCGAGGCTTGGCAGGGCCAAAGGGACGCTTCTCGAGGTGAGGCAGGGCACCCAAGGACCCTTTCCAGTAGCCACAGGGATTTTGGGATTCCTATCAGTATTCAAGAGGAGTCAGGCATCGTCACCTTTTGAAGCAATGAACTCCGCGTGCCTCTCGAGGTGTCAGCGGGATGTGAGGCATTCCGTCAAAATGAGGCAGGGACCTAGGGCTTTCTCTAAGGTCTCCACAGGGGATTCAGACATCCCTTCATGTTGTGAGATGAAAGACGAGCCTGTATTCAAGCCACTGCAAGGAAATCCGGCCTCCTTTCAAGTTAGGGCTTCTCGCTGTATATTCCCCTTGAGGCAGCAAACTCGGGGTCCCTCCCACATACCTATTGCTGAGAGAAGCCTCCTAATGAGGTGCTTCTGGGAAGTTGGCATACGTCTTGAGCCTAAGCCAGGGAATCAGCTCGCATCTCGAGACGATTTGGGGTACACGGAGCATTCCTCGAGTTGCTGTGCTGAAGTTGGTGTTCCACTAGACTTGGGACAGTGTTCTCGGGGCATTTCTGGAGTTGCCTGAAGGAAGTCGAGCCACCGGTCGTGTTGAATGGGGAACGGGGAATGGCTCTGGAGTCAATGCAGGGGAATCGGGCCTCATCTCGAGTTGATTTGGGGCACATGGAGCTGCTTTGCGTTGCTGGGGTGACCTCAGGGTCCGTCTAGACTGGTGACAGTGTTCTTGGGGACTGTCTCGAGATCCATTACGCAAGTCGAAGCTCCAGACTTGTTTGAATGGGATCACGGAATAGCTCTGCATGCACTGCAGGGGAATGGGGCCTCATCTCGCCTCTAGGGGGAAGTCTCATGGTTTTTCTTGAGTTGCGGCGGGGACCTGGGGTATGTTCTCGACTTACGGCGGGGATGGCCCTTCCAAACACGAGTTTCTTCATTGACGTCAGGACTCCTGTCTAGTAACGAGGGACACCTCAGGAATCTCTTCGAGGCTTGGCAGGGCCAAAGGGACGCTTTTCGAGGTGAGGCAGGGCACCCAAGGACCCTTTCCAGTAGCCACAGGGATTTTGGGATTCCTATCAGTATTCAAGAGGAGTCAGGCATCGTCACCTTTTGAAGCAATGAACTCCGCGTGCCTCTCGAGGTGTCAGCGGGATGTGAGGCATTCCGTCAAAATGAGGCAGGGACCTAGGGCTTTCTCTAAGGTCTCCACAGGGGATTCAGACATCCCTTCATGTTGTGAGATGAAAGACGAGCCTGTATTCAAGCCACTGCAAGGAAATCCGGCCTCCTTTCAAGTTAGGGCTTCTCGCTGTATATTCCCCTTGAGGCAGCAAACTCGGGGTCCCTCCCACATACCTATTGCTGAGAGAAGCCTCCTCCTGAGGTGCTTCTGGGAAGTTGGCATACGTCTTGAGCCTAAGCCAGGGAATCAGCTCGCATCTCGAGACGATTTGGGGTACACGGAGCATTCCTCGAGTTGCTGTGCTGAAGTTGGTGTTCCTCTAGACTTGGGACAGTGTTCTCGGGGCATCTCTGGAGTTGCCTGAAGGAAGTCGAGCCACCGGTCGTGTTGAATGGGGAATGGGGAATGGCTCTGGAGTCAATGCAGGGGAATCGGGCCTCATCTCGAGTTGATTTGGGGCACATGGAGCTGCTTTGCGTTGCTGGGGTGACCTCAGGGTCCGTCTAGACTGGTGACAGTGTTCTTGGGGACTGTCTCGAGATCCATTAAGCAAGTCGAAGCTCCTGACTTTTTTGAATGGGATCACAGAATAGCTCTGCATGCACTGCAGGGGAATGGGGCCTCATCTCGCCTCTAGGGGGAAGTCTCATGGTTTTTCTCGAGTTGCGGCGGGGACCTGGGGTATGTTCTCGACTTACGGCGGGGATGGCCCTTCAAAACACGAGTTTCTTCAGTGACGTCAGGACTCCTGTCTAGTAACGAGCGACACCTCAGGAATCTCTTCGAGGCTTGGCAGGGCCAAAGGGACGCTTCTCGAGGTGAGGCAGGGCACCCAAGGACCCTTTCCAGTAGCCACAGGGATTTTGGGATTCCTATCAGTGTTCAAGAGGAGTCAGGCATCGTCACCTTTTGAAGCAATGAACTCCGCGTGCCTCTCGAGGTGTCAGCGGGATGTGAGGCATTCCGTCAAAATGAGGCAGGGACCTAGGGCTTTCTCTAAGGTCTCCACAGGGGATTCAGACATCCCTTCATGTTGTGAGATGAAAGACGAGCCTGTATTCAAGCCACTGCAAGGAAATCCGGCCTCCTTTCAAGTGAGGGCTTCTCGCTGTATATTCCCCTTGAGGCAGCAAACTCGGGGTCCCTCCCACATACCTATTGCTGAGAGAAGCCTCCTCCTGAGGTGCTTCTGGGAAGTTGGCATACGTCTTGAGCCTAAGCCAGGGAATCAGCTCGCATCTCGAGACGATTTGGGGTACACGGAGCATTCCTCGAGTTGCTGTGCTGAAGTTGGTGTTCCTCTAGACTTGGGACAGTGTTCTCGGGGCATCTCTGGAGTTGCCTGAAGGAAGTCGAGCCACCGGTCGTGTTGAATGGGGAACGGGGAATGGCTCTGGAGTCAATGCAGGGGAATCGGGCCTCATCTCGAGTTGATTTGGGGCACATGGAGCTGCTTTGCGTTGCTGGGGTGACCTCAGGGTCCGTCTAGACTGGTGACAGTGTTCTTGGGGACTGTCTCGAGATCCATTAAGCAAGTCGAAGCTCCTGACTTGTTTGAATGGGATCACGGAATAGCTCTGCATGCACTGCAGGGGAATGGGGCCTCATCTCGCCTCTAGGGGGAAGTCTCATGGTTTTTCTCGAGTTGCGGCGGGGACCTGGGGTATGTTCTCGACTTACGGCGGGGATGGCCCTTCAAAACACGAGTTTCTTCAGTGACGTCAGGACTCCTGTCTAGTAACGAGGGACACCTCAGGAATCTCTTCGAGGCTTGGCAGGGGCAAAGGGACGCTTCTCGAGCTGAGGCAGGGCACCCAAGGACCCTTTCCAGTAGCCACAGGGATTTGGGGATTCCTATCAGTATTCAAGAGGAGTCAGGCATCGTCACCTTTTGAAGCAATGAACTCCGCGTGCCTCTCGAGGTGTCAGCGGGATGTGAGGCATTCCGTCAAAATGAGGCAGGGACCTAGGGCTTTCTCTAAGGTCTCCACAGGGGATTCAGACATCCCTTCATGTTGTGAGATGAAAGACGAGCCTGTATTCAAGCCACTGCAAGGAAATCCGGCCTCCTTTCAAGTTAGGGCTTCTCGCTGTATATTCCCCTTGAGGCAGCAAACTCGGGGTCCCTCCCACATACCTATTGCTGAGAGAAGCCTCCTCCTGAGCTGCTTCTGGGAAGTTGGCATACGTCTTGAGCCTAAGCCAGGGAATCAGCTCGCATCTCGAGACGATTTGGGGTACACGGAGCATTCCTCGAGTTGCTGTGCTGAAGCTGGTGTTCCTCTAGACTTGGGACAGTGTTCTCGGGGCATCTCTGGAGTTGCCTGAAGGAAGTCGAGCCACCGGTCGTGTTGAATGGGGAACGGGGAATGGCTCTGGAGTCAATGCAGGGGAATCGGGCCTCATCTCGAGTTGATTTGGGGCACATGGAGCTGCTTTGCGTTGCTGGGGTGACCTCAGGGTCCGTCTAGACTGGTGACAGTGTTCTTGGGGACTGTCTCGAGATCCATTAAGCAAGTCGAAGCTCCTGACTTGTTTGAATGGGGTCACGGAATAGCTCTGCATGCACTGCAGGGGAATGGGGCCTCATCTCGCCTCTAGGGGGAAGTCTCATGGTTTTTCTCGAGTTGCGGCGGGGACCTGGGGTATGTTCTCGACTTACGGCGGGGATGGCCCTTCAAAACACGAGTTTCTTCAGTGACGTCAGGACTCCTGTCTAGTAACGAGGGACACCTCAGGAATCTCTTCGAGGCTTGGCAGGGCCAAAGGGACGCTTCTCGAGCTGAGGCAGGGCACCCAAGGACCCTTTCCAGTAGCCACAGGGATTTTGGGATTCCTATCAGTATTCAAGAGGAGTCAGGCATCGTCACCTTTTGAAGCAATGAACTCCGCGTGCCTCTCGAGGTGTCAGCGGGATGTGAGGCATTCCGTCAAAATGAGGCAGGGACCTAGGGCTTTCTCTAAGGTCTCCACAGGGGATTCAGACATCCCTTCATGTTGTGAGATGAAAGACGAGCCTGTATTCAAGCCACTGCAAGGAAATCCGGCCTCCTTTCAAGTTAGGGCTTCTCGCTGTATATTCCCCTTGAGGCAGCAAACTCGGGGTCCCTCCCACATACCTATTGCTGAGAGAAGCCTCCTCCTGAGGTGCTTCTGGGAAGTTGGCATACGTCTTGAGCCTAAGCCAGGGAATCAGCTCGCATCTCGAGACGATTTGGGGTACACGGAGCATTCCTCGAGTTGCTGTGCTGAAGCTGGTGTTCCTCTAGACTTGGGACAGTGTTCTCGGGGCATCTCTGGAGTTGCCTGAAGGAAGTCGAGCCACCGGTCGTGTTGAATGGGGAACGGGGAATGGCTCTGGAGTCAATGCAGGGGAATCGGGCCTCATCTCGAGTTGATTTGGGGCACATGGAGCTGCTTTGCGTTGCTGGGGTGACCTCAGGGTCCGTCTAGACTGGTGACAGTGTTCTTGGGGACTGTCTCGAGATCCATTAAGCAAGTCGAAGCTCCTGACTTGTTTGAATGGGATCACGGAATAGCTCTGCATGCACTGCAGGGGAATGGGGCCTCATCTCGCCTCTAGGGGGAAGTCTCATGGTTTTTCTCGAGTTGCGGCGGGGACCTGGGGTATGTTCTCGACTTACGGCGGGGATGGCCCTTCAAAACACGAGTTTCTTCAGTGACGTCAGGACTCCTGTCTAGTAACGAGGGACACCTCAGGAATCTCTTCGAGGCATGGCAGGGCCAAAGGGACGCTTCTCGAGGTGAGGCAGGGCACCCAAGGACCCTTTCCAGTAGCCACAGGGATTTGGGGATTCCTATCAGTATTCAAGAGGAGTCAGGCATCGTCACCTTTTGAAGCAATGAACTCCGCGTGCCTCTCGAGGTGTCAGCGGGATGTGAGGCATTCCGTCAAAATGAGGCAGGGACCTAGGGCTTTCTCTAAGGTCTCCACAGGGGATTCAGACATCCCTTCATGTTGTGAGATGAAAGACGAGCCTGTATTCAAGCCACTGCAAGGAAATCCGGCCTCCTTTCAAGTTAGGGCTTCTCGCTGTATATTCCCCTTGAGGCAGCAAACTCGGGGTCCCTCCCACATACCTATTGCTGAGAGAAGCCTCCTCCTGAGGTGCTTCTGGGAAGTTGGCATACGTCTTGAGCCTAAGCCAGGGAATCAGCTCGCATCTCGAGACGATTTGGGGTACACGGAGCATTCCTCGAGTTGCTGTGCTGAAGCTGGTGTTCCTCTAGACTTGGGACAGTGTTCTCGGGGCATCTCTGGAGTTGCCTGAAGAAAGTCGAGCCACCGGTCGTGTTGAATGGGGAACGGGGAATGGCTCTGGAGTCAATGCAGGGGAATCGGGCCTCATCTCGAGTTGATTTGGGGCACATGGAGCTGCTTTGCGTTGCTGGGGTGACCTCAGGGTCCGTCTAGACTGGTGACAGTGTTCTTGGGGACTGTCTCGAGATCCATTAAGCAAGTCGAAGCTCCTGACTTGTTTGAATGGGATCACGGAATAGCTCTGCATGCACTGCAGGGGAATGGGGCCTCATCTCGCCTCTAGGGGGAAGTCTCATGGTTTTTCTCGAGTTGCGGCGGGGACCTGGGGTATGTTCTCGACTTACTGCGGGGATGGCCCTTCAAAACACGAGTTTCTTCAGTGACGTCAGGACTCCTGTCTAGTAACGAGGGACACCTCAGGAATCTCTTCGAGGCTTGGCAGGGCCAAAGGGACGCTTCTCGAGGTGAGGCAGGGCACCCAAGGACCCTTTCCAGTAGCCACAGGGATTTGGGGATTCCTATCAGTATTCAAGAGGAGTCAGGCATCGTCACCTTTTGAAGCAATGAACTCCGCGTGCCTCTCGAGGTGTCAGCGGGATGTGAGGCATTCCGTCAAAATGAGGCAGGGACCTAGGGCTTTCTCTAAGGTCTCCACAGGGGATTCAGACATCCCTTCATGTTGTGAGATGAAAGACGAGCCTGTATTCAAGCCACTGCAAGGAAATCCGGCCTCCTTTCAAGTTAGGGCTTCTCGCTGTATATTCCCCTTGAGGCAGCAAACTCGGGGTCCCTCCCACATACCTATTGCTGAGAGAAGCCTCCTCCTGAGGTGCTTCTGGGAAGTTGGCATACGTCTTGAGCCTAAGCCAGGGAATCAGCTCGCATCTCGAGACGATTTGGGGTACACGAAGCATTCCTCGAGTTGCTGTTCTGAAGCTGGTGTTCCTCTAGACTTGGGACAGTGTTCTCGGGGCATCTCTGGAGTTGCCTGAAGGAAGTCGAGCCACCGGTCGTGTTGAATGGGGAACGGGGAATGGCTCTGGAGTCAATGCAGGGGAATCGGGCCTCATCTCGAGTTGATTTGGGGCACATGGAGCTGCTTTGCGTTGCTGGGGTGACCTCAGGGTCCGTCTAGACTGGTGACAGTGTTCTTGGGGACTCTCTCGAGATCCATTAAGCAAGTCGAAGCTCCTGACTTGTTTGAATGGGATCACGGAATAGCTCTGCATGCACTGCAGGGGAATGGGGCCTCATCTCGCCTCTAGGGGGAAGTCTCATGGTTTTTCTCGAGTTGCGGCGGGGACCTGGGGTATGTTCTAGACTTACGGCGGGGATGGCCCTTCAAAACACGAGTTTCTTCAGTAACGTCAGGACTCCTGTCTAGTAACGAGGGACACCTCAGGAATCTCTTCGAGGCTTGGCAGGGCCAAAGGGACGCTTCTCGAGGTGAGGCAGGGCACCCAAGGACCCTTTCCAGTAGCCACAGGGATTTTGGGATTCCTATCAGTATTCAAGAGGAGTCAGGCATCGTCACCTTTTGAAGCAATGAACTCCGCGTGCCTCTCGAGGTGTCAGCGGGATGTGAGGCATTCCGTCAAAATGAGGCAGGGACCTAGGGCTTTCTCTAAGGTCTCCACAGGGGATTCAGACATCCCTTCATGTTGTGAGATGAAAGACGAGCCTGTATTCAAGCCACTGCAAGGAAATCCGGCCTCCTTTCAAGTTAGGGCTTCTCGCTGTATATTCCCCTTGAAGCAGCAAACTCGGGGTCCCTCCCACATACCTATTGCTGAGAGAAGCCTCCTCCTGAGGTGCTTCTGGGAAGTTGGCATACGTCTTGAGCCTAAGCCAGGGAATCAGCTCGCATCTCGAGACGATTTGGGGTACACGGAGCATTCCTCGAGTTGCTGTGCTGAAGTTGGTGTTCCTCTAGACTTGGGACAGTGTTCTCGGGGCATCTCTGGAGTTGCCTGAAGGAAGTCGAGCCACCGGTCGTGTTGAATGGGGAATGGGGAATGGCTCTGGAGTCAATGCAGGGGAATCGGGCCTCATCTCGAGTTGATTTGGGGCACATGGAGCTGCTTTGCGTTGCTGGGGTGACCTCAGGGTCCGTCTAGACTGGTGACAGTGTTCTTGGGGACTGTCTCGAGATCCATTAAGCAAGTCGAAGCTCCTGACTTTTTTGAATGGGATCACAGAATAGCTCTGCATGCACTGCAGGGGAATGGGGCCTCATCTCGCCTCTAGGGGGAAGTCTCATGGTTTTTCTCGAGTTGCGGCGGGGACCTGGGGTATGTTCTCGACTTACGGCGGGGATGGCCCTTCAAAACACGAGTTTCTTCAGTGACGTCAGGACTCCTGTCTAGTAACGAGCGACACCTCAGGAATCTCTTCGAGGCTTGGCAGGGCCAAAGGGACGCTTCTCGAGGTGAGGCAGGGCACCCAAGGACCCTTTCCAGTAGCCACAGGGATTTTGGGATTCCTATCAGTGTTCAAGAGGAGTCAGGCATCGTCACCTTTTGAAGCAATGAACTCCGCGTGCCTCTCGAGGTGTCAGCGGGATGTGAGGCATTCCGTCAAAATGAGGCAGGGACCTAGGGCTTTCTCTAAGGTCTCCACAGGGGATTCAGACATCCCTTCATGTTGTGAGATGAAAGACGAGCCTGTATTCAAGCCACTGCAAGGAAATCCGGCCTCCTTTCAAGTGAGGGCTTCTCGCTGTATATTCCCCTTGAGGCAGCAAACTCGGGGTCCCTCCCACATACCTATTGCTGAGAGAAGCCTCCTCCTGAGGTGCTTCTGGGAAGTTGGCATACGTCTTGAGCCTAAGCCAGGGAATCAGCTCGCATCTCGAGACGATTTGGGGTACACGGAGCATTCCTCGAGTTGCTGTGCTGAAGTTGGTGTTCCTCTAGACTTGGGACAGTGTTCTCGGGGCATCTCTGGAGTTGCCTGAAGGAAGTCGAGCCACCGGTCGTGTTGAATGGGGAACGGGGAATGGCTCTGGAGTCAATGCAGGGGAATCGGGCCTCATCTCGAGTTGATTTGGGGCACATGGAGCTGCTTTGCGTTGCTGGGGTGACCTCAGGGTCCGTCTAGACTGGTGACAGTGTTCTTGGGGACTCTCTCGAGATCCATTAAGCAAGTCGAAGCTCCTGACTTGTTTGAATGGGATCACGGAATAGCTCTGCATGCACTGCAGGGGAATGGGGCCTCATCTCGCCTCTAGGGGGAAGTCTCATGGTTTTTCTCGAGTTGCGGCGGGGACCTGGGGTATGTTCTCGACTTACGGCGGGGATGGCCCTTCAAAACACGAGTTTCTTCAGTAACGTCAGGACTCCTGTCTAGTAACGAGGGACACCTCAGGAATCTCTTCGAGGCTTGGCAGGGCCAAAGGGACGCTTCTCGAGGTGAGGCAGGGCACCCAAGGACCCTTTCCAGTAGCCACAGGGATTTTGGGATTCCTATCAGTATTCAAGAGGAGTCAGGCATCGTCACCTTTTGAAGCAATGAACTCCGCGTGCCTCTCGAGGTGTCAGCGGGATGTGAGGCATTCCGTCAAAATGAGGCAGGGACCTAGGGCTTTCTCTAAGGTCTCCACAGGGGATTCAGACATCCCTTCATGTTGTGAGATGAAAGACGAGCCTGTATTCAAGCCACTGCAAGGAAATCCGGCCTCCTTTCAAGTTAGGGCTTCTCGCTGTATATTCCCCTTGAGGCAGCAAACTCGGGGTCCCTCCCACATACCTATTGCTGAGAGAAGCCTCCTAATGAGGTGCTTCTGGGAAGTTGGCATACGTCTTGAGCCTAAGCCAGGGAATCAGCTCGCATCTCGAGACGATTTGGGGTACACGGAGCATTCCTCGAGTTGCTGTGCTGAAGTTGGTGTTCCACTAGACTTGGGACAGTGTTCTCGGGGCATTTCTGGAGTTGCCTGAAGGAAGTCGAGCCACCGGTCGTGTTGAATGGGGAACGGGGAATGGCTCTGGAGTCAATGCAGGGGAATCGGGCCTCATCTCGAGTTGATTTGGGGCACATGGAGCTGCTTTGCGTTGCTGGGGTGACCTCAGGGTCCGTCTAGACTGGTGACAGTGTTCTTGGGGACTGTCTCGAGATCCATTACGCAAGTCGAAGCTCCTGACTTGTTTGAATGGGATCACGGAATAGCTCTGCATGCACTGCAGGGGAATGGGGCCTCATCTCGCCTCTAGGGGGAAGTCTCATGGTTTTTCTTGAGTTGCGGCGGGGACCTGGGGTATGTTCTCGACTTACGGCGGGGATGGCCCTTCAAAACACGAGTTTCTTCAGTGACGTCAGGACTCCTGTCTAGTAACGAGGGACACCTCAGGAATCTCTTCGAGGCTTGGCAGGGCCAAAGGGACGCTTCTAGAGGTGAGGCAGGGCACCCAAGGACCCTTTCCAGTAGCCACAGGGATTTTGGGATTCCTATCAGTATTCAAGAGGAGTCAGGCATCGTCACCTTTTGAAGCAATGAACTCCGCGTGCCTCTCGAGGTGTCAGCGGGATGTGAGGCATTCCGTCAAAATGAGGCAGGGACCTAGGGCTTTCTCTAAGGTCTCCACAGGGGATTCAGACATCCCTTCATGTTGTGAGATGAAAGACGAGCCTGTATTCAAGCCACTGCAAGGAAATCCGGCCTCCTTTCAAGTTAGGGCTTCTCGCTGTATATTCCCCTTGAGGCAGCAAACTCGGGGTCCCTCCCACATACCTATTGCTGAGAGAAGCCTCCTCCTGAGGTGCTTCTGGGAAGTTGGCATACGTCTTGAGCCTAAGCCAGGGAATCAGCTCGCATCTCGAGACGATTTGGGGTACACGGAGCATTCCTCGAGTTGCTGTGCTGAAGTTGGTGTTCCTCTAGACTTGGGACAGTGTTCTCGGGGCATCTCTGGAGTTGCCTGAAGGAAGTCGAGCCACCGGTCGTGTTGAATGGGGAATGGGGAATGGCTCTGGAGTCAATGCAGGGGAATCGGGCCTCATCTCGAGTTGATTTGGGGCACATGGAGCTGCTTTGCGTTGCTGGGGTGACCTCAGGGTCCGTCTAGACTGGTGACAGTGTTCTTGGGGACTGTCTCGAGATCCATTAAGCAAGTCGAAGCTCCTGACTTTTTTGAATGGGATCACAGAATAGCTCTGCATGCACTGCAGGGGAATGGGGCCTCATCTCGCCTCTAGGGGGAAGTCTCATGGTTTTTCTCGAGTTGCGGCGGGGACCTGGGGTATGTTCTCGACTTACGGCGGGGATGGCCCTTCAAAACACGAGTTTCTTCAGTGACGTCAGGACTCCTGTCTAGTAACGAGCGACACCTCAGGAATCTCTTCGAGGCTTGGCAGGGCCAAAGGGACGCTTCTCGAGGTGAGGCAGGGCACCCAAGGACCCTTTCCAGTAGCCACAGGGATTTTGGGATTCCTATCAGTGTTCAAGAGGAGTCAGGCATCGTCACCTTTTGAAGCAATGAACTCCGCGTGCCTCTCGAGGTGTCAGCGGGATGTGAGGCATTCCGTCAAAATGAGGCAGGGACCTAGGGCTTTCTCTAAGGTCTCCACAGGGGATTCAGACATCCCTTCATGTTGTGAGATGAAAGACGAGCCTGTATTCAAGCCACTGCAAGGAAATCCGGCCTCCTTTCAAGTGAGGGCTTCTCGCTGTATATTCCCCTTGAGGCAGCAAACTCGGGGTCCCTCCCACATACCTATTGCTGAGAGAAGCCTCCTCCTGAGGTGCTTCTGGGAAGTTGGCATACGTCTTGAGCCTAAGCCAGGGAATCAGCTCGCATCTCGAGACGATTTGGGGTACACGGAGCATTCCTCGAGTTGCTGTGCTGAAGTTGGTGTTCCTCTAGACTTGGGACAGTGTTCTCGGGGCATCTCTGGAGTTGCCTGAAGGAAGTCGAGCCACCGGTCGTGTTGAATGGGGAACGGGGAATGGCTCTGGAGTCAATGCAGGGGAATCGGGCCTCATCTCGAGTTGATTTGGGGCACATGGAGCTGCTTTGCGTTGCTGGGGTGACCTCAGGGTCCGTCTAGACTGGTGACAGTGTTCTTGGGGACTGTCTCGAGATCCATTAAGCAAGTCGAAGCTCCTGACTTGTTTGAATGGGATCACGGAATAGCTCTGCATGCACTGCAGGGGAATGGGGCCTCATCTCGCCTCTAGGGGGAAGTCTCATGGTTTTTCTCGAGTTGCGGCGGGGACCTGGGGTATGTTCTCGACTTACGGCGGGGATGGCCCTTCAAAACACGAGTTTCTTCAGTGACGTCAGGACTCCTGTCTAGTAACGAGGGACACCTCAGGAATCTCTTCGAGGCTTGGCAGGGGCAAAGGGACGCTTCTCGAGCTGAGGCAGGGCACCCAAGGACCCTTTCCAGTAGCCACAGGGATTTGGGGATTCCTATCAGTATTCAAGAGGAGTCAGGCATCGTCACCTTTTGAAGCAATGAACTCCGCGTGCCTCTCGAGGTGTCAGCGGGATGTGAGGCATTCCGTCAAAATGAGGCAGGGACCTAGGGCTTTCTCTAAGGTCTCCACAGGGGATTCAGACATCCCTTCATGTTGTGAGATGAAAGACGAGCCTGTATTCAAGCCACTGCAAGGAAATCCGGCCTCCTTTCAAGTTAGGGCTTCTCGCTGTATATTCCCCTTGAGGCAGCAAACTCGGGGTCCCTCCCACATACCTATTGCTGAGAGAAGCCTCCTCCTGAGCTGCTTCTGGGAAGTTGGCATACGTCTTGAGCCTAAGCCAGGGAATCAGCTCGCATCTCGAGACGATTTGGGGTACACGGAGCATTCCTCGAGTTGCTGTGCTGAAGCTGGTGTTCCTCTAGACTTGGGACAGTGTTCTCGGGGCATCTCTGGAGTTGCCTGAAGGAAGTCGAGCCACCGGTCGTGTTGAATGGGGAACGGGGAATGGCTCTGGAGTCAATGCAGGGGAATCGGGCCTCATCTCGAGTTGATTTGGGGCACATGGAGCTGCTTTGCGTTGCTGGGGTGACCTCAGGGTCCGTCTAGACTGGTGACAGTGTTCTTGGGGACTGTCTCGAGATCCATTAAGCAAGTCGAAGCTCCTGACTTGTTTGAATGGGGTCACGGAATAGCTCTGCATGCACTGCAGGGGAATGGGGCCTCATCTCGCCTCTAGGGGGAAGTCTCATGGTTTTTCTCGAGTTGCGGCGGGGACCTGGGGTATGTTCTCGACTTACGGCGGGGATGGCCCTTCAAAACACGAGTTTCTTCAGTGACGTCAGGACTCCTGTCTAGTAACGAGGGACACCTCAGGAATCTCTTCGAGGCTTGGCAGGGCCAAAGGGACGCTTCTCGAGCTGAGGCAGGGCACCCAAGGACCCTTTCCAGTAGCCACAGGGATTTTGGGATTCCTATCAGTATTCAAGAGGAGTCAGGCATCGTCACCTTTTGAAGCAATGAACTCCGCGTGCCTCTCGAGGTGTCAGCGGGATGTGAGGCATTCCGTCAAAATGAGGCAGGGACCTAGGGCTTTCTCTAAGGTCTCCACAGGGGATTCAGACATCCCTTCATGTTGTGAGATGAAAGACGAGCCTGTATTCAAGCCACTGCAAGGAAATCCGGCCTCCTTTCAAGTTAGGGCTTCTCGCTGTATATTCCCCTTGAGGCAGCAAACTCGGGGTCCCTCCCACATACCTATTGCTGAGAGAAGCCTCCTCCTGAGCTGCTTCTGGGAAGTTGGCATACGTCTTGAGCCTAAGCCAGGGAATCAGCTCGCATCTCGAGACGATTTGGGGTACACGGAGCATTCCTCGAGTTGCTGTGCTGAAGCTGGTGTTCCTCTAGACTTGGGACAGTGTTCTCGGGGCATCTCTGGAGTTGCCTGAAGGAAGTCGAGCCACCGGTCGTGTTGAATGGGGAACGGGGAATGGCTCTGGAGTCAATGCAGGGGAATCGGGCCTCATCTCGAGTTGATTTGGGGCACATGGAGCTGCTTTGCGTTGCTGGGGTGACCTCAGGGTCCGTCTAGACTGGTGACAGTGTTCTTGGGGACTGTCTCGAGATCCATTAAGCAAGTCGAAGCTCCTGACTTGTTTGAATGGGGTCACGGAATAGCTCTGCATGCACTGCAGGGGAATGGGGCCTCATCTCGCCTCTAGGGGGAAGTCTCATGGTTTTTCTCGAGTTGCGGCGGGGACCTGGGGTATGTTCTCGACTTACGGCGGGGATGGCCCTTCAAAACACGAGTTTCTTCAGTGACGTCAGGACTCCTGTCTAGTAACGAGGGACACCTCAGGAATCTCTTCGAGGCTTGGCAGGGCCAAAGGGACGCTTCTCGAGCTGAGGCAGGGCACCCAAGGACCCTTTCCAGTAGCCACAGGGATTTTGGGATTCCTATCAGTATTCAAGAGGAGTCAGGCATCGTCACCTTTTGAAGCAATGAACTCCGCGTGCCTCTCGAGGTGTCAGCGGGATGTGAGGCATTCCGTCAAAATGAGGCAGGGACCTAGGGCTTTCTCTAAGGTCTCCACAGGGGATTCAGACATCCCTTCATGTTGTGAGATGAAAGACGAGCCTGTATTCAAGCCACTGCAAGGAAATCCGGCCTCCTTTCAAGTTAGGGCTTCTCGCTGTATATTCCCCTTGAGGCAGCAAACTCGGGGTCCCTCCCACATACCTATTGCTGAGAGAAGCCTCCTCCTGAGCTGCTTCTGGGAAGTTGGCATACGTCTTGAGCCTAAGCCAGGGAATCAGCTCGCATCTCGAGACGATTTGGGGTACACGGAGCATTCCTCGAGTTGCTGTGCTGAAGCTGGTGTTCCTCTAGACTTGGGACAGGGTTCTCGGGGCATCTCTGGAGTTGCCTGAAGGAAGTCGAGCCACCGGTCGTGTTGAATGGGGAACGGGGAATGGCTCTGGAGTCAATGCAGGGGAATCGGGCCTCATCTCGAGTTGATTTGGGGCACATGGAGCTGCTTTGCGTTGCTGGGGTGACCTCAGGGTCCGTCTAGACTGGTGACAGTGTTCTTGGGGACTGTCTCGAGATCCATTAAGCAAGTCGAAGCTCCTGACTTGTTTGAATGGGGTCACGGAATAGCTCTGCATGCACTGCAGGGGAATGGGGCCTCATCTCGCCTCTAGGGGGAAGTCTCATGGTTTTTCTCGAGTTGCGGCGGGGACCTGGGGTATGTTTTCGACTTATGGCGGGGATGGCCCTTCAAAACACGAGTTTCTTCAGTGACGTCAGGACTCCTGTCTAGTAACGAGGGACACCTCAGGAATCTCTTCGAGGCTTGGCAGGGCCAAAGGGACGCTTCTCGAGGTGAGGCAGGGCACCCAAGGACCCTTTCCAGTAGCCACAGGGATTTTGGGATTCCTATCAGTATTCAAGAGGAGTCAGGCATCGTCACCTTTTGAAGCAATGAACTCCGCGTGCCTCTCGAGGTGTCAGCGGGATGTGAGGCATTCCGTCAAAATGAGGCAGGGACCTAGGGCTTTCTCTAAGGTCTCCACAGGGGATTCAGACATCCCTTCATGTTGTGAGATGAAAGACGAGCCTGTATTCAAGCCACTGCAAGGAAATCCGGCCTCCTTTCAAGTTAGGGCTTCTCGCTGTATATTCCCCTTGAGGCAGCAACCTCGGGGTCCCTCCCACATACCTATTGCTGAGAGAAGCCTCCTCCTGAGGTGCTTCTGGGAAGTTGGCATACGTCTTGAGCCTAAGCCAGGGAATCAACTCGCATCTCGAGACGATTTGGGGTACACGGAGCATTCCTCGAGTTGCTGTGCTGAAGCTGGTGTTCCTCTAGACTTGGGACAGTGTTCTCGGGGCATCTCTGGAGTTGCCTGAAGGAAGTCGAGCCACCGGTCGTGTTGGATGGGGAACGGGGAATGGCTCTGGAGTCAATGCAGGGGAATCGGGCCTCATCTCGAGTTGATTTGGGGCACATGGAGCTGCTTTGCGTTGCTGGGGTGACCTCAGGGTCCGTCTAGACTGGTGACAGTGTTCTTGGGGACTGTCTCGAGATCCATTAAGCAAGTCGAAGCTCCTGACTTGTTTGAATGGGATCACGGAATAGCTCTGCATGCACTGCAGGGGAATGGGGCCTCATCTCGCCTCTAGGGGGAAGTCTCATGGTTTTTCTCGAGTTGCGGCGGGGACCTGGGGTATGTTCTCGACTTACGGCGGGGATGGCCCTTCAAAACACGAGTTTCTTCAGTGACGTCAGGACTCCTGTCTAGTAACGAGGGACACCTCAGGAATCTCTTCGAGGCATGGCAGGGCCAAAGGGACGCTTCTCGAGGTGAGGCAGGGCACCCAAGGACCCTTTCCACTAGCCACAGGGATTTGGGGATTCCTATCAGTATTCAAGAGGAGTCAGGCATCGTCACCTTTTGAAGCAATGAACTCCGCGTGCCTCTCGAGGTGTCAGCGGGATGTGAGGCATTCCGTCAAAATGAGGCAGGGACCTAGGGCTTTCTCTAAGGTCTCCACAGGGGATTCAGACATCCCTTCATGTTGTGAGATGAAAGACGAGCCTGTATTCAAGCCACTGCAAGGAAATCCGGCCTCCTTTCAAGTTAGGGCTTCTCGCTGTATATTCCCCTTGAGGCAGCAAACTCGGGGTCCCTCCCACATACCTATTGCTGAGAGAAGCCTCCTCCTGAGGTGCTTCTGGGAAGTTGGCATACGTCTTGAGCCTAAGCCAGGGAATCAGCTCTCATCTCGAGACGATTTGGGGTACACGGAGCATTCCTCGAGTTGCTGTGCTGAAGCTGGTGTTCCTCTAGACTTGGGACAGTGTTCTCGGGGCATCTCTGGAGTTGCCTGAAGGAAGTCGAGCCACCGGTCGTGTTGAATGGGGAACGGGGAATGGCTCTGGAGTCAATGCAGGGGAATCGGGCCTCATCTCGAGTTGATTTGGGGCACATGGAGCTGCTTTGCGTTGCTGGGGTGACCTCAGGGTCCGTCTAGACTGGTGACAGTGTTCTTGGGGACTGTCTCGAGATCCATTAAGCAAGTCGAAGCTCCTGACTTGTTTGAATGGGATCACAGAATAGCTCTGCATGCACTGCAGGGGAATGGGGCCTCATCTCGCCTCTAGGGGGAAGTCTCATGGTTTTTCTCGAGTTGCGGCGGGGACCTGGGGTATGTTCTCGACTTACGGCGGGGATGGCCCTTCAAAACACGAGTTTCTTCAGTGACGTCAGGACTCCTGTCTAGTAACGAGGGACACCTCAGGAATCTCTTCGAGGCTTGGCAGGGCCAAAGGGACGCTTCTCGAGGTTAGGCAGGGCACCCAAGGACCCTTTCCAGTAGCCACAGGGTTTTGGGATTCCTATCAGTATTCAAGAGGAGTCAGGCATCGTCACCTTTTGAAGCAATGAACTCCGCGTGCCTCTCGAGGTGTCAGCGGGATGTGAGGCATTCCGTCAAAATGAGGCAGGGACCTAGGGCTTTCTCTAAGGTCTCCACAGGGGATTCAGACATCCCTTCATGTTGTGAGATGAAAGACGAGCCTGTATTCAAGCCACTGCAAGGAAATCCGGCCTCCTTTCAAGTTAGGGCTTCTCGCTGTATATTCCCCTTGAGGCAGCAAACTCGGGGTCCCTCCCACATACCTATTGCTGAGAGAAGCCTCCTCCTGAGGTGCTTCTGGGAAGTTGGCATACGTCTTGAGCCTAAGCCAGGGAATCAGCTCGCATCTCGAGACGATTTGGGGTACACGGAGCATTCCTCGAGTTGCTGTGCTGAAGTTGGTGTTCCTCTAGACTTGGGACAGTGTTCTCGGGGCATCTCTGGAGTTGCCTGAAGGAAGTCGAGCCACCGGTCGTGTTGAATGGGGAATGGGGAATGGCTCTGGAGTCAATGCAGGGGAATCGGGCCTCATCTCGAGTTGATTTGGGGCACATGGAGCTGCTTTGCGTTGCTGGGGTGACCTCAGGGTCCGTCTAGACTGGTGACAGTGTTCTTGGGGACTGTCTCGAGATCCATTAAGCAAGTCGAAGCTCCTGACTTTTTTGAATGGGATCACAGAATAGCTCTGCATGCACTGCAGGGGAATGGGGCCTCATCTCGCCTCTAGGGGGAAGTCTCATGGTTTTTCTCGAGTTGCGGCGGGGACCTGGGGTATGTTCTCGACTTACGGCGGGGATGGCCCTTCAAAACACGAGTTTCTTCAGTGACCTCAGGACTCCTGTCTAGTAACGAGCGACACCTCAGGAATCTCTTCGAGGCTTGGCAGGGCCAAAGGGACGCTTCTCGAGGTGAGGCAGGGCACCCAAGGACCCTTTCCAGTAGCCACAGGGATTTTGGGATTCCTATCAGTGTTCAAGAGGAGTCAGGCATCGTCACCTTTTGAAGCAATGAACTCCGCGTGACTCTCGAGGTGTCAGCGGGATGTGAGGCATTCCGTCAAAATGAGGCAGGGACCTAGGGCTTTCTCTAAGGTCTCCACAGGGGATTCAGACATCCCTTCATGTTGTGAGATGAAAGACGAGCCTGTATTCAAGCCACTGCAAGGAAATCCGGCCTCCTTTCAAGTTAGGGCTTCTCGCTGTATATTCCCCTTGAGGCAGCAAACTCGGGGTCCCTCCCACATACCTATTGCTGAGAGAAGCCTCCTCCTGAGGTGCTTCTGGGAAGTTGGCATACGTCTTGAGCCTAAGCCAGGGAATCAGCTCGCATCTCGAGACGATTTGGGGTACACGGAGCATTCCTCGAGTTGCTGTGCTGAAGCTGGTGTTCCTCTAGACTTGGGACAGTGTTCTCGGGGCATCTCTGGAGTTGCCTGAAGGAAGTCGAGCCACCGGTCGTGTTGAATGGGGAACGGGGAATGGCTCTGGAGTCAATGCAGGGGAATCGGGCCTCATCTCGAGTTGATTTGGGGCACATGGAGCTGCTTTGCGTTGCTGGGGTGACCTCAGGGTCCGTCTAGACTGGTGACAGTGTTCTTGGGGACTGTCTCGAGATCCATTAAGCAAGTCGAAGCTCCTGACTTGTTTGAATGGGATCACGGAATAGCTCTGCATGCACTGCAGGGGAATGGGGCCTCATCTCGCCTCTAGGGGGAAGTCTCATGGTTTTTCTCGAGTTGCGGCGGGGACCTGGGGTATGTTCTCGACTTACGGCGGGGATGGCCCTTCAAAACACGAGTTTCTTCAGTGACGTCAGGACTCCTGTCTAGTAACGAGGGACACCTCAGGAATCTCTTCGAGGCATGGCAGGGCCAAAGGGACGCTTCTCGAGGTGAGGCAGGGCACCCAAGGACCCTTTCCACTAGCCACAGGGATTTGGGGATTCCTATCAGTATTCAAGAGGAGTCAGGCATCGTCACCTTTTGAAGCAATGAACTCCGCGTGCCTCTCGAGGTGTCAGCGGGATGTGAGGCATTCCGTCAAAATGAGGCAGGGACCTAGGGCTTTCTCTAAGGTCTCCACAGGGGATTCAGACATCCCTTCATGTTGTGAGATGAAAGACGAGCCTGTATTCAAGCCACTGCAAGGAAATCCGGCCTCCTTTCAAGTTAGGGCTTCTCGCTGTATATTCCCCTTGAGGCAGCAAACTCGGGGTCCCTCCCACATACCTATTGCTGAGAGAAGCCTCCTCCTGAGGTGCTTCTGGGAAGTTGGCATACGTCTTGAGCCTAAGCCAGGGAATCAGCTCTCATCTCGAGACGATTTGGGGTACACGGAGCATTCCTCGAGTTGCTGTGCTGAAGCTGGTGTTCCTCTAGACTTGGGACAGTGTTCTCGGGGCATCTCTGGAGTTGCCTGAAGGAAGTCGAGCCACCGGTCGTGTTGAATGGGGAACGGGGAATGGCTCTGGAGTCAATGCAGGGGAATCGGGCCTCATCTCGAGTTGATTTGGGGCACATGGAGCTGCTTTGCGTTGCTGGGGTGACCTCAGGGTCCGTCTAGACTGGTGACAGTGTTCTTGGGGACTGTCTCGAGATCCATTAAGCAAGTCGAAGCTCCTGACTTGTTTGAATGGGATCACAGAATAGCTCTGCATGCACTGCAGGGGAATGGGGCCTCATCTCGCCTCTAGGGGGAAGTCTCATGGTTTTTCTCGAGTTGCGGCGGGGACCTGGGGTATGTTCTCGACTTACGGCGGGGATGGCCCTTCAAAACACGAGTTTCTTCAGTGACGTCAGGACTCCTGTCTAGTAACGAGGGACACCTCAGGAATCTCTTCGAGGCTTGGCAGGGCCAAAGGGACGCTTCTCGAGGTTAGGCAGGGCACCCAAGGACCCTTTCCAGTAGCCACAGGGTTTTGGGATTCCTATCAGTATTCAAGAGGAGTCAGGCATCGTCACCTTTTGAAGCAATGAACTCCGCGTGCCTCTCGAGGTGTCAGCGGGATGTGAGGCATTCCGTCAAAATGAGGCAGGGACCTAGGGCTTTCTCTAAGGTCTCCACAGGGGATTCAGACATCCCTTCATGTTGTGAGATGAAAGACGAGCCTGTATTCAAGCCACTGCAAGGAAATCCGGCCTCCTTTCAAGTTAGGGCTTCTCGCTGTATATTCCCCTTGAGGCAGCAAACTCGGGGTCCCTCCCACATACCTATTGCTGAGAGAAGCCTCCTCCTGAGGTGCTTCTGGGAAGTTGGCATACGTCTTGAGCCTAAGCCAGGGAATCAGCTCGCATCTCGAGACGATTTGGGGTACACGGAGCATTCCTCGAGTTGCTGTGCTGAAGTTGGTGTTCCTCTAGACTTGGGACAGTGTTCTCGGGGCATCTCTGGAGTTGCCTGAAGGAAGTCGAGCCACCGGTCGTGTTGAATGGGGAATGGGGAATGGCTCTGGAGTCAATGCAGGGGAATCGGGCCTCATCTCGAGTTGATTTGGGGCACATGGAGCTGCTTTGCGTTGCTGGGGTGACCTCAGGGTCCGTCTAGACTGGTGACAGTGTTCTTGGGGACTGTCTCGAGATCCATTAAGCAAGTCGAAGCTCCTGACTTTTTTGAATGGGATCACAGAATAGCTCTGCATGCACTGCAGGGGAATGGGGCCTCATCTCGCCTCTAGGGGGAAGTCTCATGGTTTTTCTCGAGTTGCGGCGGGGACCTGGGGTATGTTCTCGACTTACGGCGGGGATGGCCCTTCCAAACACGAGTTTCTTCAGTGACGTCAGGACTCCTGTCTAGTAACGAGGGACACCTCAGGAATCTCTTCGAGGCTTGGCAGGGCCAAAGGGACGCTTCTCGAGGTTAGGCAGGGCACCGAAGGACCCTTTCCAGTAGCCACAGGGTTTTGGGATTCCTATCAGTATTCAAGAGGAGTCAGGCATCGTCACCTTTTGAAGCAATGAACTCCGCGTGACTCTCGAGGTGTCAGCGGGATGTGAGGCATTCCGTCAAAATGAGGCAGGGACCTAGGGCTTTCTCTAAGGTCTCCACAGGGGATTCAGACATCCCTTCATGTTGTGAGATGAAAGACGAGCCTGTATTCAAGCCACTGCAAGGAAATCCGGCCTCCTTTCAAGTTAGGGCTTCTCGCTGTATATTCCCCTTGAGGCAGCAAACTCGGGGTCCCTCCCACATACCTATTGCTGAGAGAAGCCTCCTCCTGAGGTGCTTCTGGGAAGTTGGCATACGTCTTGAGCCTAAGCCAGGGAATCAGCTCGCATCTCGAGACGATTTGGGGTACACGGAGCATTCCTCGAGTTGCTGTGCTGAAGTTGGTGTTCCTCTAGACTTGGGACAGTGTTCTCGGGGCATCTCTGGAGTTGCCTGAAGGAAGTCGAGCCACCGGTCGTGTTGAATGGGGAACGGGGAATGGCTCTGGAGTCAATGCAGGGGAATCGGGCCTCATCTCGAGTTGATTTGGGGCACATGGAGCTGCTTTGCGTTGCTGGGGTGACCTCAGGGTCCGTCTAGACTGGTGACAGTGTTCTTGGGGACTGTCTCGAGATCCATTAAGCAAGTCGAAGCTCCTGACTTGTTTGAATGGGATCACGGAATAGCTCTGCATGCACTGCAGGGGAATGGGGCCTCATCTCGCCTCTAGGGGGAAGTCTCATGGTTTTTCTCGAGTTGCGGCGGGGACCTGGGGTATGTTCTCGACTTACGGCGGGGATGGCCCTTCAAAACACGAGTTTCTTCAGTGACGTCAGGACTCCTGTCTAGTAACGAGGGACACCTCAGGAATCTCTTCGAGGCTTGGCAGGGCCAAAGGGACGCTTCTCGAGGTGAGGCAGGGCACCCAAGGACCCTTTCCAGTAGCCACAGGGATTTGGGGATTCCTATCAGTATTCAAGAGGAGTCAGGCATCGTCACCTTTTGAAGCAATGAACTCCGCGTGCCTCTCGAGGTGTCAGCGGGATGTGAGGCATTCCGTCAAAATGAGGCAGGGACCTAGGGCTTTCTCTAAGGTCTCCACAGGGGATTCAGACATCCCTTCATGTTGTGAGATGAAAGACGAGCCTGTATTCAAGCCACTGCAAGGAAATCCGGCCTCCTTTCAAGTTAGGGCTTCTCGCTGTATATTCCCCTTGAGGCAGCAAACTCGGGGTCCCTCCCACATACCTATTGCTGAGAGAAGCCTCCTCCTGAGGTGCTTCTGGGAAGTTGGCATACGTCTTGAGCCTAAGCCAGGGAATCAGCTCTCATCTCGAGACGATTTGGGGTACACGGAGCATTCCTCGAGTTGCTGTGCTGAAGCTGGTGTTCCTCTAGACTTGGGACAGTGTTCTCGGGGCATCTCTGGAGTTGCCTGAAGGAAGTCGAGCCACCGGTCGTGTTGAATGGGGAACGGGGAATGGCTCTGGAGTCAATGCAGGGGAATCGGGCCTCATCTCGAGTTGATTTGGGGCACATGGAGCTGCTTTGCGTTGCTGGGGTGACCTCAGGGTCCGTCTAGACTGGTGACAGTGTTCTTGGGGACTGTCTCGAGATCCATTAAGCAAGTCGAAGCTCCTGACTTGTTTGAATGGGATCACGGAATAGCTCTGCATGCACTGCAGGGGAATGGGGCCTCATCTCGCCTCTAGGGGGAAGTCTCATGGTTTTTCTCGAGTTGCGGCGGGGACCTGGGGTATGTTCTCGACTTACGGCGGGGATGGCCCTTCCAAACACGAGTTTCTTCAGTGACGTCAGGACTCCTGTCTAGTAACGAGGGACACCTCAGGAATCTCTTCGAGGCTTGGCAGGGCCAAAGGGACGCTTCTCGAGGTTAGGCAGGGCACCCAAGGACCCTTTCCAGTAGCCACAGGGTTTTGGGATTCCTATCAGTATTCAAGAGGAGTCAGGCATCGTCACCTTTTGAAGCAATGAACTCCGCGTGCCTCTCGAGGTGTCAGCGGGATGTGAGGCATTCCGTCAAAATGAGGCAGGGACCTAGGGCTTTCTCTAAGGTCTCCACAGGGGATTCAGACATCCCTTCATGTTGTGAGATGAAAGACGAGCCTGTATTCAAGCCACTGCAAGGAAATCCGGCCTCCTTTCAAGTTAGGGCTTCTCGCTGTATATTCCCCTTGAGGCAGCAAACTCGGGGTCCCTCCCACATACCTATTGCTGAGAGAAGCCTCCTCCTGAGGTGCTTCTGGGAAGTTGGCATACGTCTTGAGCCTAAGCCAGGGAATCAGCTCGCATCTCGAGACGATTTGGGGTACACGGAGCATTCCTCGAGTTGCTGTGCTGAAGTTGGTGTTCCTCTAGACTTGGGACAGTGTTCTCGGGGCATCTCTGGAGTTGCCTGAAGGAAGTCGAGCCACCGGTCGTGTTGAATGGGGAATGGGGAATGGCTCTGGAGTCAATGCAGGGGAATCGGGCCTCATCTCGAGTTGATTTGGGGCACATGGAGCTGCTTTGCGTTGCTGGGGTGACCTCAGGGTCCGTCTAGACTGGTGACAGTGTTCTTGGGGACTGTCTCGAGATCCATTAAGCAAGTCGAAGCTCCTGACTTTTTTGAATGGGATCACAGAATAGCTCTGCATGCACTGCAGGGGAATGGGGCCTCATCTCGCCTCTAGGGGGAAGTCTCATGGTTTTTCTCGAGTTGCGGCGGGGACCTGGGGTATGTTCTCGACTTACGGCGGGGATGGCCCTTCAAAACACGAGTTTCTTCAGTGACGTCAGGACTCCTGTCTAGTAACGAGCGACACCTCAGTAATCTCTTCGAGGCTTGGCAGGGCCAAAGGGACGCTTCTCGAGGTGAGGCAGGGCACCCAAGGACCCTTTCCAGTAGCCACAGGGATTTTGGGATTCCTATCAGTGTTCAAGAGGAGTCAGGCATCGTCACCTTTTGAAGCAATGAACTCCGCGTGCCTCTCGAGGTGTCAGCGGGATGTGAGGCATTCCGTCAAAATGAGGCAGGGACCTAGGGCTTTCTCTAAGGTCTCCACAGGGGATTCAGACATCCCTTCATGTTGTGAGATGAAAGACGAGCCTGTATTCAAGCCACTGCAAGGAAATCCGGCCTCCTTTCAAGTTAGGGCTTCTCGCTGTATATTCCCCTTGAGGCAGCAAACTCGGGGTCCCTCCCACATACCTATTGCTGAGAGAAGCCTCCTCCTGAGGTGCTTCTTGGAAGTTGGCATACGTCTTGAGCCTAAGCCAGGGAATCAGCTCGCATCTCGAGACGATTTGGGGTACACGGAGCATTCCTCGAGTTGCTGTGCTGAAGTTGGTGTTCCTCTAGACTTGGGACAGTGTTCTCGGGGCATCTCTGGAGTTGCCTGAAGGAAGTCGAGCCACCGGTCGTGTTGAATGGGGAACGGGGAATGGCTCTGGAGTCAATGCAGGGGAATCGGGCCTCATCTCGAGTTGATTTGGGGCACATGGAGCTGCTTTGCGTTGCTGGGGTGACCTCAGGGTCCGTCTAGACTGGTGACAGTGTTCTTGGGGACTGTCTCGAGATCCATTAAGCAAGTCGAAGCTCCTGACTTGTTTGAATGGGGTCACGGAATAGCTCTGCATGCACTGCAGGGGAATGGGGCCTCATCTCGCCTCTAGGGGGAAGTCTCATGGTTTTTCTCGAGTTGCGGCGGGGACCTGGGGTATGATCTCGACTTACGGCGGGGATGGCCCTTCAAAACACGAGTTTCTTCAGTGACGTCAGGACTCCTGTCTAGTAACGAGGGACACCTCAGGAATCTCTTCGAGGCTTGGCAGGGCCAAAGGGACGCTTCTCGAGCTGAGGCAGGGCACCCAAGGACCCTTTCCAGTAGCCACAGGGATTTTGGGATTCCTATCAGTATTCAAGAGGAGTCAGGCATCGTCACCTTTTGAAGCAATGAACTCCGCGTGCCTCTCGAGGTGTCAGCGGGATGTGAGGCATTCCGTCAAAATGAGGCAGGGACCTAGGGCTTTCTCTAAGGTCTCCACAGGGGATTCAGACATCCCTTCATGTTGTGAGATGAAAGACGAGCCTGTATTCAAGCCACTGCAAGGAAATCCGGCCTCCTTTCAAGTTAGGGCTTCTCGCTGTATATTCCCCTTGAGGCAGCAAACTCGGGGTCCCTCCCACATACCTATTGCTGAGAGAAGCCTCCTCCTGAGGTGCTTCTGGGAAGTTGGCATACGTCTTGAGCCTAAGCCAGGGAATCAGCTCGCATCTCGAGACGATTTGGGGTACACGGAGCATTCCTCGAGTTGCTGTGCTGAAGCTGGTGTTCCTCTAGACTTGGGACAGTGTTCTCGGGGCATCTCTGCAGTTGCCTGAAGGAAGTCGAGCCACCGGTCGTGTTGAATGGGGAACGGGGAATGGCTCTGGAGTCAATGCAGGGGAATCGGGCCTCATCTCGAGTTGATTTGGGGCACATGGAGCTGCTTTGCGTTGCTGGGGTGACCTCAGGGTCCGTCTAGACTGGTGACAGTGTTCTTGGGAACTGTCTCGAGATCCATTAAGCAAGTCAAAGCTCCTGACTTGTTTGAATGGGATCACGGAATAGCTCTGCATGCACTGCAGGGGAATGGGGCCTCATCTCGCCTCTAGGGGGAAGTCTCATGGTTTTTCTCGAGTTGCGGCGGGGACCTGGGGTATGTTCTCGACTTACGGCGGGGATGGCCCTTCAAAACACGAGTTTCTTCAGTGACGTCAGGATTCCTGTCTAGTAACGAGGGACACCTCAGGAATCTCTTCGAGGCTTGGCAGGGCCAAAGGGACGCTTCTCGAGCTGAGGCAGGGCACCCAAGGACCCTTTCCAGTAGCCACAGGGATTTTGGGATTCCTATCAGTATTCAAGAGGAGTCAGGCATCGTCACCTTTTGAAGCAATGAACTCCGCGTGCCTCTCGAGGTGTCAGCGGGATGTGAGGCATTCCGTCAAAATGAGGCAGGGACCTAGGGCTTTCTCTAAGGTCTCCACAGGGGATTCAGACATCCCTTCATGTTGTGAGATGAAAGACGAGCCTGTATTCAAGCCACTGCAAGGAAATCCGGCCTCCTTTCAAGTTAGGGCTTCTCGCTGTATATTCCCCTTGAGGCAGCAAACTCGGGGTCCCTCCCACATACCTATTGCTGAGAGAAGCCTCCTCCTGAGGTGCTTCTGGGAAGTTGGCATACGTCTTGAGCCTAAGCCAGGGAATCAACTCGCATCTCGAGACGATTTGGGGTACACGGAGCATTCCTCGAGTTGCTGTGCTGAAGTTGGTGTTCCTCTAGACTTGGGACAGTGTTCTCGGGGCATCTCTGGAGTTGCCTGAAGGAAGTCGAGCCACCGGTCGTGTTGGATGGGGAACGGGGAATGGCTCTGGAGTCAATGCAGGGGAATCGGGCCTCATCTCGAGTTGATTTGGGGCACATGGAGCTGCTTTGCGTTGCTGGGGTGACCTCAGGGTCCGTCTAGACTGGTGACAGTGTTCTTGGGGACTGTCTCGAGATCCATTAAGCAAGTCGAAGCTCCTGACTTGTTTGAATGGGATCACGGAATAGCTCTGCATGCACTGCAGGGGAATGGGGCCTCATCTCGCCTCTAGGGGGAAGTCTCATGGTTTTTCTCGAGTTGCGGCGGGGACCTGGGGTATGTTCTCGACTTAAGGCGGGGATGGCCCTTCAAAACACGAGTTTCTTCAGTGACGTCAGGACTCCTGTCTAGTAACGAGGGACACCTCAGGAATCTCTTCGAGGCATGGCAGGGCCAAAGGGACGCTTCTCGAGGTGAGGCAGGGCACCCAAGGACCCTTTCCAGTAGCCACAGGGATTTGGGGATTCCTATCAGTATTCAAGAGGAGTCAGGCATCGTCACCTTTTGAAGCAATGAACTCCGCGTGCCTCTCGAGGTGTCAGCGGGATGTGAGGCATTCCGTCAAAATGAGGCAGGGACCTAGGGCTTTCTCTAAGGTCTCCACAGGGGATTCAGACATCCCTTCATGTTGTGAGATGAAAGACGAGCCTGTATTCAAGCCACTGCAAGGAAATCCGGCCTCCTTTCAAGTTAGGGCTTCTCGCTGTATATTCCCCTTGAGGCAGCAAACTCGGGGTCCCTCCCACATACCTATTGCTGAGAGAAGCCTCCTCCTGAGGTGCTTCTGGGAAGTTGGCATACGTCTTGAGCCTAAGCCAGGGAATCAGCTCGCATCTCGAGACGATTTGGGGTACACGGAGCATTCCTCGAGTTGCTGTGCTGAAGCTGGTGTTCCTCTAGACTTGGGACAGTGTTCTCGGGGCATCTCTGGAGTTGCCTGAAGGAAGTCGAGCCACCGGTCGTGTTGAATGGGGAACGGGGAATGGCTCTGGAGTCAATGCAGGGGAATCGGGCCTCATCTCGAGTTGATTTGGGGCACATGGAGCTGCTTTGCGTTGCTGGGGTGACCTCAGGGTCCGTCTAGACTGGTGACAGTGTTCTTGGGGACTGTCTCGAGATCCATTAAGCAAGTCGAAGCTCCTGACTTGTTTGAATGGGATCACGGAATAGCTCTGCATGCACTGCAGGGGAATGGGGCCTCATCTCGCCTCTAGGGGGAAGTCTCATGGTTTTTCTCGAGTTGCGGCGGGGACCTGGGGTATGTTCTCGACTTACTGCGGGGATGGCCCTTCAAAACACGAGTTTCTTCAGTGACGTCAGGACTCCTGTCTAGTAACGAGGGACACCTCAGGAATCTCTTCGAGGCTTGGCAGGGCCAAAGGGACGCTTCTCGAGGTGAGGCAGGGCACCCAAGGACCCTTTCCAGTAGCCACAGGGATTTTGGGATTCCTATCAGTATTCAAGAGGAGTCAGGCATCGTCACCTTTTGAAGCAATGAACTCCGCGTGCCTCTCGAGGTGTCAGCGGGATGTGAGGCATTCCGTCAAAATGAGGCAGGGACCTAGGGCTTTCTCTAAGGTCTCCACAGGGGATTCAGACATCCCTTCATGTTGTGAGATGAAAGACGAGCCTGTATTCAAGCCACTGCAAGGAAATCCGGCCTCCTTTCAAGTTAGGGCTTCTCGCTGTATATTCCCCTTGAGGCAGCAAACTCGGGGTCCCTCCCACATACCTATTGCTGAGAGAAGCCTCCTCCTGAGGTGCTTCTGGGAAGTTGGCATACGTCTTGAGCCTAAGCCAGGGAATCAGCTCTCATCTCGAGACGATTTGGGGTACACGGAGCATTCCTCGAGTTGCTGTGCTGAAGCTGGTGTTCCTCTAGACTTGGGACAGTGTTCTCGGGGCATCTCTGGAGTTGCCTGAAGGAAGTCGAGCCACCGGTCGTGTTGAATGGGGAACGGGGAATGGCTCTGGGGTCAATGCAGGGGAATCGGGCCTCATCTCGAGTTGATTTGGGGCACATGGAGCTGCTTTGCGTTGCTGGGGTGACCTCAGGGTCCGTCTAGACTGGTGACAGTGTTCTTGGGGACTGTCTCGAGATCCATTAAGCAAGTCGAAGCTCCTGACTTGTTTGAATGGGATCACAGAATAGCTCTGCATGCACTGCAGGGGAATGGGGCCTCATCTCGCCTCTAGGGGGAAGTCTCATGGTTTTTCTCGAGTTGCGGCGGGGACCTGGGGTATGTTCTCGACTTACGGCGGGGATGGCCCTTCAAAACACGAGTTTCTTCAGTGACGTCAGGACTCCTGTCTAGTAACGAGGGACACCTCAGGAATCTCTTCGAGGCTTGGCAGGGCCAAAGGGACGCTTCTCGAGGTTAGGCAGGGCACCCAAGGACCCTTTCCAGTAGCCACAGGGTTTTGGAATTCCTATCAGTATTCAAGAGGAGTCAGGCATCGTCACCTTTTGAAGCAATGAACTCCGCGTGCCTCTCGAGGTGTCAGCGGGATGTGAGGCATTCCGTCAAAATGAGGCAGGGACCTAGGGCTTTCTCTAAGGTCTCCACAGGGGATTCAGACATCCCTTCATGTTGTGAGATGAAAGACGAGCCTGTATTCAAGCCACTGCAAGGAAATCCGGCCTCCTTTCAAGTTAGGGCTTCTCGCTGTATATTCCCCTTGAGGCAGCAAACTCGGGGTCCCTCCCACATACCTATTGCTGAGAGAAGCCTCCTCCTGAGGTGCTTCTGGGAAGTTGGCATACGTCTTGAGCCTAAGCCAGGGAATCAGCTCGCATCTCGAGACGATTTGGGGTACACGGAGCATTCCTCGAGTTGCTGTGCTGAAGCTGGTGTTCCTCTAGACTTGGGACAGTGTTCTCGGGGCATCTCTGGAGTTGCCTGAAGGAAGTCGAGCCACCGGTCGTGTTGAATGGGGAACGGGGAATGGCTCTGGAGTCAATGCAGGGGAATCGGGCCTCATCTCGAGTTGATTTGGGGCACATGGGGCTGCTTTGCGTTGCTGGGGTGACCTCAGGGTCCGTCTAGACTGGTGACAGTGTTCTTGGGGACTGTCTCGAGATCCATTAAGCAAGTCGAAGCTCCTGACTTGTTTGAATGGGATCACGGAATAGCTCTGCATGCACTGCAGGGGAATGGGGCCTCATCTCGCCTCTAGGGGGAAGTCTCATGGTTTTTCTCGAGTTGCGGCGGGGACCTGGGGTATGTTCTCGACTTACGGCGGGGATGGCCCTTCAAAACACGAGTTTCTTCAGTGACGTCAGGACTCCTGTCTAGTAACGAGGGACACCTCAGGAATCTCTTCGAGGCTTGGCAGGGCCAAAGGGACGCTTCTCGAGGTGAGGCAGGGCACCCAAGGACCCTTTCCAGTAGCCACAGGGATTTGGGGATTCCTATCAGTATTCAAGAGGAGTCAGGCATCGTCACCTTTTGAAGCAATGAACTCCGCGTGCCTCTCGAGGTGTCAGCGGGATGTGAGGCATTCCGTCAAAATGAGGCAGGGACCTAGGGCTTTCTCTAAGGTCTCCACAGGGGATTCAGACATCCCTTCATGTTGTGAGATGAAAGACGAGCCTGTATTCAAGCCACTGCAAGGAAATCCGGCCTCCTTTCAAGTTAGGGCTTCTCGCTGTATATTCCCCTTGAGGCAGCAAACTCGGGGTCCCTCCCACATACCTATTGCTGAGAGAAGCCTCCTCCTGAGGTGCTTCTGGGAAGTTGGCATACGTCTTGAGCCTAAGCCAGGGAATCAGCTCTCATCTCGAGACGATTTGGGGTACACGGAGCATTCCTCGAGTTGCTGTGCTGAAGCTGGTGTTCCTCTAGACTTGGGACAGTGTTCTCGGGGCATCTCTGGAGTTGCCTGAAGGAAGTCGAGCCACCGGTCGTGTTGAATGGGGAACGGGGAATGGCTCTGGAGTCAATGCAGGGGAATCGGGCCTCATCTCGAGTTGATTTGGGGCACATGGAGCTGCTTTGCGTTGCTGGGGTGACCTCAGGGTCCGTCTAGACTGGTGACAGTGTTCTTGGGGACTGTCTCGAGATCCATTAAGCAAGTCGAAGCTCCTGACTTGTTTGAATGGGATCACGGAATAGCTCTGCATGCACTGCAGGGGAATGGGGCCTCATCTCGCCTCTAGGGGGAAGTCTCATGGTTTTTCTCGAGTTGCGGCGGGGACCTGGGGTATGTTCTCGACTTACGGCGGGGATGGCCCTTCAAAACACGAGTTTCTTCAGTGACGTCAGGACTCCTGTCTAGTAACGAGGGACACCTCAGGAATCTCTTCGAGGCTTGGCAGGGCCAAAGGGACGCTTCTCGAGCTGAGGCAGGGCACCCAAGGACCCTTTCCAGTAGCCACAGGGTTTTGGGATTCCTATCAGTATTCAAGAGGAGTCAGGCATCGTCACCTTTTGAAGCAATGAACTCCGCGTGCCTCTCGAGGTGTCAGCGGGATGTGAGGCATTCCGTCAAAATGAGGCAGGGACCTAGGGCTTTCTCTAAGGTCTCCACAGGGGATTCAGACATCCCTTCATGTTGTGAGATGAAAGACGAGCCTGTATTCAAGCCACTGCAAGGAAATCCGGCCTCCTTTCAAGTTAGGGCTTCTCGCTGTATATTCCCCTTGAGGCAGCAAACTCGGGGTCCCTCCCACATACCTATTGCTGAGAGAAGCCTCCTCCTGAGGTGCTTCTGGGAAGTTGGCATACGTCTTGAGCCTAAGCCAGGGAATCAGCTCGCATCTCGAGACGATTTGGGGTACACGGAGCATTCCTCGAGTTGCTGTGCTGAAGTTGGTGTTCCTCTAGACTTCGACAGTGTTCTCGGGGCATCTCTGGAGTTGCCTGAAGGAAGTCGAGCCACCGGTCGTGTTGAATGGGGAATGGGGAATGGCTCTGGAGTCAATGCAGGGGAATCGGGCCTCATCTCGAGTTGATTTGGGGCACATGGAGCTGCTTTGCGTTGCTGGGGTGACCTCAGGGTCCGTCTAGACTGGTGACAGTGTTCTTGGGGACTGTCTCGAGATCCATTAAGCAAGTCGAAGCTCCTGACTTTTTTGAATGGGATCACAGAATAGCTCTGCATGCACTGCAGGGGAATGGGGCCTCATCTCGCCTCTAGGGGGAAGTCTCATGGTTTTTCTCGAGTTGCGGCGGGGACCTGGGGTATGTTCTCGACTTACGGCGGGGATGGCCCTTCAAAACACGAGTTTCTTCAGTGACGTCAGGACGACTGTCTAGTAACGAGCGACACCTCAGGAATCTCTTCGAGGCTTGGCAGGGCCAAAGGGACGCTTCTCGAGGTGAGGCAGGGCACCCAAGGACCCTTTCCAGTAGCCACAGGGATTTTGGGATTCCTATCAGTGTTCAAGAGGAGTCAGGCATCGTCACCTTTTGAAGCAGTGAACTCCGCGTGACTCTCGAGGTGTCAGCGGGATGTGAGGCATTCCGTCAAAATGAGGCAGGGACCTAGGGCTTTCTCTAAGGTCTCCACAGGGGATTCAGACATCCCTTCATGTTGTGAGATGAAAGACGAGCCTGTATTCAAGCCACTGCAAGGAAATCCGGCCTCCTTTCAAGTTAGGGCTTCTCGCTGTATATTCCCCTTGAGGCAGCAAACTCGGGGTCCCTCCCACATACCTATTGCTGAGAGAAGCCTCCTCCTGAGGTGCTTCTGGGAAGTTGGCATACGTCTTGAGCCTAAGCCAGGGAATCAGCTCGCATCTCGAGACGATTTGGGGTACACGGAGCATTCCTCGAGTTGCTGTGCTGAAGTTGGTGTTCCTCTAGACTTGGGACAGTGTTCTCGGGGCATCTCTGGAGTTGCCTGAAGGAAGTCGAGCCACCGGTCGTGTTGAATGGGGAACGGGGAATGGCTCTGGAGTCAATGCAGGGGAATCGGGCCTCATCTCGAGTTGATTTGGGGCACATGGAGCTGCTTTGCGTTGCTGGGGTGACCTCAGGGTCCGTCTAGACTGGTGACAGTGTTCTTGGGGACTGTCTCGAGATCCATTAAGCAAGTCGAAGCTCCTGACTTGTTTGAATGGGGTCACGGAATAGCTCTGCATGCACTGCAGGGGAATGGGGCCTCATCTCGCCTCTAGGGGGAAGTCTCATGGTTTTTCTCGAGTTGCGGCGGGGACCTGGGGTATGATCTCGACTTACGGCGGGGATGGCCCTTCAAAACACGAGTTTCTTCAGTGACGTCAGGACTCCTGTCTAGTAACGAGGGACACCTCAGGAATCTCTTCGAGGCTTGGCAGGGCCAAAGGGACGCTTCTCGAGGTGAGGCAGGGCACCCAAGGACCCTTTCCAGTAGCCACAGGGATTTTGGGATTCCTATCAGTATTCAAGAGGAGTCAGGCATCGTCACCTTTTGAAGCAATGAACTCCGCGTGCCTCTCGAGGTGTCAGCGGGATGTGAGGCATTCCGTCAAAATGAGGCAGGGACCTAGGGCTTTCTCTAAGGTCTCCACAGGGGATTCAGACATCCCTTCATGTTGTGAGATGAAAGACGAGCCTGTATTCAAGCCACTGCAAGGAAATCCGGCCTCCTTTCAAGTTAGGGCTTCTCGCTGTATATTCCCCTTGAGGCAGCAAACTCGGGGTCCCTCCCACATACCTATTGCTGAGAGAAGCCTCCTCCTGAGGTGCTTCTGGGAAGTTGGCATACGTCTTGAGCCTAAGCCAGGGAATCAGCTCTCATCTCGAGACGATTTGGGGTACACGGAGCATTCCTCGAGTTGCTGTGCTGAAGCTGGTGTTCCTCTAGACTTGGGACAGTGTTCTCGGGGCATCTCTGGAGTTGCCTGAAGGAAGTCGAGCCACCGGTCGTGTTGAATGGGGAACGGGGAATGGCTCTGGAGTCAATGCAGGGGAATCGGGCCTCATCTCGAGTTGATTTGGGGCACATGGAGCTGCTTTGCGTTGCTGGGGTGACCTCAGGGTCCGTCTAGAATGGTGACAGTGTTCTTGGGGACTGTCTCGAGATCCATTAAGCAAGTCGAAGCTCCTGACTTGTTTGAATGGGATCACGGAATAGCTCTGCATGCACTGCAGGGGAATGGGGCCTCATCTCGCCTCTAGGGGGAAGTCTCATGGTTTTTCTCGAGTTGCGGCGGGGACCTGGGGTATGTTCTCGACTTACGGCGGGGATGGCCCTTCAAAACACGAGTTTCTTCAGTGACGTCAGGACTCCTGTCTAGTAACGAGGGACACCTCAGGAATCTCTTCGAGGCATGGCAGGGCCAAAGGGACGCTTCTCGAGGTGAGGCAGGGCACCCAAGGACCCTTTCCAGTAGCCACAGGGATTTTGGGATTCCTATCAGTATTCAAGAGGAGTCAGGCATCGTCACCTTTTGAAGCAATGAACTCCGCGTGCCTCTCGAGGTGTCAGCGGGATGTGAGGCATTCCGTCAAAATGAGGCAGGGACCTAGGGCTTTCTCTAAGGTCTCCACAGGGGATTCAGACATCCCTTCATGTTGTGAGATGAAAGACGAGCCTGTATTCAAGCCACTGCAAGGAAATCCGGCCTCCTTTCAAGTTAGGGCTTCTCGCTGTATATTCCCCTTGAGGCAGCAAACTCGGGGTCCCTCCCACATACCTATTGCTGAGAGAAGCCTCCTCCTGAGGTGCTTCTGGGAAGTTGGCATACGTCTTGAGCCTAAGCCAGGGAATCAGCTCGCATCTCGAGACGATTTGGGGTACACGAAGCATTCCTCGAGTTGCTGTTCTGAAGCTGGTGTTCCTCTAGACTTGGGACAGTGTTCTCGGGGCATCTCTGGAGTTGCCTGAAGGAAGTCGAGCCACCGGTCGTGTTGAATGGGGAACGGGGAATGGCTCTGGAGTCAATGCAGGGGAATCGGGCCTCATCTCGAGTTGATTTGGGGCACATGGAGCTGCTTTGCGTTGCTGGGGTGACCTCAGGGTCCGTCTAGACTGGTGACAGTGTTCTTGGGGACTCTCTCGAGATCCATTAAGCAAGTCGAAGCTCCTGACTTGTTTGAATGGGATCACGGAATAGCTCTGCATGCACTGCAGGGGAATGGGGCCTCATCTCGCCTCTAGGGGGAAGTCTCATGGTTTTTCTCGAGTTGCGGCGGGGACCTGGGGTATGTTCTCGACTTACGGCGGGGATGGCCCTTCAAAACACGAGTTTCTTCAGTAACGTCAGGACTCCTGTCTAGTAACGAGGGACACCTCAGGAATCTCTTCGAGGCTTGGCAGGGCCAAAGGGACGCTTCTCGAGGTGAGGCAGGGAACCCAAGGACCCTTTCCAGTAGCCACAGGGATTTTGGGATTCCTATCAGTATTCAAGAGGAGTCAGGCATCGTCACCTTTTGAAGCAATGAACTCCGCGTGCCTCTCGAGGTGTCAGCGGGATGTGAGGCATTCCGTCAAAATGAGGCAGGGACCTAGGGCTTTCTCTAAGGTCTCCACAGGGGATTCAGACATCCCTTCATGTTGTGAGATGAAAGACGAGCCTGTATTCAAGCCACTGCAAGGAAATCCGGCCTCCTTTCAAGTTAGGGCTTCTCGCTGTATATTCCCCTTGAGGCAGCAAACTCGGGGTCCCTCCCACATACCTATTGCTGAGAGAAGCCTCCTCCTGAGGTGCTTCTGGGAAGTTGGCATACGTCTTGAGCCTAAGCCAGGGAATCAGCTCGCATCTCGAGACGATTTGGGGTACACGGAGCATTCCTCGAGTTGCTGTGCTGAAGCTGGTGTTCCTCTAGACTTGGGACAGTGTTCTCGGGGCATCTCTGGAGTTGCCTGAAGGAAGTCGAGCCACCGGTCGTGTTGAATGGGGAACGGGGAATGGCTCTGGAGTCAATGCAGGGGAATCGGGCCTCATCTCGAGTTGATTTGGGGCACATGGGGCTGCTTTGCGTTGCTGGGGTGACCTCAGGGTCCGTCTAGACTGGTGACAGTGTTCTTGGGGACTGTCTCGAGATCCATTAAGCAAGTCGAAGCTCCTGACTTGTTTGAATGGGATCACGGAATAGCTCTGCATGCACTGCAGGGGAATGGGGCCTCATCTCGCCTCTAGGGGGAAGTCTCATGGTTTTTCTCGAGTTGCGGCGGGGACCTGGGGTATGTTCTCGACTTACGGCGGGGATGGCCCTTCAAAACACGAGTTTCTTCAGTGACGTCAGGACTCCTGTCTAGTAACGAGGGACACCTCAGGAATCTCTTCGAGGCTTGGCAGGGCCAAAGGGACGCTTCTCGAGGTGAGGCAGGGCACCCAAGGACCCTTTCCAGTAGCCACAGGGATTTGGGGATTCCTATCAGTATTCAAGAGGAGTCAGGCATCGTCACCTTTTGAAGCAATGAACTCCGCGTGCCTCTCGAGGTGTCAGCGGGATGTGAGGCATTCCGTCAAAATGAGGCAGGGACCTAGGGCTTTCTCTAAGGTCTCCACAGGGGATTCAGACATCCCTTCATGTTGTGAGATGAAAGACGAGCCTGTATTCAAGCCACTGCAAGGAAATCCGGCCTCCTTTCAAGTTAGGGCTTCTCGCTGTATATTCCCCTTGAGGCAGCAAACTCGGGGTCCCTCCCACATACCTATTGCTGAGAGAAGCCTCCTCCTGAGGTGCTTCTGGGAAGTTGGCATACGTCTTGAGCCTAAGCCAGGGAATCAGCTCTCATCTCGAGACGATTTGGGGTACACGGAGCATTCCTCGAGTTGCTGTGCTGAAGCTGGTGTTCCTCTAGACTTGGGACAGTGTTCTCGGGGCATCTCTGGAGTTGCCTGAAGGAAGTCGAGCCACCGGTCGTGTTGAATGGGGAACGGGGAATGGCTCTGGAGTCAATGCAGGGGAATCGGGCCTCATCTCGAGTTGATTTGGGGCACATGGAGCTGCTTTGCGTTGCTGGGGTGACCTCAGGGTCCGTCTAGACTGGTGACAGTGTTCTTGGGGACTGTCTCGAGATCCATTAAGCAAGTCGAAGCTCCTGACTTGTTTGAATGGGATCACGGAATAGCTCTGCATGCACTGCAGGGGAATGGGGCCTCATCTCGCCTCTAGGGGGAAGTCTCATGGTTTTTCTCGAGTTGCGGCGGGGACCTGGGGTATGTTCTCGACTTACGGCGGGGATGGCCCTTCAAAACACGAGTTTCTTCAGTGACGTCAGGACTCCTGTCTAGTAACGAGGGACACCTCAGGAATCTCTTCGAGGCTTGGCAGGGCCAAAGGGACGCTTCTCGAGCTGAGGCAGGGCACCCAAGGACCCTTTCCAGTAGCCACAGGGTTTTGGGATTCCTATCAGTATTCAAGAGGAGTCAGGCATCGTCACCTTTTGAAGCAATGAACTCCGCGTGCCTCTCGAGGTGTCAGCGGGATGTGAGGCATTCCGTCAAAATGAGGCAGGGACCTAGGGCTTTCTCTAAGGTCTCCACAGGGGATTCAGACATCCCTTCATGTTGTGAGATGAAAGACGAGCCTGTATTCAAGCCACTGCAAGGAAATCCGGCCTCCTTTCAAGTTAGGGCTTCTCGCTGTATATTCCCCTTGAGGCAGCAAACTCGGGGTCCCTCCCACATACCTATTGCTGAGAGAAGCCTCCTCCTGAGGTGCTTCTGGGAAGTTGGCATACGTCTTGAGCCTAAGCCAGGGAATCAGCTCGCATCTCGAGACGATTTGGGGTACACGGAGCATTCCTCGAGTTGCTGTGCTGAAGTTGGTGTTCCTCTAGACTTGGGACAGTGTTCTCGGGGCATCTCTGGAGTTGCCTGAAGGAAGTCGAGCCACCGGTCGTGTTGAATGGGGAATGGGGAATGGCTCTGGAGTCAATGCAGGGGAATCGGGCCTCATCTCGAGTTGATTTGGGGCACATGGAGCTGCTTTGCGTTGCTGGGGTGACCTCAGGGTCCGTCTAGACTGGTGACAGTGTTCTTGGGGACTGTCTCGAGATCCATTAAGCAAGTCGAAGCTCCTGACTTTTTTGAATGGGATCACAGAATAGCTCTGCATGCACTGCAGGGGAATGGGGCCTCATCTCGCCTCTAGGGGGAAGTCTCATGGTTTTTCTCGAGTTGCGGCGGGGACCTGGGGTATGTTCTCGACTTACGGCGGGGATGGCCCTTCAAAACACGAGTTTCTTCAGTGACGTCAGGACGACTGTCTAGTAACGAGCGACACCTCAGGAATCTCTTCGAGGCTTGGCAGGGCCAAAGGGACGCTTCTCGAGGTGAGGCAGGGCACCCAAGGACCCTTTCCAGTAGCCACAGGGATTTTGGGATTCCTATCAGTGTTCAAGAGGAGTCAGGCATCGTCACCTTTTGAAGCAATGAACTCCGCGTGACTCTCGAGGTGTCAGCGGGATGTGAGGCATTCCGTCAAAATGAGGCAGGGACCTAGGGCTTTCTCTAAGGTCTCCACAGGGGATTCAGACATCCCTTCATGTTGTGAGATGAAAGACGAGCCTGTATTCAAGCCACTGCAAGGAAATCCGGCCTCCTTTCAAGTTAGGGCTTCTCGCTGTATATTCCCCTTGAGGCAGCAAACTCGGGGTCCCTCCCACATACCTATTGCTGAGAGAAGCCTCCTCCTGAGGTGCTTCTGGGAAGTTGGCATACGTCTTGAGCCTAAGCCAGGGAATCAGCTCGCATCTCGAGACGATTTGGGGTACACGGAGCATTCCTCGAGTTGCTGTGCTGAAGTTGGTGTTCCTCTAGACTTGGGACAGTGTTCTCGGGGCATCTCTGGAGTTGCCTGAAGGAAGTCGAGCCACCGGTCGTGTTGAATGGGGAACGGGGAATGGCTCTGGAGTCAATGCAGGGGAATCGGGCCTCATCTCGAGTTGATTTGGGGCACATGGAGCTGCTTTGCGTTGCTGGGGTGACCTCAGGGTCCGTCTAGACTGGTGACAGTGTTCTTGGGGACTGTCTCGAGATCCATTAAGCAAGTCGAAGCTCCTGACTTGTTTGAATGGGGTCACGGAATAGCTCTGCATGCACTGCAGGGGAATGGGGCCTCATCTCGCCTCTAGGGGGAAGTCTCATGGTTTTTCTCGAGTTGCGGCGGGGACCTGGGGTATGATCTCGACTTACGGCGGGGATGGCCCTTCAAAACACGAGTTTCTTCAGTGACGTCAGGACTCCTGTCTAGTAACGAGGGACACCTCAGGAATCTCTTCGAGGCTTGGCAGGGCCAAAGGGACGCTTCTCGAGCTGAGGCAGGGCACCCAAGGACCCTTTCCAGTAGCCACAGGGATTTTGGGATTCCTATCAGTATTCAAGAGGAGTCAGGCATCGTCACCTTTTGAAGCAATGAACTCCGCGTGCCTCTCGAGGTGTCAGCGGGATGTGAGGCATTCCGTCAAAATGAGGCAGGGACCTAGGGCTTTCTCTAAGGTCTCCACAGGGGATTCAGACATCCCTTCATGTTGTGAGATGAAAGACGAGCCTGTATTCAAGCCACTGCAAGGAAATCCGGCCTCCTTTCAAGTTAGGGCTTCTCGCTGTATATTCCCCTTGAGGCAGCAAACTCGGGGTCCCTCCCACATACCTATTGCTGAGAGAAGCCTCCTCCTGAGGTGCTTCTGGGAAGTTGGCATACGTCTTGAGCCTAAGCCAGGGAATCAGCTCTCATCTCGAGACGATTTGGGGTACACGGAGCATTCCTCGAGTTGCTGTGCTGAAGCTGGTGTTCCTCTAGACTTGGGACAGTGTTCTCGGGGCATCTCTGGAGTTGCCTGAAGGAAGTCGAGCCACCGGTCGTGTTGAATGGGGAACGGGGAATGGCTCTGGAGTCAATGCAGGGGAATCGGGCCTCATCTCGAGTTGATTTGGGGCACATGGAGCTGCTTTGCGTTGCTGGGGTGACCTCAGGGTCCGTCTAGAATGGTGACAGTGTTCTTGGGGACTGTCTCGAGATCCATTAAGCAAGTCGAAGCTCCTGACTTGTTTGAATGGGATCACGGAATAGCTCTGCATGCACTGCAGGGGAATGGGGCCTCATCTCGCCTCTAGGGGGAAGTCTCATGGTTTTTCTCGAGTTGCGGCGGGGACCTGGGGTATGTTCTCGACTTACGGCGGGGATGGCCCTTCAAAACACGAGTTTCTTCAGTGACGTCAGGACTCCTGTCTAGTAACGAGGGACACCTCAGGAATCTCTTCGAGGCATGGCAGGGCCAAAGGGACGCTTCTCGAGGTGAGGCAGGGCACCCAAGGACCCTTTCCAGTAGCCACAGGGATTTGGGGATTCCTATCAGTATTCAAGAGGAGTCAGGCATCGTCACCTTTTGAAGCAATGAACTCCGCGTGCCTCTCGAGGTGTCAGCGGGATGTGAGGCATTCCGTCAAAATGAGGCAGGGACCTAGGGCTTTCTCTAAGGTCTCCACAGGGGATTCAGACATCCCTTCATGTTGTGAGATGAAAGACGAGCCTGTATTCAAGCCACTGCAAGGAAATCCGGCCTCCTTTCAAGTTAGGGCTTCTCGCTGTATATTCCCCTTGAGGCAGCAAACTCGGGGTCCCTCCCACATACCTATTGCTGAGAGAAGCCTCCTCCTGAGGTGCTTCTGGGAAGTTGGCATACGTCTTGAGCCTAAGCCAGGGAATCAGCTCGCATCTCGAGACGATTTGGGGTACACGGAGCATTCCTCGAGTTGCTGTGCTGAAGCTGGTGTTCCTCTAGACTTGGGACAGTGTTCTCGGGGCATCTCTGGAGTTGCCTGAAGGAAGTCGAGCCACCGGTCGTGTTTAATGGGGAACGGGGAATGGCTCTGGAGTCAATGCAGGGGAATCGGGCCTCATCTCGAGTTGATTTGGGGCACATGGAGCTGCTTTGCGTTGCTGGGGTGACCTCAGGGTCCGTCTAGACTGGTGACAGTGTTCTTGGGGACTGTCTCGAGATCCATTAATCAAGTCGAAGCTCCTGACTTCTTTGAATGGGATCACGGAATAGCTCTGCATGCACTGCAGGGGAATGGGGCCTCATCTCGCCTCTAGGGGGAAGTCTCATGGTTTTTCTCGAGTTGCGGCGGGGACCTGGGGTATGTTCTCGACTTACTGCGGGGATGGCCCTTCAAAACACGAGTTTCTTCAGTGACGTCAGGACTCCTGTCTAGTAACGAGGGACACCTCAGGAATCTCTTCGAGGCTTGGCAGGGCCAAAGGGACGCTTCTCGAGGTGAGGCAGGGCACCCAAGGACCCTTTCCAGTAGCCACAGGGATTTTGGGATTCCTATCAGTATTCAAGAGGAGTCAGGCATCGTCACCTTTTGAAGCAATGAACTCCGCGTGCCTCTCGAGGTGTCAGCGGGATGTGAGGCATTCCGTCAAAATGAGGCAGGGACCTAGGGCTTTCTCTAAGGTCTCCACAGGGGATTCAGACATCCCTTCATGTTGTGAGATGAAAGACGAGCCTGTATTCAAGCCACTGCAAGGAAATCCGGCCTCCTTTCAAGTTAGGGCTTCTCGCTGTATATTCCCCTTGAGGCAGCAAACTCGGGGTCCCTCCCACATACCTATTGCTGAGAGAAGCCTCCTCCTGAGGTGCTTCTGGGAAGTTGGCATACGTCTTGAGCCTAAGCCAGGGAATCAGCTCGCATCTCGAGACGATTTGGGGTACACGAAGCATTCCTCGAGTTGCTGTTCTGAAGCTGGTGTTCCTCTAGACTTGGGACAGTGTTCTCGGGGCATCTCTGGAGTTGCCTGAAGGAAGTCGAGCCACCGGTCGTGTTGAATGGGGAACGGGGAATGGCTCTGGAGTCAATGCAGGGGAATCGGGCCTCATCTCGAGTTGATTTGGGGCACATGGAGCTGCTTTGCGTTGCTGGGGTGACCTCAGGGTCCGTCTAGACTGGTGACAGTGTTCTTGGGGACTCTCTCGAGATCCATTAAGCAAGTCGAAGCTCCTGACTTGTTTGAATGGGATCACGGAATAGCTCTGCATGCACTGCAGGGGAATGGGGCCTCATCTCGCCTCTAGGGGGAAGTCTCATGGTTTTTCTCGAGTTGCGGCGGGGACCTGGGGTATGTTCTCGACTTACGGCGGGGATGGCCCTTCAAAACACGAGTTTCTTCAGTAACGTCAGGACTCCTGTCTAGTAACGAGGGACACCTCAGGAATCTCTTCGAGGCTTGGCAGGGCCAAAGGGACGCTTCTCGAGGTGAGGCAGGGAACCCAAGGACCCTTTCCAGTAGCCACAGGGATTTTGGGATTCCTATCAGTATTCAAGAGGAGTCAGGCATCGTCACCTTTTGAAGCAATGAACTCCGCGTGCCTCTCGAGGTGTCAGCGGGATGTGAGGCATTCCGTCAAAATGAGGCAGGGACCTAGGGCTTTCTCTAAGGTCTCCACAGGGGATTCAGACATCCCTTCATGTTGTGAGATGAAAGACGAGCCTGTATTCAAGCCACTGCAAGGAAATCCGGCCTCCTTTCAAGTTAGGGCTTCTCGCTGTATATTCCCCTTGAGGCAGCAAACTCTGGGTCCCTCCCACATACCTATTGCTGAGAGAAGCCTCCTCCTGAGGTGCTTCTGGGAAGTTGGCATACGTCTTGAGCCTAAGCCAGGGAATCAGCTCGCATCTCGAGACGATTTGGGGTACACGGAGCATTCCTCGAGTTGCTGTGCTGAAGCTGGTGTTCCTCTAGACTTGGGACAGTGTTCTCGGGGCATCTCTGGAGTTGCCTGAAGGAAGTCGAGCCACCGGTCGTGTTGAATGGGGAACGGGGAATGGCTCTGGAGTCAATGCAGGGGAATCGGGCCTCATCTCGAGTTGATTTGGGGCACATGGAGCTGCTTTGCGTTGCTGGGGTGACCTCAGGGTCCGTCTAGACTGGTGACAGTGTTCTTGGGGACTGTCTCGAGATCCATTAATCAAGTCGAAGCTCCTGACTTCTTTGAATGGGATCACGGAATAGCTCTGCATGCACTGCAGGGGAATGGGGCCTCATCTCGCCTCTAGGGGGAAGTCTCATGGTTTTTCTCGAGTTGCGGCGGGGACCTGGGGTATGTTCTCGACTTACTGCGGGGATGGCCCTTCAAAACACGAGTTTCTTCAGTGACGTCAGGACTCCTGTCTAGTAACGAGGGACACCTCAGGAATCTCTTCGAGGCTTGGCAGGGCCAAAGGGACGCTTCTCGAGGTGAGGCAGGGCACCCAAGGACCCTTTCCAGTAGCCACAGGGATTTTGGGATTCCTATCAGTATTCAAGAGGAGTCAGGCATCGTCACCTTTTGAAGCAATGAACTCCGCGTGCCTCTCGAGGTGTCAGCGGGATGTGAGGCATTCCGTCAAAATGAGGCAGGGACCTAGGGCTTTCTCTAAGGTCTCCACAGGGGATTCAGACATCCCTTCATGTTGTGAGATGAAAGACGAGCCTGTATTCAAGCCACTGCAAGGAAATCCGGCCTCCTTTCAAGTTAGGGCTTCTCGCTGTATATTCCCCTTGAGGCAGCAAACTCGGGGTCCCTCCCACATACCTATTGCTGAGAGAAGCCTCCTCCTGAGGTGCTTCTGGGAAGTTGGCATACGTCTTGAGCCTAAGCCAGGGAATCAGCTCGCATCTCGAGACGATTTGGGGTACACGAAGCATTCCTCGAGTTGCTGTTCTGAAGCTGGTGTTCCTCTAGACTTGGGACAGTGTTCTCGGGGCATCTCTGGAGTTGCCTGAAGGAAGTCGAGCCACCGGTCGTGTTGAATGGGGAACGGGGAATGGCTCTGGAGTCAATGCAGGGGAATCGGGCCTCATCTCGAGTTGATTTGGGGCACATGGAGCTGCTTTGCGTTGCTGGGGTGACCTCAGGGTCCGTCTAGACTGGTGACAGTGTTCTTGGGGACTCTCTCGAGATCCATTAAGCAAGTCGAAGCTCCTGACTTGTTTGAATGGGATCACGGAATAGCTCTGCATGCACTGCAGGGGAATGGGGCCTCATCTCGCCTCTAGGGGGAAGTCTCATGGTTTTTCTCGAGTTGCGGCGGGGACCTGGGGTATGTTCTCGACTTACGGCGGGGATGGCCCTTCAAAACACGAGTTTCTTCAGTAACGTCAGGACTCCTGTCTAGTAACGAGGGACACCTCAGGAATCTCTTCGAGGCTTGGCAGGGCCAAAGGGACGCTTCTCGAGGTGAGGCAGGGAACCCAAGGACCCTTTCCAGTAGCCACAGGGATTTTGGGATTCCTATCAGTATTCAAGAGGAGTCAGGCATCGTCACCTTTTGAAGCAATGAACTCCGCGTGCCTCTCGAGGTGTCAGCGGGATGTGAGGCATTCCGTCAAAATGAGGCAGGGACCTAGGGCTTTCTCTAAGGTCTCCACAGGGGATTCAGACATCCCTTCATGTTGTGAGATGAAAGACGAGCCTGTATTCAAGCCACTGCAAGGAAATCCGGCCTCCTTTCAAGTTAGGGCTTCTCGCTGTATATTCCCCTTGAGGCAGCAAACTCGGGGTCCCTCCCACATACCTATTGCTGAGAGAAGCCTCCTAATGAGGTGCTTCTGGGAAGTTGGCATACGTCTTGAGCCTAAGCCAGGGAATCAGCTCGCATCTCGAGACGATTTGGGGTACACGGAGCATTCCTCGAGTTGCTGTGCTGAAGTTGGTGTTCCTCTAGACTTGGGACAGTGTTCTCGGGGCATTTCTGGAGTTGCCTGAAGGAAGTCGAGCCACCGGTCGTGTTGAATGGGGAACGGGGAATGGCTCTGGAGTCAATGCAGGGGAATCGGGCCTCATCTCGAGTTGATTTGGGGCACATGGAGCTGCTTTGCGTTGCTGGGGTGACCTCAGGGTCCGTCTAGACTGGTGACAGTGTTCTTGGGGACTGTCTCGAGATCCATTACGCAAGTCGAAGCTCCTGACTTGTTTGAATGGGATCACGGAATAGCTCTGCATGCACTGCAGGGGAATGGGGCCTCATCTCGCCTCTAGGGGGAAGTCTCATGGTTTTTCTTGAGTTGCGGCGGGGACCTGGGGTATGTTCTCGACTTACGGCGGGGATGGCCCTTCAAAACACGAGTTTCTTCAGTGACGTCAGGACTCCTGTCTAGTAACGAGGGACACCTCAGGAATCTCTTCGAGGCTTGGCAGGGCCAAATGGACGCTTCTCGAGCTGAGGCAGGGCACCCAAGGACCCTTTCCAGTAGCCACAGGGATTTTAGGATTCCTATCAGTATTCAAGAGGAGTCAGGCATCGTCACCTTTTGAAGCAATGAACTCCGCGTGCCTCTCGAGGTGTCAGCGGGATGTGAGGCATTCCGTCAAAATGAGGCAGGGACCTAGGGCTTTCTCTAAGGTCTCCACAGGGGATTCAGACATCCCTTCATGTTGTGAGATGAAAGACGAGCCTGTATTCAAGCCACTGCAAGGAAATCCGGCCTCCTTTCAAGTTAGGGCTTCTCGCTGTATATTCCCCTTGAGGCAGCAAACTCGGGGTCCCTCCCACATACCTATTGCTGAGAGAAGCTTCCTCCTGAGGTGCTTCTGGGAAGTTGGCATACGTCTTGAGCCTAAGCCAGGGAATCAGCTCGCATCTCGAGACGATTTGGGGTACACGGAGCATTCCTCGAGTTGCTGTGCTGAAGTTGGTGTTCCTCTAGACTTGGGACAGTGTTCTCGGGGCATCTCTGGAGTTGCCTGAAGGAAGTCGAGCCACCGGTCGTGTTGAATGGGGAATGGGGAATGGCTCTGGAGTCAATGCAGGGGAATCGGGCCTCATCTCGAGTTGATTTGGGGCACATGGAGCTGCTTTGCGTTGCTGGGGTGACCTCAGGGTCCGTCTAGACTGGTGACAGTGTTCTTGGGGACTGTCTCGAGATCCATTAAGCAAGTCGAAGCTCCTGACTTGTTTGAATGGGGTCACGGAATAGCTCTGCATGCACTGCAGGGGAATGGGGCCTCATCTCGCCTCTAGGGGGAAGTCTCATGGTTTTTCTCGAGTTGCGGCGGGGACTTGGGGTATGTTCTCGACTTACGGCGGGGATGGCCCTTCAAAACACGAGTTTCTTCAGTGACGTCAGGACTCCTGTCTAGTAACGAGGGACACCTCAGGAATCTCTTCGAGGCTTGGCAGGGGCAAAGGGACGCTTCTCGAGCTGAGGCAGGGCACCCAAGGACCCTTTCCAGTAGCCACAGGGATTTGGGGATTCCTATCAGTATTCAAGAGGAGTCAGGCATCGTCACCTTTTGAAGCAATGAACTCCGCGTGCCTCTCGAGGTGTCAGCGGGATGTGAGGCATTCCGTCAAAATGAGGCAGGGACCTAGGGCTTTCTCTAAGGTCTCCACAGGGGATTCAGACATCCCTTCATGTTGTGAGATGAAAGACGAGCCTGTATTCAAGCCACTGCAAGGAAATCCGGCCTCCTTTCAAGTTAGGGCTTCTCGCTGTATATTCCCCTTGAGGCAGCAAACTCGGGGTCCCTCCCACATACCTATTGCTGAGAGAAGCCTCCTCCTGAGGTGCTTCTGGGAAGTTGGCATACGTCTTGAGCCTAAGCCAGGGAATCAGCTCGCATCTCGAGACGATTTGGGGTACACGGAGCATTCCTCGAGTTGCTGTGCTGAAGTTGGTGTTCCTCTAGACTTGGGACAGTGTTCTTGGGGCATCTCTGGAGTTGCCTGAAGGAAGTCGAGCCACCGGTCGTGTTGAATGGGGAACGGGGAATGGCTCTGGAGTCAATGCAGGGGAATCGGGCCTCATCTCGAGTTGATTTGGGGCACATGGAGCTGCTTTGCGTTGCTGGGGTGACCTCAGGGTCCGTCTAGACTGGTGACAGTGTTCTTGGGGACTGTCTCGAGATCCATTAAGCAAGTCGAAGCTCCTGACTTTTTTGAATGGGATCACAGAATAGCTCTGCATGCACTGCAGGGGAATGGGGCCACATCTCGCCTCTAGGGGGAAGTCTCATGGTTTTTCTCGAGTTGCGGCGGGGACCTGGGGTATGTTCTCGACTTACGGCGGGGATGGCCCTTCAAAACACGAGTTTCTTCAGTGACGTCAGGACTCCTGTCTAGTAACGAGCGACACCTCAGGAATCTCTTCGAGGCTTGGCAGGGCCAAAGGGACGCTTCTCGAGGTGAGGCAGGGCACCCAAGGACCCTTTCCAGTAGCCACAGGGATTTTGGGATTCCTATCAGTGTTCAAGAGGAGTCAGGCATCGTCACCTTTTGAAGCAATGAACTCCGCGTGCCTCTCGAGGTGTCAGCGGGATGTGAGGCATTCCGTCAAAATGAGGCAGGGACCTAGGGCTTTCTCTAAGGTCTCCACAGGGGATTCAGACATCCCTTCATGTTGTGAGATGAAAGACGAGCCTGTATTCAAGCCACTGCAAGGAAATCCGGCCTCCTTTCAAGTTAGGGCTTCTCGCTGTATATTCCCCTTGAGGCAGCAAACTCGGGGTCCCTCCCACATACCTATTGCTGAGAGAAGCCTCCTCCTGAGGTGCTTCTGGGAAGTTGGCATACGTCTTGAGCCTAAGCCAGGGAATCAGCTCACATCTCGAGACGATTTGGGGTACACGGAGCATTCCTCGAGTTGCTGTGCTGAAGTTGGTGTTCCTCTAGACTTGGGACAGTGTTCTCGGGGCATCTCTGGAGTTGCCTGAAGGAAGTCGAGCCACCGGTCGTGTTGAATGGGGAACGGGGAATGGCTCTGGAGTCAATGCAGGGGAATCGGGCCTCATCTCGAGTTGATTTGGGGCACATTGAGCTGCTTTGCGTTGCTGGGGTGACCTCAGAGTCCGTCTAGACTGGTGACAGTGTTCTTGGGGACTGTCTCGAGATCCATTAAGCAAGTCGAAGCTCCTGACTTGTTTGAATGGGATCACGGAATAGCTCTGCATGCACTGCAGGGGAATGGGGCCTCATCTCGCCTCTAGGGGGAAGTCTCATGGTTTTTCTCGAGTTGCGGCGGGGACCTGGGGTATGTTCTCGACTTACGGCGGGGATGGCCCTTCAAAACACGAGTTTCTTCAGTGACGTCAGGACTCCTGTCTAGTAACGAGGGACACCTCAGGAATCTCTTCGCGGCTTGGCAGGGGCAAAGGGACGCTTCTCGAGCTGAGGCAGGGCACCCAAGGACCCTTTCCAGTAGCCACAGGGATTTGGGGATTCCTATCAGTATTCAAGAGGAGTCAGGCATCGTCACCTTTTGAAGCAATGAACTCCGCGTGCCTCTCGAGGTGTCAGCGGGATGTGAGGCATTCCGTCAAAATGAGGCAGGGACCTAGGGCTTTCTCTAAGGTCTCCACAGGGGATTCAGACATCCCTTCATGTTGTGAGATGAAAGACGAGCCTGTATTCAAGCCACTGCAAGGAAATCCGGCCTCCTTTCAAGTTAGGGCTTCTCGCTGTATATTCCCCTTGAGGCAGCAAACTCGGGGTCCCTCCCACATACCTATTGCTGAGAGAAGCCTCCTCCTGAGGTGCTTCTGGGAAGTTGGCATACGTCTTGAGCCTAAGCCAGGGAATCAGCTCGCATCTCGAGACGATTTGGGGTACACGGAGCATTCCTCGAGTTGCTGTGCTGAAGTTGGTGTTCCTCTAGACTTGGGACAGTGTTCTTGGGGCATCTCTGGAGTTGCCTGAAGGAAGTCGAGCCACCGGTCGTGTTGAATGGGGAACGGGGAATGGCTCTGGAGTCAATGCAGGGGAATCGGGCCTCATCTCGAGTTGATTTGGGGCACATGGAGCTGCTTTGCGTTGCTGGGGTGACCTCAGGGTCCGTCTAGACTGGTGACAGTGTTCTTGGGGACTGTCTCGAGATCCATTAAGCAAGTCGAAGCTCCTGACTTGTTTGAATGGGATCACGGAATAGCTCTGCATGCACTGCAGGGGAATGGGGCCTCATCTCGCCTCTAGGGGGAAGTCTCATGGTTTTTCTCGAGTTGCGGCGGGGACCTGGGGTATGTTCTCGACTTACGGCGGGGATGGCCCTTCAAAACACGAGTTTCTTCAGTGACGTCAGGACTCCTGTCTAGTAACGAGGGACACCTCAGGAATCTCTTCGAGGCTTGGCAGGGCCAAAGGGACGCTTCTCGAGCTGAGGCAGGGCACCCAAGGACCCTTTCCAGTAGCCACAGGGATTTTGGGATTCCTATCAGTATTCAAGAGGAGTCAGGCATCGTCACCTTTTGAAGCAATGAACTCCGCGTGCCTCTCGAGGTGTCAGCGGGATGTGAGGCATTCCGTCAAAATGAGGCAGGGACCTAGGGCTTTCTCTAAGGTCTCCACAGGGGATTCAGACATCCCTTCATGTTGTGAGATGAAAGACGAGCCTGTATTCAAGCCACTGCAAGGAAATCCGGCCTCCTTTCAAGTTAGGGCTTCTCGCTGTATATTCCCCTTGAGGCAGCAAACTCGGGGTCCCTCCCACATACCTATTGCTGAGAGAAGCCTCCTCCTGAGGTGCTTCTGGGAAGTTGGCATACGTCTTGAGCCTAAGCCAGGGAATCAGCTCGCATCTCGAGACGATTTGGGGTACACGGAGCATTCCTCGAGTTGCTGTGCTGAAGTTGGTGTTCCTCTAGACTTGGGACAGTGTTCTCGGGGCATCTCTGGAGTTGCCTGAAGGAAGTCGAGCCACCGGTCGTGTTGAATGGGGAACGGGGAATGGCTCTGGAGTCAATGCAGGGGAATCGGGCCTCATCTGGAGTTGATTTGGGGCACATGGAGCTGCTTTGCGTTGCTGGGGTGACCTCAGGGTCCGTCTAGACTGGTGACAGTGTTCTTGGGGACTGTCTCGAGATCCATTAAGCAAGTCGAAGCTCCTGACTTGTTTGAATGGGATCACGGAATAGCTCTGCATGCACTGCAGGGGAATGGGGCCTCATCTCGCCTCTAGGGGGAAGTCTCATGGTTTTTCTCGAGTTGCGGCGGGGACCTGGGGTATGTTCTCGACTTACGGCGGGGATGGCCCTTCAAAACACGAGTTTCTTCAGTGACGTCAGGACTCCTGTCTAGTAACGAGGGACACCTCAGGAATCTCTTCGAGGCTTGGCAGGGCCAAAGGGACGCTTCTCGAGCTGAGGCAGGGCACCCAAGGACCCTTTCCAGTAGCCACAGGGATTTTGGGATTCCTATCAGTATTCAAGAGGAGTCAGGCATCGTCACCTTTTGAAGCAATGAACTCCGCGTGCCTCTCGAGGTGTCAGCGGGATGTGAGGCATTCCGTCAAAATGAGGCAGGGACCTAGGGCTTTCTCTAAGGTCTCCACAGGGGATTCAGACATCCCTTCATGTTGTGAGATGAAAGACGAGCCTGTATTCAAGCCACTGCAAGGAAATCCGGCCTCCTTTCAAGTTAGGGCTTCTCACTGTATATTCCCCTTGAGGCAGCAAACTCGGGGTCCCTCCCACATACCTATTGCTGAGAGAAGCCTCCTCCTGAGGTGCTTCTGGGAAGTTGGCATACGTCTTGAGCCTAAGCCAGGGAATCAGCTCGCATCTGGAGACGATTTGGGGTACACGGAGCATTCCTCGAGTTGCTGTGCTAAAGTTGGTGTTCCTCTAGACTTGGGACAGTGTTCTCGGGGCATCTCTGGAGTTGCCTGAAGGAAGTCGAGCCACCGGTCGTGTTGAATGGGGAACGGGGAATGGCTCTGGAGTCAATGCAGGGGAATCGGGCCTCATCTCGAGTTGATTTGGGGCACATGGAGCTGCTTTGCTTTGCTGGGGTGACCTCAGGGTCCGTCTAGACTGGTGACAGTGTTCTTGGGGACTGTCTCGAGATCCATTAAGCAAGTCGAAGCTCCTGACTTGTTTGAATGGGATCACGGAATAGCTCTGCATGCACTGCAGGGGAATGGGGCCTCATCTCGCCTCTAGGGGGAAGTCTCATGGTTTTTCTCGAGTTGCGGCAGGTACCTGGGGTATGTTCTCGACTTACGGCGGGGATGGCCCTTCAAAACACGAGTTTCTTCAGTGACGTCAGGACTCCTGTCTAGTAACGAGGGACACCTCAGGAATCTCTTCGAGGCTTGGCAGGGCCAAAGGGACGCTTCTCGAGGTGAGGCAGGGCACCCAAGGACCCTTTCCAGTAGCCACAGGGATTTGGGGATTCCTATCAGTATTCAAGAGGAGTCAGGCATCGTCACCTTTTGAAGCAATGAACTCCGCGTGACTCTCGAGGTGTCAGCGGGATGTGAGGCATTCCGTCAAAATGAGGCAGGGACCTAGGGCTTTCTCTAAGGTCTCCACAGGGGATTCAGACATCCCTTCATGTTGTGAGATGAAAGACGAGCCTGTATTCAAGCCACTGCAAGGAAATCCGGCCTCCTTTCAAGTTAGGGCTTCTCGCTGTATATTCCCCTTGAGGCAGCAAACTCGGGGTCCCTCCCACATACCTATTGCTGAGAGAAGCCTCCTCCTGAGGTGCTTCTGGGAAGTTGGCATACGTCTTGAGCCTAAGCCAGGGAATCAGCTCGCATCTCGAGACGATTTGGGGTACACGGAGCATTCCTCGAGTTGCTGTGCTGAAGTTGGTGTTCCTCTAGACTTGGGACAGTGTTCTCGGGGCATCTCTGCAGTTGCCTGAAGGAAGTCGAGCCACCGGTCATGTTGAATGGGGAACGGGGAATGGCTCTGGAGTCAATGCAGGGGAATCGGGCCTCATCTCGAGTTGATTTGGGGCACATGGAGCTGCTTTGCGTTGCTGGGGTGACCTCAGGGTCCGTCTAGACTGGTGACAGTGTTCTTGGGGACTGTCTCGAGATCCATTACGCAAGTCGAAGCTCCTGACTTGTTTGAATGGGGTCACGGAATAGCTCTGCATGCACTGCAGGGGAATGGGGCCTCATCTCGCCTCTAGGGGGAAGTCTCCTGGTTTTTCTCGAGCTGCGGCGGGGACCTGGGGTATGTTCTCGACTTATGGCGGGGATGGCCCTTCAAAACACGAGTTTCTTCAGTGACGTCAGGACTCCTGTCTAGTAACGAGGGACACCTCAGGAATCTCTTCGAGGCTTGGCAGGGCCAAAGGGACGCTTCTCGAGGTGAGGCAGGGCACCCAAGGACCCTTTCCAGTAGCCACAGGGATTTTGGGATTCCTATCAGTATTCAAGAGGAGTCAGGCATCGTCACCTTTTGAAGCAATGAACTCCGCGTGCCTCTCGAGGTGTCAGCGGGATGTGAGGCATTCCGTCAAAATGAGGCAGGGACCTAGGGCTTTCTCTAAGGTCTCCACAGGGGATTCAGACATCCCTTCATGTTGTGAGATGAAAGACGAGCCTGTATTCAAGCCACTGCAAGGAAATCCGGCCTCCTTTCAAGTTAGGGCTTCTCGCTGTATATTCCCCTTGAGGCAGCAAACTCGGGGTCCCTCCCACATACCTATTGCTGAGAGAAGCCTCCTCCTGAGGTGCTTCTGGGAAGTTGGCATACGTCTTGAGCCTAAGCCAGGGAATCAGCTCGCATCTCGAGACGATTTGGGGTAAACGGAGCATTCCTCGAGTTGCTGTGCTGAAGTTGGTGTTCCTCTAGACTTGGGACAGTGTTCTCGGGGCATCTCTGGAGTTGCCTGAAGGAAGTCGAGCCACCGGTCGTGTTGAATGGGGAACGGGGAATGGCTCTGGGGTCAATGCAGGGGAATCGGGCCTCATCTCGAGTTGATTTGGGGCACATGGAGCTGCTTTGCGTTGCTGGGGTGACCTCAGGGTCCGTCTAGACTGGTGACAGTGTTCTTGGGGACTGTCTCGAGATCCATTACGCAAGTCGAAGCTCCTGACTTGTTTGAATGGGGTCACGGAATAGCTCTGCATGCACTGCAGGGGAATGGGGCCTCATCTCGCCTCTAGGGGGAAGTCTCCTGGTTTTTCTCGAGTTGCGGCGGGGACCTGGGGTATGTTCTCGACTTACGGCGGGGATGGCCCTTGAAAACACGAGTTTCTTCAGTGACGTCAGGACTCCTGTCTAGTAACGAGGGACACCTCAGGAATCTCTTCGAGGCTTGGCAGGGCCAAAGGGACGCTTCTCGAGGTGAGGCAGGGCACCCAAGGACCCTTTCCAGTAGCCACAGGGATTTTGGGATTCCTATCAGTATTCAAGAGGAGTCAGGCATCGTCACCTTTTGAAGCAATGAACTCTGCGTGCCTCTCGAGGTGTCAGCGGGATGTGAGGCATTCCGTCAAAATGAGGCAGGGACCTAGGGCTTTCTCTAAGGTCTCCACAGGGGATTCAGACATCCCTTCATGTTGTGAGATGAAAGACGAGCCTGTATTCAAGCCACTGCAAGGAAATCCGGCCTCCTTTCAAGTTAGGGCTTCTCGCTGTATATTCCCCTTGAGGCAGCAAACTCGGGGTCCCTCCCACATACCTATTGCTGAGAGAAGCCTCCTCCTGAGGTGCTTCTGGGAAGCTGGCATACGTCTTGAGCCTAAGCCAGGGAATCAGCTCGCATCTCGAGACGATTTGGGGTACACGGAGCATTCCTCGAGTTGCTGTGCTGAAGTTGGTGTTCCTCTAGACTTGGGACAGTGTTCTCGGGGCATCTCTGGAGTTGCCTGAAGGAAGTCGAGCCACCGGTCGTGTTGAATGGGGAACGGGGAATGGCTCTGGAGTCAATGCAGGGGAATCGGGCCTCATCTCGAGTTGATTTGGGGCACATGGAGCTGCTTTGCGTTGCTGGGGTGACCTCAGGGTCCGTCTAGACTGGTGACAGTGTTCTTGGGGACTGTCTCGAGACCCATTAAGCAAGTCGAAGCTCCTGACTTGTTTGAATGGGGTCACGGAATAGCTCTGCATGCACTGCAGGGGAATGGGGCCTCATCTCGCCTCTAGGGGGAAGTCTCATGGTTTTTCTCGAGTTGCGGCGGGGACCTGGGGTATGTTCTCGACTTACGGCGGGGATGGCCCTTCAAAACACGAGTTTCTTCAGTGACGTCAGGACTCCTGTCTAGTAACGAGGGACACCTCAGGAATCTCTTCGAGGCTTGGCAGGGCCAAAGGGACGCTTCTCGAGCTGAGGCAGGGCACCCAAGGACCCTTTCCAGTAGCCACAGGGATTTTGGGATTCCTATCAGTATTCAAGAGGAGTCAGGCATCGTCACCTTTTGAAGCAATGAACTCCGCGTGCCTCTCGAGGTGTCAGCGGGATGTGAGGCATTCCGTCAAAATGAGGCAGGGACCTAGGGCTTTCTCTAAGGTCTCCACAGGGGATTCAGACATCCCTTCATGTTGTGAGATGAAAGACGAGCCTGTATTCAAGCCACTGCAAGGAAATCCGGCCTCCTTTCAAGTTAGGGCTTCTCGCTGTATATTCCCCTTGAGGCAGCAAACTCGGGGTCCCTCCCACATACCTATTGCTGAGAGAAGCCTCCTCCTGAGGTGCTTCTGGGAAGTTGGCATACGTCTTGAGCCTAAGCCGGGGAATCAGCTCGCATCTCGAGACGATTTGGGGTACACGGAGCATTCCTCGAGTTGCTGTGCTGAAGTTGGTGTTCCTCTAGACTTGGGACAGTGTTCTCGGGGCATCTCTGGAGTTGCCCGAAGGAAGTCGAGCCACCGGTCGTGTTGAATGGGGAACGGGGAATGGCTCTGGAGTCAATGCAGGGGAATCGGGCCTCATCTCGAGTTGATTTGGGGCACATGGAGCTGCTTTGCGTTGCTGGGGTGACCTCAGGGTCCGTCTAGACTGGTGACAGTGTTCTTGGGGACTGTCTCGAGATCCATTACGCAAGTCGAAGCTCCTGACTTGTTTGAATGGGATCACGGAATAGCTCTGCATGCACTGCAGGGGAATGGGGCCTCATCTCGCCTCTAGGGGGAAGTCTCATGGTTTTTCTCGAGTTGCGGCGGGGACCTGGGGTATGTTCTCGACTTACGGCGGGGATGGCCCTTCAAAACACGAGTTTCTTCAGTGACGTCAGGACTCCTGTCTAGTAACGAGGGACACCTCAGGAATCTCTTCGAGGCTTGGCAGGGCCAAAGGGACGCTTCTCGAGGTGAGGCAGGGCACCCAAGGACCCTTTCCAGTAGCCACAGGGATTTTGGGATTCCTATCAGTATTCAAGAGGAGTCAGGCATCGTCACCTTTTGAAGCAATGAACTCCGCGTGCCTCTCGAGGTGTCAGCGGGATGTGAGGCATTCCGTCAAAATGAGGCAGGGACCTAGGGCTTTCTCTAAGGTCTCCACAGGGGATTCAGACATCCCTTCATGTTGTGAGATGAAAGACGAGCCTGTATTCAAGCCACTGCAAGGAAATCCGGCCTCCTTTCAAGTTAGGGCTTCTCGCTGTATATTCCCCTTGAGGCAGCAAACTCGGGGTCCCTCCCACATACCTATTGCTGAGAGAAGCCTCCTCCTGAGGTGCTTCTGGGAAGCTGGCATACGTCTTGAGCCTAAGCCAGGGAATCAGCTCGCATCTCGAGACGATTTGGGGTACACGGAGCATTCCTCGAGTTGCTGTGCTGAAGTTGGTGTTCCTCTAGACTTGGGAGAGTGTTCTCGGGGCATCTCTGGAGTTGCCTGAAGGAAGTGGAGCCACCGGTCGTGTTGAATGGGGAACGGGGAATGGCTCTGGAGTCAATGCAGGGGAATCGGGCCTCATCTCGAGTTGATTTGGGGCACATGGAGCTGCTTTGCGTTGCTGGGGTGACCTCAGGGTCCATCTAGACTGGTGACAGTGTTCTTGGGGACTGTCTCGAGATCCATTAAGCAAGTCGAAGCTCCTGACTTTTTTGAATGGGATCACGGAATAGCTCTGCATGCACTGCAGGGGAATGGGGCCTCATCTCGCCTCTAGGGGGAAGTCTCATGGTTTTTCTCGAGTTGCGGCGGGGACCTGGGGTATGTTCTCGACTTACGGCGGGGATGGCCCTTCAAAACACGAGTTTCTTCAGTGACGTCAGGACTCCTGTCTAGTAACGAGGGACACCTCAGGAATCTCTTCGAGGCTTGGCAGGGGCAAAGGGACGCTTCTCGAGCTGAGGCAGGGCACCCAAGGACCCTTTCCAGTAGCCACAGGGATTTGGGGATTCCTATCAGTATTCAAGAGGAGTCAGGCATCGTCACCTTTTGAAGCAATGAACTCCGCGTGCCTCTCGAGGTGTCAGCGGGATGTGAGGCATTCCGTCAAAATGAGGCAGGGACCTAGGGCTTTCTCTAAGGTCTCCACAGGGGATTCAGACATCCCTTCATGTTGTGAGATGAAAGACGAGCCTGTATTCAAGCCACTGCAAGGAAATCCGGCCTCCTTTCAAGTTAGGGCTTCTCGCTGTATATTCCCCTTGAGGCAGCAAACTCGGGGTCCCTCCCACATACCTATTGCTGAGAGAAGCCTCCTCCTGAGCTGCTTCTGGGAAGTTGGCATACGTCTTGAGCCTAAGCCAGGGAATCAGCTCGCATCTCGAGACGATTTGGGGTACACGGAGCATTCCTCGAGTTGCTGTGCTGAAGTTGGTGTTCCTCTAGACTTGGGACAGTGTTCTCGGGGCATCTCTGGAGTTGCCTGAAGGAAGTCGAGCCACCGGTCGTGTTGAATGGGGAACGGGGAATGGCTCTGGAGTCAATGCAGGGGAATCGGGCCTCATCTCGAGTTGATTTGGGGCACATGGAGCTGCTTTGCGTTGCTGGGGTGACCTCAGGGTCCGTCTAGACTGGTGACAGTGTTCTTGGGGACTGTCTCGAGATCCATTAAGCAAGTCGAAGCTCCTGACTTGTTTGAATGGGATCACGGAATAGCTCTGCATGCACTGCAGGGGAATGGGTCCTCATCTCGCCTCTAGGGGGAAGTCTCATGGTTTTTCTCGAGTTGCGGCGGGGACCTGGGGTATGTTCTCGACTTACGGCGGGGATGGCCCTTCAAAACACGAGTTTCTTCAGTGACGTCAGGACTCCTGTCTAGTAACGAGGGACACCTCAGGAATCTCTTCGAGGCTTGGCAGGGCCAAAGGGACGCTTCTCGAGGTGAGGCAGGGCACCCAAGGACCCTTTCCAGTAGCCACAGGGATTTTGGGATTCCTATCAGTATTCAAGAGGAGTCAGGCATCGTCACCTTTTGAAGCAATGAACTCCGCGTGCCTCTCGAGGTGTCAGCGGGATGTGAGGCATTCCGTCAAAATGAGGCAGGGACCTAGGGCTTTCTCTAAGGTCTCCACAGGGGATTCAGACATCCATTCATGTTGTGAGATGAAAGACGAGCCTGTATTCAAGCCACTGCAAGGAAATCCGGCCTCCTTTCAAGTTAGGGCTTCTCGCTGTATATTCCCCTTGAGGCAGCAAACTCGGGGTCCCTCCCACATACCTATTGCTGAGAGAAGCCTCCTCCTGAGGTGCTTCTGGGAAGTTGGCATACGTCTTGAGCCTAAGCCAGGGAATCAGCTCGCATCTCGAGACGATTTGGGGTACACGGAGCATTCCTCGAGTTGCTGTGCTGAAGTTGGTGTTCCTCTAGACTTGGGACAGTGTTCTCGGGGCATCTCTGGAGTTGCCTGAAGGAAGTCGAGCCACCGGTCGTGTTGAATGGGGAACGGGGAATGGCTCTGGGGTCAATGCAGGGGAATCGGGCCTCATCTCGAGTTGATTTGGGGCACATGGAGCTGCTTTGCGTTGCTGGGGTGACCTGAGGGTCCGTCTAGACTGGTGACAGTGTTCTTGGGGACTGTCTCGAGATCCATTACGCAAGTCGAAGCTCCTGACTTGTTTGAATGGGGTCACGGAATAGCTCTGCATGCACTGCAGGGGAATGGGGCCTCATCTCGCCTCTAGGGGGAAGTCTCATGGTTTTTCTCGAGTTGCGGCGGGGACCTGGGGTATGTTCTCAACTTACGGCGGGGATGGCCCTTGAAAACACGAGTTTCTTCAGTGACGTCAGGACTCCTGTCTAGTAACGAGGGACACCTCAGGAATCTCTTCGAGGCTTGGCAGGGCCAAAGGGACGCTTCTCGAGGTGAGGCAGGGCACCCAAGGACCCTTTCCAGTAGCCACAGGGATTTTGGGATTCCTATCAGTATTCAAGAGGAGTCAGGCATCGTCACCTTTTGAAGCAATGAACTCCGCGTGCCTCTCGAGGTGTCAGCGGGATGTGAGGCATTCCGTAAAAATGAGGCAGGGACCTAGGGCTTTCTCTAAGGTCTCCACAGGGGATTCAGACATCCCTTCATGTTGTGAGATGAAAGACGAGCCTGTATTCAAGCCACTGCAAGGAAATCCGGCCTCCTTTCAAGTTAGGGCTTCTCGCTGTATATTCCCCTTGAGGCAGCAAACTCGGGGTCCCTCCCACATACCTATTGCTGAGAGAAGCCTCCTCCTGAGGTGCTTCTGGGAAGCTGGCATACGTCTTGAGCCTAAGCCAGGGAATCAGCTCGCATCTCGAGACGATTTGGGGTACACGGAGCATTCCTCGAGTTGCTGTGCTGAAGTTGGTGTTCCTCTAGACTTGGGACAGTGTTCTCGGGGCATCTCTGGAGTTGCCTGAAGGAAGTCGAGCCACCGGTCGTGTTGAATGGGGAACGGGGAATGGCTCTGGAGTCAATGCAGGGGAATCGGGCCTCATCTCGAGTTGATTTGGGGCACATGGAGCTGCTTTGCGTTGCTGGGGTGACCTCAGGGTCCGTCTAGACTGGTGACAGTGTTCTTGGGGACTGTCTCGAGACCCATTAAGCAAGTCGAAGCTCCTGACTTGTTTGAATGGGGTCACGGAATAGCTCTGCATGCACTGCAGGGGAATGGGGCCTCATCTCGCCTCTAGGGGGAAGTCTCATGGTTTTTCTCGAGTTGCGGCGGGGACCTGGGGTATGTTCTCGACTTACGGCGGGGATGGCCCTTCAAAACACGAGTTTCTTCAGTGACGTCAGGACTCCTGTCTAGTAACGAGCGACACCTCAGGAATCTCTTCGAGGCTTGGCAGGGCCAAAGGGACGCTTCTCGAGCTGAGGCAGGGCACCCAAGGACCCTTTCCAGTAGCCACAGGGATTTTGGGATTCCTATCAGTATTCAAGAGGAGTCAGGCATCGTCACCTTTTGAAGCAATGAACTCCGCGTGCCTCTCGAGGTGTCAGCGGGATGTGAGGCATTCCGTCAAAATGAGGCAGGGACCTAGGGCTTTCTCTAAGGTCTCCACAGGGGATTCAGACATCCCTTCATGTTGTGAGATGAAAGACGAGCCTGTATTCAAGCCACTGCAAGGAAATCCGGCCTCCTTTCAAGTTAGGGCTTCTCGCTGTATATTCCCCTTGAGGCAGCAAACTCGGGGTCCCTCCCACATACCTATTGCTGAGAGAAGCCTCCTCCTGAGGTGCTTCTGGGAAGTTGGCATACGTCTTGAGCCTAAGCCGGGGAATCAGCTCGCATCTCGAGACGATTTGGGGTACACGGAGCATTCCTCGAGTTGCTGTGCTGAAGTTGGTGTTCCTCTAGACTTGGGACAGTGTTCTCGGGGCATCTCTGGAGTTGCCCGAAGGAAGTCGAGCCACCGGTCGTGTTGAATGGGGAACGGGGAATGGCTCTGGAGTCAATGCAGGGGAATCGGGCCTCATCTCGAGTTGATTTGGGGCACATGGAGCTGCTTTGCGTTGCTGGGGTGACCTCAGGGTCCGTCTAGACTGGTGACAGTGTTCTTGGGGACTGTCTCGAGATCCATTACGCAAGTCGAAGCTCCTGACTTGTTTGAATGGGATCACGGAATAGCTCTGCATGCACTGCAGGGGAATGGGTCCTCATCTCGCCTCTAGGGGGAAGTCTCATGGTTTTTCTCGAGTTGCGGCGGGGACCTGGGGTATGTTCTCGACTTACGGCGGGGATGGCCCTTCAAAACACGAGTTTCTTCAGTGACGTCAGGACTCCTGTCTAGTAACGAGCGACACCTCAGGAATCTCTTCGAGGCTTGGCAGGGCCAAAGGGACGCTTCTCGAGGTGAGGCAGGGCACCCAAGGACCCTTTCCAGTAGCCACAGGGATTTTGGGATTCCTATCAGTATTCAAGAGGAGTCAGGCATCGTCACCTTTTGAAGCAATGAACTCCGCGTGCCTCTCGAGGTGTCAGCGGGATGTGAGGCATTCCGTCAAAATGAGGCAGGGACCTAGGGCTTTCTCTAAGGTCTCCACAGGGGATTCAGACATCCCTTCATGTTGTGAGATGAAAGACGAGCCTGTATTCAAGCCACTGCAAGGAAATCCGGCCTCCTTTCAAGTTAGGGCTTCTCGCTGTATATTCCCCTTGAGGCAGCAAACTCGGGGTCCCTCCCACATACCTATTGCTGAGAGAAGCCTCCTCCTGAGGTGCTTCTGGGAAGCTGGCATACGTCTTGAGCCTAAGCCAGGGAATCAGCTCGCATCTCGAGACGATTTGGGGTACACGGAGCATTCCTCGAGTTGCTGTGCTGAAGTTGGTGTTCCTCTAGACTTGGGACAGTGTTCTCGGGGCATCTCTGGAGTTGCCTGAAGGAAGTCGAGCCACCGGTCGTGTTGAATGGGGAACGGGGAATGGCTCTGGAGTCAATGCAGGGGAATCGGGCCTCATCTCGAGTTGATTTGGGGCACATGGAGCTGCTTTGCGTTGCTGGGGTGACCTGAGGGTCCGTCTAGACTGGTGACAGTGTTCTTGGGGACTGTCTCGAGATCCATTAAGCAAGTCGAAGCTCCTGACTTTTTTGAATGGGATCACGGAATAGCTCTGCATGCACTGCAGGGGAATGGGGCCTCATCTCGCCTCTAGGGGGAAGTCTCATGGTTTTTCTCGAGTTGCGGCGGGGACCTGGGGTATGTTCTCGACTTACGGCGGGGATGGCCCTTCCAAACACGAGTTTCTTCAGTGACGTCAGGACTCCTGTCTAGTAACGAGGGACACCTCAGGAATCTCTTCGAGGCTTGGCAGGGGCAAAGGGACGCTTCTCGAGCTGAGGCAGGGCACCCAAGGACCCTTTCCAGTAGCCACAGGGATTTGGGGATTCCTATCAGTATTCAAGAGGAGTCAGGCATCGTCACCTTTTGAAGCAATGAACTCCGCGTGCCTCTCGAGGTGTCAGCGGGATGTGAGGCATTCCGTAAAAATGAGGCAGGGACCTAGGGCTTTCTCTAAGGTCTCCACAGGGGATTCAGACATCCCTTCATGTTGTGAGATGAAAGACGAGCCTGTATTCAAGCCACTGCAAGGAAATCCGGCCTCCTTTCAAGTTAGGGCTTCTCGCTGTATATTCCCCTTGAGGCAGCAAACTCGGGGTCCCTCCCACATACCTATTGCTGAGAGAAGCCTCCTCCTGAGCTGCTTCTGGGAAGTTGGCATACGTCTTGAGCCTAAGCCAGGGAATCAGCTCGCATCTCGAGACGATTTGGGGTACACGGAGCATTCCTCGAGTTGCTGTGCTGAAGTTGGTGTTCCTCTAGACTTGGGACAGTGTTCTCGGGGCATCTCTGGAGTTGCCTGAAGGAAGTCGAGCCACCGGTCGTGTTGAATGGGGAACGGGGAATGGCTCTGGAGTCAATGCAGGGGAATCGGGCCTCATCTCGAGTTGATTTGGGGCACATGGAGCTGCTTTGCGTTGCTGGGGTGACCTCAGGGTCCGTCTAGACTGGTGACAGTGTTCTTGGGGACTGTCTCGAGACCCATTAAGCAAGTCGAAGCTCCTGACTTGTTTGAATGGGGTCACGGAATAGCTCTGCATGCACTGCAGGGGAATGGGGCCTCATCTCGCCTCTAGGGGGAAGTCTCATGGTTTTTCTCGAGTTGCGGCGGGGACCTGGGGTATGTTCTCGACTTACGGCGGGGATGGCCCTTCAAAACACGAGTTTCTTCAGTGACGTCAGGACTCCTGTCTAGTAACGAGCGACACCTCAGGAATCTCTTCGAGGCTTGGCAGGGCCAAAGGGACGCTTCTCGAGCTGAGGCAGGGCACCCAAGGACCCTTTCCAGTAGCCACAGGGATTTTGGGATTCCTATCAGTATTCAAGAGGAGTCAGGCATCGTCACCTTTTGAAGCAATGAACTCCGCGTGCCTCTCGAGGTGTCAGCGGGATGTGAGGCATTCCGTCAAAATGAGGCAGGGACCTAGGGCTTTCTCTAAGGTCTCCACAGGGGATTCAGACATCCCTTCATGTTGTGAGATGAAAGACGAGCCTGTATTCAAGCCACTGCAAGGAAATCCGGCCTCCTTTCAAGTTAGGGCTTCTCGCTGTATATTCCCCTTGAGGCAGCAAACTCGGGGTCCCTCCCACATACCTATTGCTGAGAGAAGCCTCCTCCTGAGGTGCTTCTGGGAAGTTGGCATACGTCTTGAGCCTAAGCCGGGGAATCAGCTCGCATCTCGAGACGATTTGGGGTACACGGAGCATTCCTCGAGTTGCTGTGCTGAAGTTGGTGTTCCTCTAGACTTGGGACAGTGTTCTCGGGGCATCTCTGGAGTTGCCCGAAGGAAGTCGAGCCACCGGTCGTGTTGAATGGGGAACGGGGAATGGCTCTGGAGTCAATGCAGGGGAATCGGGCCTCATCTCGAGTTGATTTGGGGCACATGGAGCTGCTTTGCGTTGCTGGGGTGACCTCAGGGTCCGTCTAGACTGGTGACAGTGTTCTTGGGGACTGTCTCGAGATCCATTACGCAAGTCGAAGCTCCTGACTTGTTTGAATGGGATCACGGAATAGCTCTGCATGCACTGCAGGGGAATGGGGCCTCATCTCGCCTCTAGGGGGAAGTCTCATGGTTTTTCTCGAGTTGCGGCGGGGACCTGGGGTATGTTCTCGACTTACGGCGGGGATGGCCCTTCAAAACACGAGTTTCTTCAGTGACGTCAGGACTCCTGTCTAGTAACGAGGGACACCTCAGGAATCTCTTCGAGGCTTGGCAGGGCCAAAGGGACGCTTCTCGAGCTGAGGCAGGGCACCCAAGGACCCTTTCCAGTAGCCACAGGGATTTTGGGATTCCTATCAGTATTCAAGAGGAGTCAGGCATCGTCACCTTTTGAAGCAATGAACTCCGCGTGCCTCTCGAGGTGTCAGCGGGATGTGAGGCATTCCGTCAAAATGAGGCAGGGACCTAGGGCTTTCTCTAAGGTCTCCACAGGGGATTCAGACATCCCTTCATGTTGTGAGATGAAAGACGAGCCTGTATTCAAGCCACTGCAAGGAAATCCGGCCTCCTTTCAAGTTAGGGCTTCTCGCTGTATATTCCCCTTGAGGCAGCAAACTCGGGGTCCCTCCCACATACCTATTGCTGAGAGAAGCCTCCTCCTGAGGTGCTTCTGGGAAGCTGGCATACGTCTTGAGCCTAAGCCAGGGAATCAGCTCGCATCTCGAGACGATTTGGGGTACACGGAGCATTCCTCGAGTTGCTGTGCTGAAGTTGGTGTTCCTCTAGACTTGGGACAGTGTTCTCGGGGCATCTCTGGAGTTGCCTGAAGGAAGTCGAGCCACCGGTCGTGTTGAATGGGGAACGGGGAATGGCTCTGGAGTCAATGCAGGGGAATCGGGCCTCATCTCGAGTTGATTTGGGGCACTTGGAGCTGCTTTGCGTTGCTGGGGTGACCTCAGGGTCCGTCTAGACTGGTGACAGTGTTCTTGGGGACTGTCTCGAGATCCATTAAGCAAGTCGAAGCTCCTGACTTTTTTGAATGGGATCACGGAATAGCTCTGCATGCACTGCAGGGGAATGGGGCCTCATCTCGCCTCTAGGGGGAAGTCTCATGGTTTTTCTCGAGTTGCGGCGGGGACCTGGGGTATGTTCTCGACTTACGGCGGGGATGGCCCTTCCAAACACGAGTTTCTTCAGTGACGTCAGGACTCCTGTCTAGTAACGAGGGACACCTCAGGAATCTCTTCGAGGCTTGGCAGGGGCAAAGGGACGCTTCTCGAGCTGAGGCAGGGCACCCAAGGACCCTTTCCAGTAGCCACAGGGATTTGGGGATTCCTATCAGTATTCAAGAGGAGTCAGGCATCGTCACCTTTTGAAGCAATGAACTCCGCGTGCCTCTCGAGGTGTCAGCGGGATGTGAGGCATTCCGTCAAAATGAGGCAGGGACCTAGGGCTTTCTCTAAGGTCTCCACAGGGGATTCAGACATCCCTTCATGTTGTGAGATGAAAGACGAGCCTGTATTCAAGCCACTGCAAGGAAATCCGGCCTCCTTTCAAGTTAGGGCTTCTCGCTGTATATTCCCCTTGAGGCAGCAAACTCGGGGTCCCTCCCACATACCTATTGCTGAGAGAAGCCTCCTCCTGAGCTGCTTCTGGGAAGTTGGCATACGTCTTGAGCCTAAGCCAGGGAATCAGCTCGCATCTCGAGACGATTTGGGGTACACGGAGCATTCCTCGAGTTGCTGTGCTGAAGTTGGTGTTCCTCTAGACTTGGGACAGTGTTCTCGGGGCATCTCTGGAGTTGCCTGAAGGAAGTCGAGCCACCGGTCGTGTTGAATGGGGAACGGGGAATGGCTCTGGAGTCAATGCAGGGGAATCGGGCCTCATCTCGAGTTGATTTGGGGCACATGGAGCTGCTTTGCGTTGCTGGGGTGACCTCAGGGTCCGTCTAGACTGGTGACAGTGTTCTTGGGGACTGTCTCGAGATCCATTAAGCAAGTCGAAGCTCCTGACTTGTTTGAATGGGATCACGGAATAGCTCTGCATGCACTGCAGGGGAATGGGTCCTCATCTCGCCTCTAGGGGGAAGTCTCATGGTTTTTCTCGAGTTGCGGCGGGGACCTGGGGTATGTTCTCGACTTACGGCGGGGATGGCCCTTCAAAACACGAGTTTCTTCAGTGACGTCAGGACTCCTGTCTAGTAACGAGGGACACCTCAGGAATCTCTTCGAGGCTTGGCAGGGCCAAAGGGACGCTTCTCGAGCTGAGGCAGGGCACCCAAGGACCCTTTCCAGTAGCCACAGGGATTTTGGGATTCCTATCAGTATTCAAGAGGAGTCAGGCATCGTCACCTTTTGAAGCAATGAACTCCGCGTGCCTCTCGATGTGTCAGCGGGATGTGAGGCATTCCGTCAAAATGAGGCAGGGACCTAGGGCTTTCTCTAAGGTCTCCACAGGGGATTCAGACATCCCTTCATGTTGTGAGATGAAAGACGAGCCTGTATTCAAGCCACTGCAAGGAAATCCGGCCTCCTTTCAAGTTAGGGCTTCTCGCTGTATATTCCCCTTGAGGCAGCAAACTCGGGGTCCCTCCCACATACCTATTGCTGAGAGAAGCCTCCTCCTGAGGTGCTTCTGGGAAGTTGGCATACGTCTTGAGCCTAAGCCAGGGAATCAGCTCGCATCTCGAGACGATTTGGGGCACACGGAGCATTCCTCGAGTTGCTGTGCTGAAGTTGGTGTTCCTCTAGACTTGGGACAGTGTTCTCGGGGCATCTCTGGAGTTGCCTGAAGGAAGTCGAGCCACCGGTCGTGTTGAATGGGGAACGGGGAATGGCTCTGGAGTCAATGCAGGGGAATCGGGCCTCATCTCGAGTTGATTTGGGGCACATGGAGCTGCTTTGCGTTGCTGGGGTGACCTCAGGGTCCGTCTAGACTGGTGACAGTGTTCTTGGGGACTGTCTCGAGATCCATTAAGCAAGTCGAAGCTCCTGACTTGTTTGAATGGGATCACGGAATAGCTCTGCATGCACTGCAGGGGAATGGGGCCTCATCTCGCCTCTAGGGGGAAGTCTCATGGTTTTTCTCGAGTTGCGGCGGGGACCTGGGGTATGTTCTCGACTTACGGCGGGGATGGCCCTTCAAAACACGAGTTTCTTCAGTGACGTCAGGACTCCTGTCTAGTAACGAGGGACACCTCAGGAATCTCTTCGAGGCTTGGCAGGGCCAAAGGGACGCTTCTCGAGCTGAGGCAGGGCACCCAAGGACCCTTTCCAGTAGCCACAGGGATTTTGGGATTCCTATCAGTATTCAAGAGGAGTCAGGCATCGTCACCTTTTGAAGCAATGAACTCCGCGTGCCTCTCGAGGTGTCAGCGGGATGTGAGGCATTCCGTCAAAATGAGGCAGGGACCTAGGGCTTTCTCTAAGGTCTCCACAGGGGATTCAGACATCCCTTCATGTTGTGAGATGAAAGACGAGCCTGTATTCAAGCCACTGCAAGGAAATCCGGCCTCCTTTCAAGTTAGGGCTTCTCGCTGTATATTCCCCTTGAGGCAGCAAACTCGGGGTCCCTCCCACATACCTATTGCTGAGAGAAGCCTCCTCCTGAGGTGCTTCTGGGAAGTTGGCATACGTCTTGAGCCTAAGCCAGGGAATCAGCTCGCATCTCGAGACGATTTGGGGTACACGGAGCATTCCTCGAGTTGCTGTGCTGAAGTTGGTGTTCCTCTAGACTTGGGACAGTGTTCTCGGGGCATCTCTGGAGTTGCCTGAAGGAAGTGGAGCCACCGGTCGTGTTGAATGGGGAACGGGGAATGGCTCTGGAGTCAATGCAGGGGAATCGGGCCTCATCTCGAGTTGATTTGGGGCACATGGAGCTGCTTTGCGTTGCTGGGGTGACCTCAGGGTCCGTCTAGACTGGTGACAGTGTTCTTGGGGACTGTCTCGAGATCCATTAAGCAAGTCGAAGCTCCTGACTTGTTTGAATGGGATCACGGAATAGCTCTGCATGCACTGCAGGGGAATGGGGCCTCATCTCGCCTCTAGGGGGAAGTCTCATGGTTTTTCTCGAGTTGCGGCGGGGACCTGGGGTATGTTCTCGACTTACGGCGGGGATGGCCCTTCAAAACACGAGTTTCTTCAGTGACGTCAGGACTCCTGTCTAGTAACGAGGGACACCTCAGGAATCTCTTCGAGGCTTGGCAGGGCCAAAGGGACGCTTCTCGAGCTGAGGCAGGGCACCCAAGGACCCTTTCCAGTAGCCACAGGGATTTTGGGATTCCTATCAGTATTCAAGAGGAGTCAGGCATCGTCACCTTTTGAAGCAATGAACTCCGCGTGCCTCTCGAGGTGTCAGCGGGATGTGAGGCATTCCGTCAAAATGAGGCAGGGAACTAGGGCTTTCTCTAAGGTCTCCACAGGGGATTCAGACATCCCTTCATGTTGTGAGATGAAAGACGAGCCTGTATTCAAGCCACTGCAAGGAAATCCGGCCTCCTTTCAAGTTAGGGCTTCTCGCTGTATATTCCCCTTGAGGCAGCAAACTCGGGGTCCCTCCCACATACCTATTGCTGAGAGAAGCCTCCTCCTGAGCTGCTTCTGGGAAGTTGGCATACGTCTTGAGCCTAAGCCAGGGAATCAGCTCGCATCTCGAGACTATTTGGGGTACACGGAGCATTCCTCGAGTTGCTGTGCTGAAGTTGGTGTTCCTCTAGACTTGGGACAGTGTTCTCGGGGCATCTCTGGAGTTGCCTGAAGGAAGTCGAGCCACCGGTCGTGTTGAATGGGGAACGGGGAATGGCTCTGGAGTCAATGCAGGGGAATCGGGCCTCATCTCGAGTTGATTTGGGGCACATGGAGCTGCTTTGCGTTGCTGGGGTGACCTCAGGGTCCGTCTAGACTGGTGACAGTGTTCTTGGGGACTGTCTCGAGATCCATTAAGCAAGTCGAAGCTCCTGACTTGTTTGAATGGGATCACGGAATAGCTCTGCATGCACTGCAGGGGAATGGGGCCTCATCTCGCCTCTAGGGGGAAGTCTCATGGTTTTTCTCGAGTTGCGGCGGGGACCTGGGGTATGTTCTCGACTTACGGCGGGGATGGCCCTTCAAAACACGAGTTTCTTCAGTGACGTCAGGACTCCTGTCTAGTAACGAGGGACACCTCAGGAATCTCTTCGAGGCTTGGCAGGGCCAAAGGGACGCTTCTCGAGCTGAGGCAGGGCACCCAAGGACCCTTTCCAGTAGCCACAGGGATTTTGGGATTCCTATCAGTATTCAAGAGGAGTCAGGCATCGTCACCTTTTGAAGCAATGAACTCCGCGTGCCTCTCGAGGTGTCAGCGGGATGTGAGGCATTCCGTCAAAATGAGGCAGGGACCTAGGGCTTTCTCTAAGGTCTCCACAGGGGATTCAGACATCCATTCATGTTGTGAGATGAAAGACGAGCCTGTATTCAAGCCACTGCAAGGAAATCCGGCCTCCTTTCAAGTTAGGGCTTCTCGCTGTATATTCCCCTTGAGGCAGCAAACTCGGGGTCCCTCCCACATACCTATTGCTGAGAGAAGCCTCCTCCTGAGGTGCTTCTGGGAAGTTGGCATACGTCTTGAGCCTAAGCCAGGGAATCAGCTCGCATCTCGAGACGATTTGGGGTACACGGAGCATTCCTCGAGTTGCTGTGCTGAAGTTGGTGTTCCTCTAGACTTGGGACAGTGTTCTCGGGGCATCTCTGGAGTTGCCTGAAGGAAGTCGAGCCACCGGTCGTGTTGAATGGGGAACGGGGAATGGCTCTGGGGTCAATGCAGGGGAATCGGGCCTCATCTCGAGTTGATTTGGGGCACATGGAGCTGCTTTGCGTTGCTGGGGTGACCTCAGGGTCCGTCTAGACTGGTGACAGTGTTCTTGGGGACTGTCTCGAGATCCATTACGCAAGTCGAAGCTCCTGACTTGTTTGAATGGGGTCACGGAATAGCTCTGCATGCACTGCAGGGGAATGGGGCCTCATCTCGCCTCTAGGGGGAAGTCTCCTGGTTTTTCTCGAGTTGCGGCGGGGACCTGGGGTATGTTCTCGACTTACGGCGGGGATGGCCCTTGAAAACACGAGTTTCTTCAGTGACGTCAGGACTCCTGTCTAGTAACGAGGGACACCTCAGGAATCTCTTCGAGGCTTGGCAGGGCCAAAGGGACGCTTCTCGAGGTGAGGCAGGGCACCCAAGGACCCTTTCCAGTAGCCACAGGGATTTTGGGATTCCTATCAGTATTCAAGAGGAGTCAGGCATCGTCACCTTTTGAAGCAATGAACTCCGTGTGCCTCTCGAGGTGTCAGCGGGATGTGAGGCATTCCGTCAAAATGAGGCAGGGACCTAGGGCTTTCTCTAAGGTCTCCACAGGGGATTCAGACATCCCTTCATGTTGTGAGATGAAAGACGAGCCTGTATTCAAGCCACTGCAAGGAAATCCGGCCTCCTTTCAAGTTAGGGCTTCTCGCTGTATATTCCCCTTGAGGCAGCAAACTCGGGGTCCCTCCCACATACCTATTGCTGAGAGAAGCCTCCTCCTGAGGTGCTTCTGGGAAGCTGGCATACGTCTTGAGCCTAAGCCAGGGAATCAGCTCGCATCTCGAGACGATTTGGTGTACACGGAGCATTCCTCGAGTTGCTGTGCTGAAGTTGGTGTTCCTCTAGACTTGGGACAGTGTTCTCGGGGCATCTCTGGAGTTGCCTGAAGGAAGTCGAGCCACCGGTCGTGTTGAATGGGGAACGGGGAATGGCTCTGGAGTCAATGCAGGGGAATCGGGCCTCATCTCGAGTTGATTTGGGGCACATGGAGCTGCTTTGCGTTGCTGGGGTGACCTCAGGGTCCGTCTAGACTGGTGACAGTGTTCTTGGGGACTGTCTCGAGACCCATTAAGCAAGTCGAAGCTCCTGACTTGTTTGAATGGGGTCACGGAATAGCTCTGCATGCACTGCAGGGGAATGGGGCCTCATCTCGCCTCTAGGGGGAAGTCTCATGGTTTTTCTCGAGTTGCGGCGGGGACCTGGGGTATGTTCTCGACTTACGGCGGGGATGGCCCTTCAAAACACGAGTTTCTTCAGTGACGTCAGGACTCCTGTCTAGTAACGAGGGACACCTCAGGAATCTCTTCGAGGCTTGGCAGGGCCAAAGGGACGCTTCTCGAGCTGAGGCAGGGCACCCAAGGACCCTTTCCAGTAGCCACAGGGATTTTGGGATTCCTATCAGTATTCAAGAGGAGTCAGGCATCGTCACCTTTTGAAGCAATGAACTCCGCGTGCCTCTCGAGGTGTCAGCGGGATGTGAGGCATGCCGTCAAAATGAGGCAGGGACCTAGGGCTTTCTCTAAGGTCTCCACAGGGGATTCAGACATCCCTTCATGTTGTGAGATGAAAGACGAGCCTGTATTCAAGCCACTGCAAGGAAATCCGGCCTCCTTTCAAGTTAGGGCTTCTCGCTGTATATTCCCCTTGAGGCAGCAAACTCGGGGTCCCTCCCACATACCTATTGCTGAGAGAAGCCTCCTCCTGAGGTGCTTCTGGGAAGTTGGCATACGTCTTGAGTCTAAGCCGGGGAATCAGCTCGCATCTCGAGACGATTTGGGGTACACGGAGCATTCCTCGAGTTGCTGTGCTGAAGTTGGTGTTCCTCTAGACTTGGGACAGTGTTCTCGGGGCATCTCTGGAGTTGCCCGAAGGAAGTCGAGCCACCGGTCGTGTTGAATGGGGAACGGGGAATGGCTCTGGAGTCAATGCAGGGGAATCGGGCCTCATCTCGAGTTGATTTGGGGCACATGGAGCTGCTTTGCGTTGCTGGGGTGACCTCAGGGTCCGTCTAGACTGGTGACAGTGTTCTTGGGGACTGTCTCGAGATCCATTACGCAAGTCGAAGCTCCTGACTTGTTTGAATGGGATCACGGAATAGCTCTGCATGCACTGCAGGGGAATGGGGCCTCATCTCGCCTCTAGGGGGAAGTCTCATGGTTTTTCTCGAGTTGCGGCGGGGACCTGGGGTATGTTCTCGACTTACGGCGGGGATGGCCCTTCAAAACACGAGTTTCTTCAGTGACGTCAGGACTCCTGTCTAGTAACGAGGGACACCTCAGGAATCTCTTCGAGGCTTGGCAGGGCCAAAGGGACGCTTCTCGAGGTGAGGCAGGGCACCCAAGGACCCTTTCCAGTAGCCACAGGGATTTTGGGATTCCTATCAGTATTCAAGAGGAGTCAGGCATCGTCACCTTTTGAAGCAATGAACTCCGCGTGCCTCTCGAGGTGTCAGCGGGATGTGAGGCATTCCGTCAAAATGAGGCAGGGACCTAGGGCTTTCTCTAAGGTCTCCACAGGGGATTCAGACATCCCTTCATGTTGTGAGATGAAAGACGAGCCTGTATTCAAGCCACTGCAAGGAAATCCGGCCTCCTTTCAAGTTAGGGCTTCTCGCTGTATATTCCCCTTGAGGCAGCAAACTCGGGGTCCCTCCCACATACCTATTGCTGAGAGAAGCCTCCTCCTGAGGTGCTTCTGGGAAGCTGGCATACGTCTTGAGCCTAAGCCAGGGAATCAGCTCGCATCTCGAGACGATTTGGGGTACACGGAGCATTCCTCGAGTTGCTGTGCTGAAGTTGGTGTTCCTCTAGACTTGGGACAGTGTTCTCGGGGCATCTCTGGAGTTGCCTGAAGGAAGTCGAGCCACCGGTCGTGTTGAATGGGGAACGGGGAATGGCTCTGGAGTCAATGCAGGGGAATCGGGCCTCATCTCGAGTTGATTTGGGGCACATGGAGCTGCTTTGCGTTGCTGGGGTGACCTCAGGGTCCGTCTAGACTGGTGACAGTGTTCTTGGGGACTGTCTCGAGATCCATTAAGCAAGTCGAAGCTCCTGACTTGTTTGAATGGGATCACGGAATAGCTCTGCATGCACTGCAGGGGAATGGGTCCTCATCTCGCCTCTAGGGGGAAGTCTCATGGTTTTTCTCGAGTTGCGGCGGGGACCTGGGGTATGTTCTCGACTTACGGCGGGGATGGCCCTTCAAAACACGAGTTTCTTCAGTGACGTCAGGACTCCTGTCTAGTAACGAGGGACACCTCAGGAATCTCTTCGAGGCTTGGCAGGGCCAAAGGGACGCTTCTCGAGCTGAGGCAGGGCACCCAAGGACCCTTTCCAGTAGCCACAGGGATTTTGGGATTCCTATCAGTATTCAAGAGGAGTCAGGCATCGTCACCTTTTGAAGCAATGAACTCCGCGTGCCTCTCGAGGTGTCAGCGGGATGTGAGGCATTCCGTCAAAATGAGGCAGGGACCTAGGGCTTTCTCTAAGGTCTCCACAGGGGATTCAGACATCCCTTCATGTTGTGAGATGAAAGACGAGCCTGTATTCAAGCCACTGCAAGGAAATCTGGCCTCCTTTCAAGTTAGGGCTTCTCGCTGTATATTCCCCTTGAGGCAGCAAACTCGGGGTCCCTCCCACATACCTATTGCTGAGAGAAGCCTCCTCCTGAGGTGCTTCTGGGAAGCTGGCATACGTCTTGAGCCTAAGCCAGGGAATCAGCTCGCATCTCGAGACGATTTGGGGTACACGGAGCATTCCTCGAGTTGCTGTGCTGAAGTTGGTGTTCCTCTAGACTTGGGACAGTGTTCTCGGGGCATCTCTGGAGTTGCCTGAAGGAAGTCGAGCCACCGGTCGTGTTGAATGGGGAACGGGGAATGGCTCTGGAGTCAATGCAGGGGAATCGGGCCTCATCTCGAGTTGATTTGGGGCACATGGAGCTGCTTTGCGTTGCTGGGGTGACCTCAGGGTCCGTCTAGACTGGTGACAGTGTTCTTGGGGACTGTCTCGAGACCCATTAAGCAAGTCGAAGCTCCTGACTTGTTTGAATGGGGTCACGGAATAGCTCTGCATGCACTGCAGGGGAATGGGGCCTCATCTCGCCTCTAGGGGGAAGTCTCATGGTTTTTCTCGAGTTGCGGCGGGGACCTGGGGTATGTTCTCGACTTACGGCGGGGATGGCCCTTCAAAACACGAGTTTCTTCAGTGACGTCAGGACTCCTGTCTAGTAACGAGGGACACCTCAGGAATCTCTTCGAGGCTTGGCAGGGCCAAAGGGACGCTTCTCGAGCTGAGGCAGGGCACCCAAGGACCCTTTCCAGTAGCCACAGGGATTTTGGGATTCCTATCAGTATTCAAGAGGAGTCAGGCATCGTCACCTTTTGAAGCAATGAACTCCGCGTGCCTCTCGAGGTGTCAGCGGGATGTGAGGCATTCCGTCAAAATGAGGCAGGGACCTAGGGCTTTCTCTAAGGTCTCCACAGGGGATTCAGACATCCCTTCATGTTGTGAGATGAAAGACGAGCCTGTATTCAAGCCACTGCAAGGAAATCCGGCCTCCTTTCAAGTTAGGGCTTCTCGCTGTATATTCCCCTTGAGGCAGCAAACTCGGGGTCCCTCCCACATACCTATTGCTGAGAGAAGCCTCCTCCTGAGGTGCTTCTGGGAAGTTGGCATACGTCTTGAGCCTAAGCCGGGGAATCAGCTCGCATCTCGAGACGATTTGGGGTACACGGAGCATTCCTCGAGTTGCTGTGCTGAAGTTGGTGTTCCTCTAGACTTGGGACAGTGTTCTCGGGGCATCTCTCGAGTTGCCCGAAGGAAGTCGAGCCACCGGTCGTGTTGAATGGGGAACGGGGAATGGCTCTGGAGTCAATGCAGGGGAATCGGGCCTCATCTCGAGTTGATTTGGGGCACATGGAGCTGCTTTGCGTTGCTGGGGTGACCTCAGGGTCCGTCTAGACTGGTGACAGTGTTCTTGGGGACTGTCTCGAGATCCATTACGCAAGTCGAAGCTCCTGACTTGTTTGAATGGGATCACGGAATAGCTCTGCATGCACTGCAGGGGAATGGGGCCTCATCTCGCCTCTAGGGGGAAGTCTCATGGTTTTTCTCGAGTTGCGGCGGGGACCTGGGGTATGTTCTCGACTTACGGCGGGGATGGCCCTTCAAAACACGAGTTTCTTCAGTGACGTCAGGACTCCTGTCTAGTAACGAGGGACACCTCAGGAATCTCTTCGAGGCTTGGCAGGGCCAAAGGGACGCTTCTCGAGCTGAGGCAGGGCACCCAAGGACCCTTTCCAGTAGCCACAGGGATTTTGGGATTCCTATCAGTATTCAAGAGGAGTCAGGCATCGTCACCTTTTGAAGCAATGAACTCCGCGTGCCTCTCGAGGTGTCAGCGGGATGTGAGGCATTCCGTCAAAATGAGGCAGGGACCTAGGGCTTTCTCTAAGGTCTCCACAGGGGATTCAGACATCCCTTCATGTTGTGAGATGAAAGACGAGCCTGTATTCAAGCCACTGCAAGGAAATCCGGCCTCCTTTCAAGTTAGGGCTTCTCGCTGTATATTCCCCTTGAGGCAGCAAACTCGGGGTCCCTCCCACATACCTATTGCTGAGAGAAGCCTCCTCCTGAGGTGCTTCTGGGAAGCTGGCATACGTCTTGAGCCTAAGCCAGGGAATCAGCTCGCATCTCGAGACGATTTGGGGTACACGGAGCATTCCTCGAGTTGCTGTGCTGAAGTTGGTGTTCCTCTAGACTTGGGACAGTGTTCTCGGGGCATCTCTGGAGTTGCCTGAAGGAAGTCGAGCCACCGGTCGTGTTGAATGGGGAACGGGGAATGGCTCTGGAGTCAATGCAGGGGAATCGGGCCTCATCTCGAGTTGATTTGGGGCACATGGAGCTGCTTTGCGTTGCTGGGGTGACCTCAGGGTCCGTCTAGACTGGTGACAGTGTTCTTGGGGACTGTCTCGAGATCCATTAAGCAAGTCGAAGCTCCTGACTTTTTTGAATGGGATCACGGAATAGCTCTGCATGCACTGCAGGGGAATGGGGCCTCATCTCGCCTCTAGGGGGAAGTCTCATGGTTTTTCTCGAGTTGCGGCGGGGACCTGGGGTATGTTCTCGACTTACGGCGGGGATGGCCCTTCAAAACACGAGTTTCTTCAGTGACGTCAGGACTCCTGTCTAGTAACGAGGGACACCTCAGGAATCTCTTCGAGGCTTGGCAGGGCCAAAGGGACGCTTCTCGAGCTGAGGCAGGGCACCCAAGGACCCTTTCCAGTAGCCACAGGGATTTGGGGATTCCTATCAGTATTCAAGAGGAGTCAGGCATCGTCACCTTTTGAAGCAATGAACTCCGCGTGCCTCTCGAGGTGTCAGCGGGATGTGAGGCATTCCGTCAAAATGAGGCAGGGACCTAGGGCTTTCTCTAAGGTCTCCACAGGGGATTCAGACATCCCTTCATGTTGTGAGATGAAAGACGAGCCTGTATTCAAGCCACTGCAAGGAAATCCGGCCTCCTTTCAAGTTAGGGCTTCTCGCTGTATATTCCCCTTGAGGCAGCAAACTCGGGGTCCCTCCCACATACCTATTGCTGAGAGAAGCCTCCTCCTGAGGTGCTTCTGGGAAGTTGGCATACGTCTTGAGCCTAAGCCAGGGAATCAGCTCGCATCTCGAGACGATTTGGGGCACACGGAGCATTCCTCGAGTTGCTGTGCTGAAGTTGGTGTTCCTCTAGACTTGGGACAGTGTTCTCGGGGCATCTCTGGAGTTGCCTGAAGGAAGTCGAGCCACCGGTCGTGTTGAATGGGGAACGGGGAATGGCTCTGGAGTCAATGCAGGGGAATCGGGCCTCATCTCGAGTTGATTTGGGGCACATGGAGCTGCTTTGCGTTGCTGGGGTGACCTCAGGGTCCGTCTAGACTGGTGACAGTGTTCTTGGGGACTGTCTCGAGATCCATTAAGCAAGTCGAAGCTCCTGACTTGTTTGAATGGGATCACGGAATAGCTCTGCATGCACTGCAGGGGAATGGGGCCTCATCTCGCCTCTAGGGGGAAGTCTCATGGTTTTTCTCGAGTTGCGGCGGGGACCTGGGGTATGTTCTCGACTTACGGCGGGGATGGCCCTTCAAAACACGAGTTTCTTCAGTGACGTCAGGACTCCTGTCTAGTAACGAGGGACACCTCAGGAATCTCTTCGAGGCTTGGCAGGGCCAAAGGGACGCTTCTCGAGCTGAGGCAGGGCACCCAAGGACCCTTTCCAGTAGCCACAGGGATTTTGGGATTCCTATCAGTATTCAAGAGGAGTCAGGCATCGTCACCTTTTGAAGCAATGAACTCCGCGTGCCTCTCGAGGTGTCAGCGGGATGTGAGGCATTCCGTCAAAATGAGGCAGGGACCTAGGGCTTTCTCTAAGGTCTCCACAGGGGATTCAGACATCCCTTCATGTTGTGAGATGAAAGACGAGCCTGTATTCAAGCCACTGCAAGGAAATCCGGCCTCCTTTCAAGTTAGGGCTTCTCGCTGTATATTCCCCTTGAGGCAGCAAACTCGGGGTCCCTCCCACATACCTATTGCTGAGAGAAGCCTCCTCCTGAGGTGCTTCTGGGAAGTTGGCATACGTCTTGAGCCTAAGCCGGGGAATCAGCTCGCATCTCGAGACGATTTGGGGTACACGGAGCATTCCTCGAGTTGCTGTGCTGAAGTTGGTGTTCCTCTAGACTTGGGACAGTGTTCTCGGGGCATCTCTCGAGTTGCCCGAAGGAAGTCGAGCCACCGGTCGTGTTGAATGGGGAACGGGGAATGGCTCTGGAGTCAATGCAGGGGAATCGGGCCTCATCTCGAGTTGATTTGGGGCACATGGAGCTGCTTTGCGTTGCTGGGGTGACCTCAGGGTCCGTCTAGACTGGTGACAGTGTTCTTGGGGACTGTCTCGAGATCCATTACGCAAGTCGAAGCTCCTGACTTGTTTGAATGGGATCACGGAATAGCTCTGCATGCACTGCAGGGGAATGGGGCCTCATCTCGCCTCTAGGGGGAAGTCTCATGGTTTTTCTCGAGTTGCGGCGGGGACCTGGGGTATGTTCTCGACTTACGGCGGGGATGGCCCTTCAAAACACGAGTTTCTTCAGTGACGTCAGGACTCCTGTCTAGTAACGAGGGACACCTCAGGAATCTCTTCGAGGCTTGGCAGGGCCAAAGGGACGCTTCTCGAGCTGAGGCAGGGCACCCAAGGACCCTTTCCAGTAGCCACAGGGATTTTGGGATTCCTATCAGTATTCAAGAGGAGTCAGGCATCGTCACCTTTTGAAGCAATGAACTCCGCGTGCCTCTCGAGGTGTCAGCGGGATGTGAGGCATTCCGTCAAAATGAGGCAGGGACCTAGGGCTTTCTCTAAGGTCTCCACAGGGGATTCAGACATCCCTTCATGTTGTGAGATGAAAGACGAGCCTGTATTCAAGCCACTGCAAGGAAATCCGGCCTCCTTTCAAGTTAGGGCTTCTCGCTGTATATTCCCCTTGAGGCAGCAAACTCGGGGTCCCTCCCACATACCTATTGCTGAGAGAAGCCTCCTCCTGAGGTGCTTCTGGGAAGCTGGCATACGTCTTGAGCCTAAGCCAGGGAATCAGCTCGCATCTCGAGACGATTTGGGGTACACGGAGCATTCCTCGAGTTGCTGTGCTGAAGTTGGTGTTCCTCTAGACTTGGGACAGTGTTCTCGGGGCATCTCTGGAGTTGCCTGAAGGAAGTCGAGCCACCGGTCGTGTTGAATGGGGAACGGGGAATGGCTCTGGAGTCAATGCAGGGGAATCGGGCCTCATCTCGAGTTGATTTGGGGCACATGGAGCTGCTTTGCGTTGCTGGGGTGACCTCAGGGTCCGTCTAGACTGGTGACAGTGTTCTTGGGGACTGTCTCGAGATCCATTAAGCAAGTCGAAGCTCCTGACTTTTTTGAATGGGATCACGGAATAGCTCTGCATGCACTGCAGGGGAATGGGGCCTCATCTCGCCTCTAGGGGGAAGTCTCATGGTTTTTCTCGAGTTGCGGCGGGGACCTGGGGTATGTTCTCGACTTACGGCGGGGATGGCCCTTCAAAACACGAGTTTCTTCAGTGACGTCAGGACTCCTGTCTAGTAACGAGGGACACCTCAGGAATCTCTTCGAGGCTTGGCAGGGCCAAAGGGACGCTTCTCGAGCTGAGGCAGGGCACCCAAGGACCCTTTCCAGTAGCCACAGGGATTTGGGGATTCCTATCAGTATTCAAGAGGAGTCAGGCATCGTCACCTTTTGAAGCAATGAACTCCGCGTGCCTCTCGAGGTGTCAGCGGGATGTGAGGCATTCCGTCAAAATGAGGCAGGGACCTAGGGCTTTCTCTAAGGTCTCCACAGGGGATTCAGACATCCCTTCATGTTGTGAGATGAAAGACGAGCCTGTATTCAAGCCACTGCAAGGAAATCCGGCCTCCTTTCAAGTTAGGGCTTCTCGCTGTATATTCCCCTTGAGGCAGCAAACTCGGGGTCCCTCCCACATACCTATTGCTGAGAGAAGCCTCCTCCTGAGGTGCTTCTGGGAAGTTGGCATACGTCTTGAGCCTAAGCCAGGGAATCAGCTCGCATCTCGAGACGATTTGGGGCACACGGAGCATTCCTCGAGTTGCTGTGCTGAAGTTGGTGTTCCTCTAGACTTGGGACAGTGTTCTCGGGGCATCTCTGGAGTTGCCTGAAGGAAGTCGAGCCACCGGTCGTGTTGAATGGGGAACGGGGAATGGCTCTGGAGTCAATGCAGGGGAATCGGGCCTCATCTCGAGTTGATTTGGGGCACATGGAGCTGCTTTGCGTTGCTGGGGTGACCTCAGGGTCCGTCTAGACTGGTGACAGTGTTCTTGGGGACTGTCTCGAGATCCATTAAGCAAGTCGAAGCTCCTGACTTGTTTGAATGGGATCACGGAATAGCTCTGCATGCACTGCAGGGGAATGGGGCCTCATCTCGCCTCTAGGGGGAAGTCTCATGGTTTTTCTCGAGTTGCGGCGGGGACCTGGGGTATGTTCTCGACTTACGGCGGGGATGGCCCTTCAAAACACGAGTTTCTTCAGTGACGTCAGGACTCCTGTCTAGTAACGAGGGACACCTCAGGAATCTCTTCGAGGCTTGGCAGGGCCAAAGGGACGCTTCTCGAGCTGAGGCAGGGCACCCAAGGACCCTTTCCAGTAGCCACAGGGATTTTGCGATTCCTATCAGTATTCAAGAGGAGTCAGGCATCGTCACCTTTTGAAGCAATGAACTCCGCGTGCCTCTCGAGGTGTCAGCGGGATGTGAGGCATTCCGTCAAAATGAGGCAGGGACCTAGCGCTTTCTCTAAGGTCTCCACAGGGGATTCAGACATCCCTTCATGTTGTGAGATGAAAGACGAGCCTGTATTCAAGCCACTGCAAGGAAATCCGGCCTCCTTTCAAGTTAGGGCTTCTCGCTGTATATTCCCCTTGAGGCAGCAAACTCGGGGTCCCTCCCACATACCTATTGCTGAGAGAAGCCTCCTCCTGAGGTGCTTCTGGGAAGTTGGCATACGTCTTGAGCCTAAGCCAGGGAATCAGCTCGCATCTCGAGACGATTTGGGGTACACGGAGCATTCCTCGAGTTGCTGTGCTGAAGTTGGTGTTCCTCTAGACTTGGGAGAGTGTTCTCGGGGCATCTCTGGAGTTGCCTGAAGGAAGTCGAGCCACCGGTCGTGTTGAATGGGGAACGGGGAATGGCTCTGGAGTCAATGCAGGGGAATCGGGCCTCATCTCGAGTTGATTTGGGGCACATGGAGCTGCTTTGCGTTGCTGGGGTGACCTCAGGGTCCGTCTAGACTGGTGACAGTGTTCTTGGGGACTGTCTCGAGATCCATTAAGCAAGTCGAAGCTCCTGACTTGTTTGAATGGGGTCACGGAATAGCTCTGCATGCACTGCAGGGGAATGGGGCCTCATCTCGCCTCTAGGGGGAAGTCTCATGGTTTTTCTCGAGTTGCGGCGGGGACCTGGGGTATGTTCTCGACTTATGGCGGGGATGGCCCTTCAAAACACGAGTTTATTCAGTGACGTCAGGACTCCTGTCTAGTAACGAGGGACACCTCAGGAATCTCTTCGAGGCTTGGCAGGGCCAAAGGGACGCTTCTCGAGCTGAGGCAGGGCACCCAAGGACCCTTTCCAGTAGCCACAGGGATTTTGGGATTCCTATCAGTATTCAAGAGGAGTCAGGCATCGTCACCTTTTGAAGCAATGAACTCCGCGTGCCTCTCGAGGTGTCAGCGGGATGTGAGGCATTCCGTCAAAATGAGGCAGGGACCTAGGGCTTTCTCTAAGGTCTCCACAGGGGATTCAGACATCCCTTCATGTTGTGAGATGAAAGACGAGCCTGTATTCAAGCCACTGCAAGGAAATCCGGCCTCCTTTCAAGTTAGGGCTTCTCGCTGTATATTCCCCTTGAGGCAGCAAACTCGGGGTCCCTCCCACATACCTATTGCTGAGAGAAGCCTCCTCCTGAGGTGCTTCTGGGAAGCTGGCATACGTCTTGAGCCTAAGCCAGGGAATCAGCTGGCATCTCGAGACGATTTGGGGTACACGGAGCATTCCTCGAGTTGCTGTGCTGAAGTTGGTGTTCCTCTAGACTTGGGACAGTGTTCTCGGGGCATCTCTGGAGTTGCCTGAAGGAAGTCGAGCCACCGGTCGTGTTGAATGGGGAACGGGGAATGGCTCTGGAGTCAATGCAGGGGAATCGGGCCTCATCTCGAGTTGATTTGGGGCACATGGAGCTGCTTTGCGTTGCTGGGGTGACCTCAGGGTCCGTCTAGACTGGTGACAGTGTTCTTGGGGACTGTCTCGAGATCCATTAAGCAAGTCGAAGCTCCTGACTTGTTTGAATGGGATCACGGAATAGCTCTGCATGCACTGCAGGGGAATGGGGCCTCATCTCGCCTCTAGGGGGAAGTCTCATGGTTTTTCTCGAGTTGCGGCGGGGACCTGGGGTATGTTCTCGACTTACGGCGGGGATGGCCCTTCAAAACACGAGTTTCTTCAGTGACGTCAGGACTCCTGTCTAGTAACGAGGGACACCTCAGGAATCTCTTCGAGGCTTGGCAGGGCCAAAGGGACGCTTCTCGAGCTGAGGCAGGGCACCCAAGGACCCTTTCCAGTAGCCACAGGGATTTTGGGATTCCTATCAGTATTCAAGAGGAGTCAGGCATCGTCACCTTTTGAAGCAATGAACTCCGCGTGCCTCTCGAGGTGTCAGCGGGATGTGAGGCATTCCGTCAAAATGAGGCAGGGACCTAGGGCTTTCTCTAAGGTCTCCACAGGGGATTCAGACATCCCTTCATGTTGTGAGATGAAAGACGAGCCTGTATTCAAGCCACTGCAAGGAAATCCGGCCTCCTTTCAAGTTAGGGCTTCTCGCTGTATATTCCCCTTGAGGCAGCAAACTCGGGGTCCCTCCCACATACCTACTGCTGAGAGAAGCCTCCTCCTGAGGTGCTTCTGGGAAGTTGGCATACGTCTTGAGCCTAAGCCAGGGAATCAGCTCGCATCTCGAGACGATTTGGGGTACACGGAATCATTCCTCGAGTTGCTGTGCTGAAGTTGGTGTTCCTCTAGACTTGGGACAGTGTTCTTGGGGCATCTCTGGAGTTGCCTGAAGGAAGTCGAGCCACCGGTCGTGTTGAATGGGGAACGGGGAATGGCTCTGGGGTCAATGCAGGGGAATCGGGCCTCATCTCGAGTTGATTTGGGGCACATGGAGCTGCTTTGCGTTGCTGGGGTGACCTCAGGGTCCGTCTAGACTGGTGACAGTGTTCTTGGGGACTGTCTCGAGATCCATTACGCAAGTCGAAGCTCCTGACTTGTTTGAATGGGGTCACGGAATAGCTCTGCATGCACTGCAGGGGAATGGGGCCTCATCTCGCCTCTAGGGGGAAGTCTCATGGTTTTTCTCGAGTTGCGGCGGGGACCTGGGATATGTTCTCGACTTACGGCGGGGATGGCCCTTCAAAACACGAGTTTCTTCAGTGACGTCAGGACTCCTGTCTAGTAACGAGGGACACCTCAGGAATCTCTTCGAGGCTTGGCAGGGCCAAAGGGATGCTTCTCGAGGTGAGGCAGGGCACCCAAGGACCCTTTCCAGTAGCCACAGGGATTTTGGGATTCCTATCAGTATTCAAGAGGAGTCAGGCATCGTCACCTTTTGAAGCAATGAACTCCGCGTGCCTCTCGAGGTGTCAGCGGGATGTGAGGCATTCCGTCAAAATGAGGCAGGGACCTAGGGCTTTCTCTAAGGTCTCCACAGGGGATTCAGACATCCCTTCATGTTGTGAGATGAAAGACGAGCCTGTATTCAAGCCACTGCAAGGAAATCCGGCCTCCTTTCAAGTTAGGGCTTCTCGCTGTATATTCCCCTTGAGGCAGCAAACTCGGGGTCCCTCCCACATACCTATTCCTGAGAGAAGCCTCCTCCTGAGGTGCTTCTGGGAAGTTGGCATACGTCTTGAGCCTAAGCCAGGGAATCAGCTCGCATCACGAGACGATTTGGGGTACACGGAGCATTCCTCGAGTTGCTGTGCTGAAGTTGGTGTTCCTCTAGACTTGGGACAGTGTTCTCGGGGCATCTCTGGAGTTGCCTGAAGGAAGTCGAGCCACCGGTCGTGTTGAATGGGGAACGGGGAATGGCTCTGGAGTCAATGCAGGGGAATCGGGCCTCATCTCGAGTTGATTTGGGGCACATGGAGCTGCTTTGCGTTGCTGGGGTGACCTCAGGGTCCGTCTAGACTGGTGACAGTGTTCTTGGGGACTGTCTCGAGATCCATTAAGCAAGTCGAAGCTCCTGACTTGTTTGAATGGGGTCACGGAATAGCTCTGCATGCACTGCAGGGGAATGGGGCCTCATCTCGCCTCTAGGGGGAAGTCTCATGGTTTTTCTCGAGTTGCGGCGGGGACCTGGGGTATGTTCTCGACTTACGGCGGGGATGGCCCTTCAAAACACGAGTTTATTCAGTGACGTCAGGACTCCTGTCTAGTAACGAGGGACACCTCAGGAATCTCTTCGAGGCTTGGCAGGGCCAAAGGGACGCTTCTCGAGCTGAGGCAGGGCACCCAAGGACCCTTTCCAGTAGCCACAGGGATTTTGGGATTCCTATCAGTATTCAAGAGGAGTCAGGCATCGTCACCTTTTGAAGCAATGAACTCCGCGTGCCTCTCGAGGTGTCAGCGGGATGTGAGGCATTCCGTCAAAATGAGGCAGGGACCTAGGGCTTTCTCTAAGGTCTCCACAGGGGATTCAGACATCCCTTCATGTTGTGAGATGAAAGACGAGCCTGTATTCAAGCCACTGCAAGGAAATCCGGCCTCCTTTCAAGTTAGGGCTTCTCGCTGTATATTCCCCTTGAGGCAGCAAACTCGGGGTCCCTCCCACATACCTATTGCTGAGAGAAGCCTCCTCCTGAGGTGCTTCTGGGAAGTTGGCATACGTCTTGAGCCTAAGCCAGGGAATCAGCTCGCATCTCGAGACGATTTGGGGTACACGGAGCATTCCTCGAGTTGCTGTGCTGAAGTTGGTGTTCCTCTAGACTTGGGACAGTGTTCTCGGGGCATCTCTGGAGTTGCCTGAAGGAAGTCGAGCCACCGGTCGTGTTGAATTTGGAACGGGGAATGGCTCTGGAGTCAATGCAGGGGAATCGGGCCTCATCTCGAGTTGATTTGGGGCACATGGAGCTGCTTTGCGTTGCTGGGGTGACCTCAGGGTCCGTCTAGACTGGTGACAGTGTTCTTGGGGACTGTCTCGAGATCCATTAAGCAAGTCGAACCTCCTGACTTGTTTGAATGGGGTCACGGAATAGCTCTGCATGCACTGCAGGGGAATGGGGCCTCATCTCGCCTCTAGGGGGAAGTCTCATCGTTTTTCTCGAGTTGCGGCGGGGACCTGGGGTATGTTCTCGACTTACGGCGGGGATGGCCCTTCAAAACACGAGTTTCTTCAGTGACGTCAGGACTCCTGTCTAGTAACGAGGGACACCTCAGGAATCTCTTCGAGGCTTGGCAGGGCCAAAGGGACGCTTCTCGAGCTGAGGCAGGGCACCCAAGGACCCTTTCCAGTAGCCACAGGGATTTTGGGATTCCTATCAGTATTCAAGAGGAGTCAGGCATCGTCACCTTTTGAAGCAATGAACTCCGCGTGCCTCTCGAGGTGTCAGCGGGATGTGAGGCATTCCGTCAAAATGAGGCAGGGACCTAGGGCTTTCTCTAAGGTCTCCACAGGGGATTCAGACATCCCTTCATGTTGTGAGATGAAAGACGAGCCTGTATTCAAGCCACTGCAAGGAAATCCGGCCTCCTTTCAAGTTAGGGCTTCTCGCTGTATATTCCCCTTGAGGCAGCAAACTCGGGGTCCCTCCCACATACCTACTGCTGAGAGAAGCCTCCTCCTGAGGTGCTTCTGGGAAGTTGGCATACGTCTTGAGCCTAAGCCAGGGAATCAGCTCGCATCTCGAGACGATTTGGGGTACACGGAGCATTCCTCGAGTTGCTGTGCTGAAGTTGGTGTTCCTCTAGACTTGGGAGAGTGTTCTCGGGGCATCTCTGGAGTTGCCTGAAGGAAGTCGAGCCACCGGTCGTGTTGAATGGGGAACGGGGAATGGCTCTGGAGTCAATGCAGGGGAATCGGGCCTCATCTCGAGTTGATTTGGGGCACATGGAGCTGCTTTGCGTTGCTGGGGTGACCTCAGGGTCCGTCTAGACTGGTGACAGTGTTCTTGGGGACTGTCTCGAGATCCATTACGCAAGTCGAAGCTCCTGACTTGTTTGAATGGGGTCACGGAATAGCTCTGCATGCACTGCAGGGGAATGGGGCCTCATCTCGCCTCTAGGGGGAAGTCTCCTGGTTTTTCTCGAGCTGCGGCGGGGACCTGGGGTATGTTCTCGACTTACGGCGGGGATGGCCCTTCAAAACACGAGTTTCTTCAGTGACGTCAGGACTCCTGTCTAGTAACGAGGGACACCTCAGGAATCTCTTCGAGGCTTGGCAGGGCCAAAGGGACGCTTCTCGAGGTGAGGCAGGGCACCCAAGGACCCTTTCCAGTAGCCACAGGGATTTTGGGATTCCTATCAGTATTCAAGAGGAGTCAGGCATCGTCACCTTTTGAAGCAATGAACTCCGCGTGCCTCTCGAGGTGTCAGCGGGATGTGAGGCATTCCGTCAAAATGAGGCAGGGACCTAGGGCTTTCTCTAAGGTCTCCACAGGGGATTCAGACATCCCTTCATGTTGTGAGATGAAAGACGAGCCTGTATTCAAGCCACTGCAAGGAAATCCGGCCTCCTTTCAAGTTAGGGCTTCTCGCTGTATATTCCCCTTGAGGCAGCAAACTCGGGGTCCCTCCCAGATACCTATTGCTGAGAGAATCCTCCTCCTGAGGTGCTTCTGGGAAGCTGGCATACGTCTTGAGCCTAAGCCAGGGAATCAGCTCGCATCTCGAGACGATTTGGGGTACACGGAGCATTCCTCGAGTTGCTGTGCTGAAGTTGGTGTTCCTCTAGACTTGGGACAGTGTTCTCGGGGCATCTCTGGAGTTGCCTGAAGGAAGTCGAGCCACCGGTCGTGTTGAATGGGGAACGGGGAATGGCTCTGGAGTCAATGCAGGGGAATCGGGCCTCATCTCGAGTTGATTTGGGGCACATGGAGCTGCTTTGCGTTGCTGGGGTGACCTCAGGGTCCGTCTAGACTGGTGACAGTGTTCTTGGGGACTGTCTCGAGATCCATTAAGCAAGTCGAACCTCCTGACTTGTTTGAATGGGGTCACGGAATAGCTCTGCATGCACTGCACGGGAATGGGGCCTCATCTCGCCTCTAGGGGGAAGTCTCATGGTTTTTCTCGAGTTGCGGCGGGGACCTGGGGTATGTTCTCGACTTACGGCGGGGATGGCCCTTCAAAACACGAGTTTCTTCAGTGACGTCAGGACTCCTGTCTAGTAACGAGGGACACCTCAGGAATCTCTTCGAGGCTTGGCAGGGCCAAAGGGACGCTTCTCGAGCTGAGGCAGGGCACCCAAGGACCCTTTCCAGTAGCCACAGGGATTTTGGGATTCCTATCAGTATTCAAGAGGAGTCAGGCATCGTCACCTTTTGAAGCAATGAACTCCGCGTGCCTCTCGAGGTGTCAGCGGGATGTGAGGCATTCCGTCAAAATGAGGCAGGGACCTAGGGCTTTCTCTAAGGTCTCCACAGGGGATTCAGACATCCCTTCATGTTGTGAGATGAAAGACGAGCCTGTATTCAAGCCACTGCAAGGAAATCCGGCCTCCTTTCAAGTTAGGGCTTCTCGCTGTATATTCCCCTTGAGGCAGCAAACTCGGGGTCCCTCCCACATACCTATTGCTGAGAGAAGCCTC